GGATACGACAGCTCGGCAAGAAGGGTACGTGCACAGTCTGAACGTGGTAGCCACCTTGGGATTTCTTCGGGTCATTTATGGTATGCTGCAGAGTTCGTGGGAGGGAATGAGGGGAACTGGATTCACATCGACAGTTTCAGTCGGGCTTATACGCTTCAATGAGAGGATCCATGGAGGCGAGGCGTTGAAGCAGGACGGAAGTGTCAGGAACCAACGTCGCTCCCCGCCCTTCCTCGACAGAAGCAAGTTGTGTTATCGCTGAAGAGAGCTCTCAGCACTTTCTGCGTCAGTATCATCCTGCCTCCCCTTGGTCGCAATAAATATTCGAGCGCAACGGAAACCTGAACAGATCACAGCACGACTGGAAGACGAGACATACAACACATGTCGCGCGCACAAAGGACTAAGGCAGGAAATACTGGAGGCTCTTCTTGTCGGTGGCGCTATCAAGCCCACTGCTTCGCGAAGCTCGATCAAGTCGCTGTATGTCATCATAAAACAGGCCTAACAGACAATATCGATGTCAGCAGCTTCGGAGTGCGCCCGCTGAAACAAGTCGATACCATATTGATGTGTCGTCTGACTTGGCCTTTTCTCTGCTGCCGCAGCATAGATCTAGACTCCTTCAGAAGCACCTGCACGCCTTGCTCGGAAGGTCGACGATCCCTTCGAAAACAGGAGGAGCCCAGCTGCCTCAGGGATCGTGGTCTGCCATAATGAGCTTAGACATTTGCAGGCTGGAATGACCTGTCGTCGCTGCCATCGAGCTCTGGCTTCGCATAGCTGTAGTCTTCATGTCACTTCTAACACGGGGCGAATTTCGAGAGAATGGACGGAACAACTGTTGATTCGAGAATACCCGACCAAAAGCACTAAAAGCAACAATTCAAGGGCCAAGGCCGCTTGGCCCACTTGCAATGCGAAGCCCAGCAGACTCAGCAGCACGGGTATGTGCTGTCGCTTTGTGTCATGCCTCCGATGGGTACCGGTGATAGAGAGTCTGGTCCCAGCCATAAATACACCGGTTGATGGATCTCCAGTAAATCATTGATAGTCGAGAGCGGAAGCTCTCGCGGGCCCGCCCGGGTTTCAACGACCAGTGAAAAGTCGATGAAAGCGAAGCGGGAGGCAGGAGGCAACCGTCCGCCAGTTTACCCGGGGTTTTCAAGGACTTTGGCCACAATGTCCAGGCGTACCTCGTGCCTCTCTTTCTCAAAGAGGTTTCTCCGGTCGAGAACCTCGGAATGCCTGCCGTGCCTAGTTGTTGTATTGGAGGAGGATGGTCAAAGAGCCGTGACGCAAAGCGGCAGCGGGCAGGACGATGGTGGCAGTGCCAAGAAGCGGGATGAGGTCATAGGCCCAACGCGGCCACAACAAGTACTCTTCTCGTCTTTGCTCTTCGTCTTGGCCTCATGACCCTTGCAATCCATACGGCGCTTTCGAGAGAAACCCACGGCCGTACTCTAGTGACTGCCCGACTCAGCCCGCCAGCTCGTCCTTCAACCCCAAGAAATTGTCATGAGCACCCGGTGCGAGGGCGTCCACAATGAACCTTCTGCCACAACAGTACTACTCGCACATGGGACTCGTGGTATCACGCGGACAGCATGCTGGGGTCACTGATCATGACGACCACATAACGAGGGCAGGCGAAGGTCCAATTCTGCTGACTGAAGCGCGCTGTGACACCGTCGCGTACATCACACACAGCCGGAAACAACTCAAGTCGCATGCGGATCGGCGCGGGCCCCAAGGGATACAGTAATTGCGAATATACTTATATGCAGGCAGCCATGATCGCTGAGGTACTCAACCTCTCCTGCCCCTCTTCGGCGAGGCGACCTTAATCGCCAGATACTCCAAAATGCGCTTCTCGCAGTTCATTTCGCTCGCAGCCTTCAGTACGCTTGCTTGCCTTGTCGGCCGCACTAACGCGGAGCTCAAAAATGTGTTCGCGCACTACCTTGTCAGTAACTGTTCCTCCATTGGCAGTGCGTCATCGTTCTCACCTGTCCGTCGGTAGGTCGGTGGCATGTCCGGCCTGGATGAAGCTGTCCAGGACGTGACAGACGCCAAACAGATGGGCCTGGACGCGTTTGCCCTCAATGTGCAGCAGCCCTCCGCTGATTTCACGACCTCCTCCGTTGGCTGGCTCTTCGAGGCGGCGAACCAGAACGGCTTCAAGCTTTTCTTCTCGTTCGACATGACCACCATCGGCGCGCCGTCCGACTTCCTCCCGCTCTTCAACCAGTATGTGGGTAACGCCGCGTACTATCAGCACGAGAACCGTCCGTTCGTCAGCACCTTCGACGGTGGCGCCAAGTCGTTCGGGGCGAGCAGCCCCAACCAGGGTTGGCAACAGCAGTTCAAAGACGTGCTCTCCGGCCAAGGCATCAACCCGTTCTTCGTGCCCGACTTCGACGACTACACCGGCTCCGCGGGTTCGACGTACGACTCGACGTTCTTCAGCAACTACGGCTCTGTCGACGGCGTGTTCAGCTGGGAGTCCGCCTGGCCGGAGATCAGCGAGGGGCTCGTCAACGTCAGCAACTCCAAGGACCAGGCGGGCCTCCAGGCCGCGCATGCTGCGAACAAGGTCTACATGATGCGTGTGTTCGGAATCTGTCGCCGGCCACAGTCAGCACACTGACATCATGAAACACAGCGCTCTCCTCCCTGCAGTTCAAGCACATCGACAGCGGCCAGAACTGGTACCGCATCGGTGAGCTCAACCTCCCGGAGCGCATCGGGCAGGTGCTCGCCCTCCAGCCCGACTTCGTCGAGATCATCACCTGGAACGACGCAGGCGAGAGCCACTACATCGGCAACAACTGGCCCGAGGCCATCTCCGGCGCCCCCGCCATCCAGGCCTACTCGAACGGCTACGACCACACGTCCTGGCAGGACGTCCTCGCGCCCTTCATCACCGCCTACAAGGCGGGCAAGACGAGCCTCAAGGACGTCACGCCCTTCGGCGCGTTCGCCGGCGCGTACTGGTACCGGCCACTCCTCAAGGGCGCGTCGTGCTCGGGCGACAGCCTCGGGAAGCCGCAGGGCTGGGAGAGCGCGCAGGACACGATCAACATCGCCGTCCTCCTCCCCTCGAACACGTCCGGGACGACGATCCGTGTGACGAGCGGCGGCAACGTCGTCGCGAACCTCGCTACTACCGCGGGCCTGAACTATGCGGCTGTGCCGATCAGCACTGGGGCGCAGAAGGTCGAGCTCGTTGATGCGAGTGGGAACGTTCTGGGTGCAGGGAGCAGCACGCAGGACGTTGTGGCGGACACGAGCGGCACGTGCAACTTCAACTACCAGGTCGTGCACATAGCGTAGGAGATGGAGGTGACTTTGTGTCAGATGACATGATGTTTTGGCAATAGGTGTCTGGAACGTAAAGTCGGCCCCACGGGCGAGGACGCTCTCGCAACCCATCATTTGATTACATTTATTGGGTCGGACAATTGCCTACGAGATAGGCTCTAGTCCATATTCACGACGTAATCGATTCAGTTGTGCATTCAGTTGTGCAAGAAGCACACGTCGTTGCGCCTTGCGATTCGGCATAACGACTGGCATTTTGCCGCTGATCTGACGAAGTCGACTGTCACCAAGCTCCTTCCTATGCTCCTCCCAATCGCTCCAGAAGTCCGAGCTTCCGTTGGTTCCCGAGACGCGAGCGAGCCAATCTGCTTGTAGGACCTCTACATCACTCCAATCGTTTCCGCTCTGCTCTGGCACGATATCGAAGGGTATATAGTTCATCACTAGGATGACCGGCACGAGCGCCGACGAAGTGCACCTCAACAGACGCGACAGGCGAGCGCGGTGCTGCTGGTACGCTGGACTTGGATGTGTGTCGTCCTCCGAGATGTCAACGGCGACCTCTTGTTTCACCAGCACCAGCATCAGGAATGAGGGGTCAGAACTTAGACTGAGCGGGTCCCTCTCTAGAGAAAGGATATATCAATTTAGCGATTCAAACGACCCTGAGGAATCGGTTTAGGACATACTGAGACTGCGTTCAAGGCTAAGCATCCACTTCGGGATCAGTCCGTCTGAAGTGCTCATGGTGACTTGTAGTCGCAATTCTGAGAGGTGAGGCGCCTCTCGGAGCCAGCGACCGAAGTTGACCGGGTTGCTGGCCGTCGCCATGATGTGAAGACGAGAGAGGGCAGGGAAGAGAGGTCCGCGTCGTTTACTGATGTTCTTGAACAGATGTGTGTGCATGCCGCTGATCGACAGCTCTCGCAGGCATGGAAAGCCATTGCACCTGAACGGCAAATGCCTTATGTAGTATTCCGCCGGTTCTGGGACGGCCGCGTCCCGGTTGATCCCAAGCAAGCAAAGGGTTTCAAGGTAGGGAGATACCTCTAAGACGAGCCTCGCATCGAACATGAGCGAGGGTAACTTGGGAGCGACAGAATGTGTGCTCGGATCGGAGGGTGGGTTGATTGTACTCTCCATAGAGCGTACGTCGATGCAGAGATGGCGGAGCTTTGGGACGGACAAGTGATTTTGAGTCGCCACTGATTGTGCTTCGCGGAGAGCTCTTGACAGGAGATCCAATCTCCTGACGGCACCATTGACCAACGAGACCGAATGAAAACGGGACGGTTGCGAGGATTTTCGGACGACCTTCGAAACTAGGGCGAGCGAGTAGGCGGTCCGGCCGCCGTCGGTGCACGCATACTGGCAGATGATGTCAAAGACACCAGGAGGTAGACTGTCAAGCCCAACACGCTCGGCAGGAGGTAGACTGTCAGGCTCAACTCGCTCGGCTTTGCGATTGATAAGGAGCAAGACAGGCTTTGGGAGGGTAGAAACCAGTCGACGGCAAATTTGCTTCCCCCTAAACACAAGTGATCCTCGCCACTGTAGGGGACGGCCGTCGACGAAGCTAGTTGTTAGGTCAATACATCTCGGCACAAGGAACAGCAAGAGCAAGACTAGGGCTCACTTAGACATCGTGAAAGAATATCAATACAGTTGATTCACGGATAGCGGAGAGATCGAGCTGGGGGCCCTGATAAAAGGTTTCGGCTCGAGAGCCCAAGTAATATAAGCGCAACGGCGAAACAAAAGGCATCTAGTCTCTGTCACGCACTTTTGATAGAAAACAATAAGTACAATGTTTAACCGAGTGGTTGTCCTGACAAAATCATGTGCTCGGGACGACTGGGTTGGATAACGACGACGGTGACCTCTCAAGGACCTGAAATTGGCGCGTCTCCCCATCAGAGACGCCTCCTTGGTTGCTACCGTTGAAGCTTGAAACTCGGTGTTTTAGGCCGGAGGAATCCCATGCGAGTATTGTTTATTGTTCACATAGAGCACATATAGAATGGACTGGGCGTACAATACAACTACTCTTATCCAGGGCCCAACCTAAACTTGCGGAGCTTCGACCGCTTCGGTCTGTCCACATGCTGGCTGCAAGCCTTGTCGAACCAAGCACGTCGAAAACCCGCATAACATCGAGGCCACAGGGTGGAAACAAATCCAGGAAGAGATGGCGGAGCCTCAGTATAGACTTATGCCTTACTCAAGCGACCTGCCGCGCCGTCTCCACGTACTACACAAGTCGGCGTAGCATGGGAAATGAGTGGCGTGCGAGTTGGTATGCACGTATCCGAGTCTGAATACGAGGCCAAGTGATCGGTTCCAACCAGCGTCGGTTCCGTCGAATCTCAAACAGTAGGTACTGCAGCATGTTCACTTCCTTCAGTTCGTTCCATCGAGGAGGTCTTGGAAGGCTGGGGCCGCCTGCAAAGGCTATGTGGCAGCAGCAGTAAATAGGCAACGTGGCGGTCGGGATACAACGCAGGGAGACGGCGCTTGGGACCTCCGGACCGCGCCCATACATGCCCGTGTGTCGTACGTACTCCTGGGTAGGGGTGATCTCTTACAGCTGGTTGCGAAATTTATGCCCGACCAACTCCGACGCAGTTTCGACCACGAGAAAATCACAGAAATCGAGAAAATCAAAAAATTCATGCACTCGCCATTTTGTTCCCCTGTGCTCTTTGAACTTCATATAATCTCTGTAGAAGCGAGTATGAGACCTCACGAACTTGAATGGAGAGCGTAGGACTCCTGGTTCCCGACTTATGCCCTTCGAGAGAAATCACTGGAAGTTTCCTATGGGCGATGAGGTTTCTCACTCAGCCATCTGCGCACCGCCTTGAAACGTCTCTTATAAAAGTAGTGGCTGATGCAGACTAGGTTTTGTGGGTTTACAGGGAGATTTGACACGTTCTTAGCCAGAGCAGTAGGCAGTCTGCCTCCTGGCTCTTGCCAGCGCATCAAGCGCCGGAAGAGGTTCAGACATCGGTATATCATTGTGACTCTCGTGGGCTTCAATGTCGTTTCCCCGCTCTGATATCTGTAACAAAGTATGTTTAGGTGCTCTTGATACCTTTCCAGTACGAACTTCGTCAGCAGACACATCATCAACACTATGCAACGCCGGCAGAGGCAGCATTTAAGTAGCACCTAGTTCCAGTTTTCTCGAGGCACCCTTGCCACACAACGTTCTGTAATAGCCTATATGGACCATCAAAACTGTCTTTGAGGTGAATTACCATCCAAATACTGTCTCTTCCATTCTTGAGAGCCTGTCTGTTTGCTCTGGCCTACCTGCGCAAAGTAGCGCCCGTGAGGTCCTTGCAAAGAGCCTTCTGCGAATGTCGTGAATCACCCTTGTTCATCATGTTTCAGCCTCTTATAGACCTAGAGGGGTCGAGTACCTCGTAATCTAGGTGTTTGATAGTGCAGGGCGATTTATGGGATTTGTTTCATTTTACGATGCAGAAAGTGCACGAGCGTCGTTCGGAGTCGGCTGGCATTAATTCCGCAACCAGCTGTACTAACCTACCTACTCAACATCATGCTGCGACCCAAAAGCCTCTCCGTGAGTAAACCTGTCACGTATCATCATCACCTTGGCAGTCGTATAATGTTTCTTCACATGTCGAGCTCTACGTACGTTCAGCCTCTGCGCTCATACCCTGCCGCTCTATCATAGCAATCTGTGCTGAAATGGCCCTTACTACAGAGTATCGTTGTATCTCGATCCTCAAATCCGGGACTGGGTCCTGTTCCCGATCACCGTGGTGATGGTGCGTCGCTAGTCCTCGTTGCTCCTTCACATGCTCGGGAGCTGAATCCATGCATTGTAGATCCTTGTGGGAATATTGAGACACTATGTAGTCTTGCTCCTACAGTCACAGCCCAAGAAAATTCCTAGACATGCCATCCGGGAACAGTACGTGTGCCGTTAAGCGCAATACTGCGTAACCCCTCACTCCATGGAACCTTCGCGCAGACGTGCTCTCATCCGGTCACAAATCCTTCGCGCGACGTCCGCAAACTCGCCTCTACCACCAACATACTACAAGGTCATCTCCCAGCACCTCTCCCAAGCTTTCGCCGACGGCACCTACCTGAAGGACGGTCCGCCAAAAGGTGACGCGTCCTCGAGTACGCCTCCCAACCCGCTCACCGACCCCGCTGCAATGGATGGGATGATGGCCGGCATGAAGACGCAGATGGTCATGATGGTCCCGCAGATGGTAATCATGGGCTGGATCAATTTCTTCTTCCAAGGTTTCGTCCTCAGTAAGTCTCCTTACTTCTCGCGTCTCCGTCTCCGTGCCTTCCCTGCTTCCCGTCGCGGGAGAACTTGCATATCCGTGCCTGCACCTTCCAAACCTCCCGACGCAGGCTCGAGGATGACGTTGGGCTCACTCTTCCCGTTCGTCTGCTTTGTATCACAGTCAAGCTCCCGTTCCCGCTGACGCTGGGCTTCAAGAGCATGCTTCAGCGTGGAGTGGAGACGCCTGACATGGACGTGCGATGGGTGTCCTCGCTTTCGTGGTACTTCCTCAACTTCTTCGGGCTCAATGGCCTTTACCGGCTCATCCTCGGTGGAGAGAACTGTATGTCTCTTTCCTTCACATCGTACCGTACTCCCGCTGAACGCCATTTTGCTGTGCTTCTCGTTCTTCTGTTCGCCTCAGCCGCGGACTCTTCCCGCGACATGGCCACGCCCTTCGCTGCAGCTGCCGCAGCAACGCCTGGGCAGGCCCAGGACTACAACAAGCTATTCAAAGCGGAGCGCGACAACCTTGAGTTCTCGGAAGGGCTCCATGAATGGATCGCGAACGATGTCGACACGAGAATTCTCAAGAAGTACGGGAGGCTGCCTGCGGAGGCGAAGTAGTTCTACAAGCCGTCGCAATTTATCCATAATGATATAACACACATTCCTTCTGACTGCAACGTCGACGTACACATGCTCAGCTCGTACAAGTTCGTTGGCACACACGTCTGGTAACGCTGGCGGCGCGTGAATATAATAATAGTCCAAGAGAAACCTATATGTAGGCACAGTGAATGGAGCCACGTTCGCCAACAGCTTGGAGTTCGGTAGCATGCCTGCTCACTTACCGAATGCGCCACAACGTCATGCGGCTGCCGCGCGCAGATCCTACTATACAAGTCCGTCGTATAGTGACAAGGCCTAAGATAGCGAATCATCGTCTCGCTTGCGCCCCATAAGAGAAGTTGAGACTAACGCACCTGCACGATCGTGGGATCCTGTTTACTCCCTTCCACAAACTCTTCGTACGTCAGCTTTGCGTCTTTATCCCTGTCCATGTTACGGAATATTTTGTCGACGCGCTGCGCCGGAGAACAGCGGGGAAGACTTCATTAGCAACTATCTTTCGTCACAAGATGATCGCACTCACCTTCTCCGGCGTGTCTTCATCCACGGGAAGCTTTACCATCTGACCTGTCATCTTGTATATCGACTGCACGATCTGGAGCATCTCCGCATATGTGATGAAGCCGTCCCCATCTATGTCATACAACTGGAATGCCCCTAGTGCATGTACAACCGTCAGTGCGGCGCGGGGAGAACGTCCCGATTTCATTACTTACATTTGAGCTTCTCGTCTAACCGACCACGGCTAGTCACGCTCAACGCACAAATGAACTCCTTGAAATCAATGGTGCCATTCTTGTTCTCATCGAAGACATTGAAGACGTAGTCCGCGAACTCGCCAGGATCTCCGAAGGGAAAGAATTGCTTGTATATTCGGCTGAACTCCGCCTTGTCGAGCTGGCCGGACGGGCAGTCCTTGAGGAAGCCCTTGTACCTGTGAACAATGGACGACGCGAGAGAGGAAAAAGGAGCGCGGTGGGCGCATGAGACTGGCGAGATACTCATCGCGATCGCAGGCACGTAACGTACCACTGTTGTAGTTCTCGCTTATCGACTGGAGAGCATGTCTTGTGAGTGTCAGGGCTTGAGGAATGAAACACACGCACAATAGGTGTGTTTCTGGAGATCGGCGAGTTGCTCTGGCGAGAGTTTGCTCTGTGATTTGCCCATGGCGAAGACGAGATACGAGAGATGAGAGTAGGCGTCGTAGACAGTTGGTTGTTGGGCCTGGAGGCTCCGCTCGCTACTTAGATGGAATCCAGATTCCAGAATCCTGTCAAGGCGGTGGCCCGGGGAGCGCCCGAGTACGCCAAGAACCCTCCTGCGTCATAGTTGCGCGATAAGTTCAGATTCGGGACATATCTGCATACTCCTTTTGATAACTTTGTCCTCCTGCTGAGTGCTCCCGTCCCGACTTTGTTCCAGCAAACAATGGCCGCCGTCGCTGGATACAATGTTCCAGCCAGCTGCGGCGACACCTGCCCGCGATGCTACCGATGCTTCGCCTGCGGGGTGTGCACGAGCGTATTTTAGGTGGGGATAAGTGAAATGTAAGGGAAAGTGATGGTACGGTGAGACGAGGGGCATGCTGCTGCCTCGAGGCAGAGAGGACAGAGAAAGGAAGCACGCACGACTGTAAGCTGCGTAGAACCACCATTTGCGAGCTCGAAGCAGCCTTGCGAGTCAGTCCGACCGTCTCTCCTGCCTCTCCTTGGGTTTATCACTCGAACGAATATGGCTCGCCTAAACGGACTTGATCAGCTACGTGAGCAGGAACCGCATGCATTTGCCTTCTTCCTGTACCTTCGCAGTACAAATACCTCTATCCCCCTTTTCTAGCCTTCTCCGTACCGTCCTGTCCTTCCCTACGCGCGCTCTCCTCGTCGTTCTCTTGGTCTCTCATTCTCCGTATCCGCGATGTGCTATGCAGTCGGTTCGCTCCAGCAAGCCACTAGCACTTGCCCGATGTGCAAGGTCTTCAAGCCTAGCGCCGCCAGGTATTCTACCTCTCTTGCTCCATTCTACCTCTGGCGCCCACATTTCGCCTATCCAGGTGTCCTCACATCAAGGAGGTCTGCCGAAACTCTGCGGCCCACCCCCGCCACGATGTGATCTATCTCAAGAATCCTGAGGGTCAGTCCCCCCGCGTCGCCTTTGCCTCCGTTATCGCCGTGTGGTCTAACCAAAGATCGGGTCTACAGTGCAGACGTTTCAAGGTTGCGGCTTCTGTAAGGTAGGTCATCGGCGCCCCTCCAGTGTCGATCGCATTCAGTGCTCAAGTGTTTCATGTTCCTAGTGGGCCAAGACCTCCCCGCCGCCAACTCGTGCGGGTTACAACAACCCGGGCTGGCCAGGATGCTGCCGCCCGCCAAACCCCCAGGAGCTCAAACACATCGGTGCTGCGGATTGGCCTGCCGTCAGTCTCGTGCATCATGTCCCCATTCCCCCTGAGATCAAGACGATTCTCGACGGGCTGTGTGTGGGACCGACATCCCCCAGAGGCACGCCACCCCTTGGCAGTCCCACTGGAACTGTGCGTGCCGTGACCGTGCAGGCTGCCAGTGCTGCTCCGAGCATATCTAGGCGGTCGAGCTACAACGTCTCGAGCCCAACGAGGACCGAGGCGTCTACCACGACGAGGAGCAATCCGGTAGCTGTTCCCACTAAGGGTCGCTCGGGATCTGGAGGCAGCCCGCAGCAGGTGACTGCATCGCTCTCGAGTCCCCGTGGTGGAGGTGGGGGTGATGGCGCGACGTCGTCGCTCCCGAACGCGTCCTCCATGGAGCAGTTCCAGAGCAGCCGGCGCTCTGCGGCAGACGTCTTCGCCGATAAGCGTCCGGACCCACTCAACACTTCCCAGAACTCCCCCGGGCGAAAGCACGCCGAGCTGAGTGGGTCCGTGGCACGTCGAAGCTCGGAGCAGCGGCGCCCGTCCATCTCTTCCATCACAGCGTCTGCACCCACTAGCAAGGGCTCTGCAGATGTGGCAGCTTCGCGTCGTCGCACGGTTCCTTCTTCGACCGGCGCCGCTCTACCGTCTAACCCGCCACAGGATAAGACCCCTCCTCGCCCGACGGATCGTCCTACGGCAGAACGTCTTGCGGACACGGCCTCAACACGGCGCGGGAGCACAATTGAAGAGGCGGTCGTTGACAAGGTCGAGAAGATGAGTATCTCCTCCAGCGCCTCGAGCAGCAGTAGCGGCAGCAGCTCGGCGACCACCGTCATATCCGACGGGGGCTTTACCGATTACCTCTCCGATGAGTCGGAGGCCGAGCTGCAGAGGCAGGCGGAGGCGAAGGCGGCGATTGTCGCGCAGAATCAGATGGAAGAACTCGAGTTCAGAGCGGCGCGCCAGCAACTCGCGGACGTCGACCTTCGCCCGCCCAAGTCGTGGCGGGGCGATGTTCAGGCCACTCCGCGATCGCAGGTGCAAAACCGCAACTCTGCGACCTTTGGACGGTCCGCGTTCGCGGCTGCGCCGACTTATGCGGCGAGCACTGCGTCCACTCATTCGCGCGGTTAAGGTGTATCCTAGGGAAAATATGTGCGGGGTGCTGTAACGGTCTGGGGTGTCTTAACAAAGGGTTCTGATCTTAGGTCTGGGACGGACGTATCTATTACATGCTCAATTTACCACTTGTATCAGTAGGCGTCATTGTAGCCTACAGGATCACCATCATGTCCGGCGTACTATGTATGGCTTACTTAACTGCATCCGTGTCTTGTGTCGCTACTCATCACTCTCTGGAATGTACAATCTACTATCTTCCTGCCATCCTCTCGTCCAATCCGAGTGTTTAAGCTCAGCCGCAGCATCCGAAGGCTTACGCCACACGGTGCCCGTTTCGTGTATGTCTCACGTGATAGCAATTATGGGATAGCAGCAGCGTGTGCACGGCACAGAAATGGGCCTCCCGCCCTCTCTCCCTCGACCACCAACACATGAATCTTGCGCGGCATTCCATCAGCGCGACCGCCCCAGTCCTCATCTTTGACGCACGATTTGACCCCGAGTGCCGCATATTCACGATCTCCACTAAGGCTGGGTTCGCAGTGTATCGTACATGGCCGCTGCAGCTCCTCCGGAAACGCGGTATGTACATCGAGCTCGGCCTCAATCAATTGCGTGGCCATAATTCGCACACAATGTAGAGATTACAGGCGGAACCTTGTCCATCGTTGTTCCGCTCCATACGTCGTCGCTCTTGTTCCTGGTCGGCGGCGGTAGAAGTCCGCGCTATCCTCCGAACAAGGTCATACTGTGGGATGATGCAATCGCACAAGAAGTCGCAGAGCTCGAGTTCAGGGAGAAGGTCAGGGGACTAGCCTGTCGGCGCGGGTGGCTCGCAGTCGCGTTGCGCAGGCGAGTCGTTGTATTCCAAATCGGGGAGACGGTAGAGCGGTACGGCGAATGGGACACATGTGACAATTCCCGAGGTACGTACTTCGCCCGCACTATGTTGTTACGACAGCTTGAGCTAACAGCGTCGATAAGGTCTCCTTGCGCTGGCGACCGCGACACATTCAACACTTCTAGCCATCCCAGGCCGCCAGATGGGTCATCTGCAGCTCGTACATCTACCACCATGTCCCCCGCCTCAGCCGATCGGCCCTCCGCCATCCGCACCTCCATCACGACCGCCGCCGAATCCTGCCAAACCTCCGCCCACCATCATCATTGCTCATGAGAGTGCTCTTAGCACACTCTCCGTCCCGCCTTCTGGTCGTTTGCTCGCCACTACATCCTCTCGCGGGACCTTGATACGAATATGGGACACCACTACTGGGAAGCTGGTGAGGGAATTGCGGAGGGGCTCGGACAAGGCTGAGATCTATGGTGTTGCATTTCGACCCGACGAACGTGAGGTGTGCGTATGGAGCGATAAGGGAACCGTGCATGTCTTCGCCTTGACAGTCGGTTCAGGAGCCTCGTGAGTGTGCCCTTGTCCTCATAATGGTGCTGCATGGTCTCACCATGATGCTACCTCAGCAATCGACAATCCACCTTCTCGTCTTTTACGTCTTATGTACCTCTGCCGAAGTACTTCGACTCAGAGTGGTCATACGCCCAATATCGGATTCCATCACAGACATCTCATATATCGATATCTGGCCAACCCGCTCGATCGCCTACCGCTGACGTCGTCGACGAAGAGAAGTGCGTCGTAGGATGGATCCAGGTGTCTCCAGAAGACCTGGACGAGCCTGGAAGCACGCTTTCCGCCGAATATCAGCTGGTTGCGTTGACTTACACCGGGGGCTGGTACCGTCTATCTCTGCCGACATCGTCTTCCGCTGCGGCACCATCATCACATCCTCCTTCACCTGTCCCACTACCCACCCCGTCGCTCCGAGATCCGTTATCAGCATCCCCTCCCAATGTGAGGACTATATCCATGGCACGCCCTCGATCATACAGCGGCTCTTCCTTCGCTAGCAGACCAGACAAAGGCAAGGACCGCGAGCGGGAGGAGAAGCCTGGACGGGAGTGCATCCTTCGCGAGTACAGGCGGTTCGGCCGGTGGGACGGCTGGGGATAAGCTTCAATATCTGCTCTCTGTCTCCGGATTCAGCTTCGACGGATTTCTTGGAGTTTACACCATGGTTCCTGTCTTCCGGGATTTATTCGGACATGTGCACTAGGATACCGGTCTATCGCCCACGTTCATGCTTCATGCTCTCCGAGACGACTGCCACATCGCACTGCACGACATCATACCTGTAATACCACACATGCCATTGCACATTGTCATTAATCTTGTATCTGTATTCATGACATACTTACATTCAAGTTGTTCCCGCCTGCAGTCGCAGCGCTACCGCCATTTGAATGTCGGTAGCGCCATACAGGATCGGAACCCAATCTGTGGTCGGTCCCTGTCAGCACAGCTTCCTGCCAAGGTTTCTACTACTCGACCATTACTGCAAGTTCGATCTCACGTTGCCCTTCCACGACGAGTCGAAGTCTCACAACGGTGACCTAGCTCCAGGCGTGCGGCGTCCAAATCCCCTCAATCATGTCCTCGCGAGAGCCACCAACCATCTTCAGTCCGCTACGACCGCGCAATTCGACGTGTGGCTACTGCGGATCTCCAGGAAAGCGCAGCGAGGCCCAAACCAGCTACCATGCCGCGGAAGGCATAGCACACGTGATGGGTTGTCGTGTACTGCACAGTCATAGTCTTGCGCATCATGTCCAACGAGCTCACTGTCGCGTCTGTAGGTATACCAGGAAATGATGGATCGTGGCTGGAGACGGTCAGGCACGTACTACTACAAGCCGGACCTGAGGCGGTCTTGCTGTCCTCAGTACACGATCAGGTCCAGGGCTCCTTCGGTCCTCGTGCGATTGAATCCACTGTCTGATTACTGTAGTATTAGGCTAGATGCTATTCGGTTCAGACCGTCGAAGAGCCAGCGGAAGCTAATCAACAGGTTCGCAGTCACAAACAAAAACAAGTTAATGGCGAGTAGCTAATCGCATGGCTAGGTTCAATCGACATATATCTAACGGAGACCAGCATGACGGAGGCGCTTCCGTGGACATATCTGAAGGGTGAGGATATACCTCGCTTGCGCGTCTCATAGCTTACTGTTACCTGCAGAACGTCGACGAAAGGAAAGGGGAGAAGGAAGGGAAAAGCGGAACATGTTTTCAAGCTCGCCGATGACATACATGCTGCCGAACTGCGCTTTCTTAGGGATGAGACTCCAGCTCACAAATACGAGGTACGTATGTACCAGATATCGCCCTATGCACCGCTGAAGATAGTTTTAGGTTACTCTAGAGCCAGCCTCGTTCACTCAAGAGAAATTTGCTTTATATCAGAGCTACCAGAAACATATTCATAATGATGACGATGTTACGCCGGGCGGTTTCACTCGCTTCTTATGCAAGTCACTGCTTGTGGTGCGTACGCTCTCCTACACCTGTCCTGAATAGCAACATAGCTGACTGACCAAACTTTGACAGCCGCGACCTATAACCTATCTATCAGGAGCGCCGTCGCACCTCCCCCAATCATATGGATCGTTCCACCAGTTGCACAGAATAGACGGGCAGCTCATTGCGATGAGCGTGATAGACGTCGTGCCGAACTGCGTCTCTAGCGTCTACTTCATGTATGAGAAGAAATGGGAGAAGTTCTCCTTGGGCAAGGCAAGCATTCTTTTCTTCTCTTCAAGCGGTGGCCCGCAGCTGATTTTTCACGCCTGCAGCTGAGCGCGATGCGAGAAGTGTCCCTCGTGAAGGAGATGCACGAGGCAGGCCTGACTGATATGAAGTTTCTCTACATGGGTCAGGAAGATTATCCTCGTCTGCGCAACTTGGGTCGCGAGACTGACAGCAATTTGTACGCCTAGGCTTCTACATTCACTCCTGCGTTAAGATGCGATACAAAGGCGAATATTCGCCTACATACGTCCTAGACCCCGAGGACTATACTTGGTTCCCTCTGGAACAGTTCCGGCCCCTCCTTGATCAGTACCACTACGCGTCCTGTGCCCACCCGGACCGCTGTCTAGATGCACCTGCTACTGAAGCATGTACGCGGCGTCTTTCTATTCCGTCTATTGAACACATGCGACTACTCAACGCTACGAGCATAGATCCCCCACAAGAACCCGAAGACGAGGTGCTGGATAGAGTGCGCGTCATGGTCGGCTTTGAACAGAATACTATCATTGTAGGAAATCTCACGGTAAGTGACTTGTACTCGAGACGTCTCTTGAGTACGTTGTGCTGATCAGCGGGGTCCACAGGAGTCGGATGAGTGGAATGACAATGGCGGCAGGTTCAAGGAAGCTATCCTGAGAACACTGAACGGACTCGGCGACAAGTTGGCAGGTGAAATCTTGCTAGACTTCAGCTATGACATTGCGGGGTAAACCCTTACCCAGCCTTGCGATCGCGATGATGCACGGAATTGAGCTAGAACTGAGACCTCACATTGCTCTGTTGCTACTGATATATATATATCATGTGCAACTGCAGTAGGACGTTACATAGCGCAAGCGGTGGGAGACGGAGAGCACAAAGTAGCCCAGTACTTGTGACGGTGATGACCGCCTCCCTCTGCAGAAGAGAGCCAAACACGCACTCGCGAAGAGCACGGACAGGGTGGAGGGCAAGAGCAGGGATGAGTTTCAATGGACGGGGATTTGCTAGTGGGCATATATGCTCTCGAAGAGCACGGAACTTCAAAACATTTGGAGACAGACAGATCGAGAGTAGTCTGAATCGAGTTTCGCCTACATCCGGCTCGCCTCGCGGGGGAGCCGGACGACAGAGCGAGCCGCGAAGTGCACTTGAGAGTTGACAGATGGCAGCTCGACCCCCAAATTCCCTCGCTCGTTGCACCACAAAGCACAAAGCCAGCGGCACCAGGAAGGACAGAAGACCCTCCCAGCACACCCAACGGGAGAGGGCGCGGCGGCCAAGCCCAAGATCCGTCGGGCCCTGTCCCAGCAACGCATTTCATCGTCTCGGCCTCTTGTAGCGAGTCTTCCCTCACGTCTCGTCCATTCATCCGCTATCAGAGGAGATCCTCTGAGAGCAGCGAATATCTTGTGAGGCAAGAAACGAAGGCTGCATGGCTGATTGCGTCGGAACGCACGCAATGCGGCCAATTGTGCACGCGCAAGTAGCAAAGCTTGCATCCGAGCTGTACTAGCACAGAGCCAAAGACGGACGGGACTCGAGAGCTAGCAGTTAGTGTATATGGCAGAAATGTTTCGGGCTATTCTGCCGGCAGGTATGGCAGATATGGCAATTGCCATGGTCGGCAGAAACTGGCAAATACTTAAGCGCCTTGGTGGAGAGACATCGAGTCTGGAGTAAGTTACCCTTGACATACATTCCTCAGAGCGCCTGAGGGAGTACCTGTAATTTTTCTATGCTTCTCAGTCGGCCTTAGATGAGTCTATCCAGCTTTTTGAAGAGGTGTAGCGCATGAAGAGCGGCGTGGGCGGCTCCTTATTATTTGAGCGCCGGAAGCACACCGTTCGACAACAAGGTGAAACCAATCAGTATCGTCCTGAGTCCACGAAACGCGGTGCTTTTGCAGAAATCATAAACCTGTACTTCTCTAGGGAATTTTTATGAGTACAGGCATTAAAAGCTTCTGGAGATCAGTCCCTACGATCATTTTCTGGACTAAGCGCTCATGACATCTGCCAATATTTGCCAGCATAGGCCCGATGGCAGAACGGCAAGTGCCACTGGCAGAATGGCAGCGGCAAAATGGCAACATTCTGCCGCGTACACTACTACTATCGCGACCCCAGTGTTCGGACAAACGACCGTATCTCCGTCATTGTCCACTCGATAAACTTGCAAGTTGGAAGGTAGGTGCCCATATGTGTTCCAAATAAGCAGCAAAAAGAACTGAATTTATATCATAAGCCCTTGGGGCGATCTTGTGGAAGGGAGTGGTGCAACCCTTCCCTATCAAAGCTTCGGGAGTCTCGCTTCGTATCCCTCTTCGGGCGCTTCCATACAAATCTCGTGTACGTATTTCTACCTACGCATTTTACTCACTACCCAATTTTCCGAGGCCTGCTCAGGGGAACGCAGAGGAGAAACAAGAAGCAGCCCTCAAGGGCGTGACAATGCAGCCACAGTTTGACTCTCCGACTTGCTCGGGATGCTCGGCTAAGGCTCATCAAGCTGGAGAACGGGGATTCCCTGAAGACCGGCAGGTGTCGGCAAGCGTGACAGATCGTGACCTGCTGTGCGGAGAATTGTCCGAACACTGGGGTCAGGCCCTGTATATCCTGTCTCCATTGCTCGTGTCTCCTTCAATATGTCTTATGTTTGGCACGTAGTCTATGCATATGCATCTCCTTTTTCATGCCAAAATTGAGCATTATCGGAGTACAGGAAAGTACATAAAACGAAGGGTTTTCGCAGCGGGCGCCTTTTTGTCCGAACACTGGGGTCGCGATAGTAGCAGTGGAGGACGTCGCATGCTGAGCGGCTCGGGAGCGGCATGCTTGATCTCGGAGCGGAGTCGGGACTTGCCTTTGGGCGCCTAACATGAGTATAATTTGAGTGAAGCCAGTTCGAAGATTTCTCTCCTTGTCGCCATCAGTCGCCATAAAACGGTGGGATTGAACCCAATCCCAGCGTCCGAACCCGCGCGTCGGGCAAGGTTGGCAGCCTTTACGTTCGTCAACGAATGTAATGGACCTGAGGCGGCGACGCAGACCCAGACAGATCGAAGGCCGCGAGGCTCACTCGGTACAGGACGCGCTTACACGCATCCATCTTTGTGAGCGGGGCAAGGTCTGAGTATTCTATGGTGCAGTTTACTTAAACGCCTCCACTTTTGTACGCGATTAAGCGCGCGCTTATGTGTCACGTGACTTGGCAGTATGCTCGAATCGGTTGTCGTGACTTACCAGGCTGCACAGATGGAAGTGCAAGCCCAAGGAACCTCCATAGAGCCGTTATCCCACGACACGATAGTGTCTGAACCCTCCCATACATGGCCCAAGTTCAAGGATGCCGATCTGTACAGGCAATGGTATGGTATTATATAACTCTTTGGGGATATAGACGCCCAGATCACGTGCCGTGGCAGAACTGGTACGGCCATTTTTGCCAGTTCTCACCCTATCGAGAATCCCCTTTGGGGATCGCTTCCTCTGTTCAATTCCTTGAAATTCACACAAAATTGACCGAAATCATGAATATCTGGAGGACTTATGACACGGCGCCTAACAGCGTACAAAAGTGGAGGCGTTTAAGTGAACTGCACCATAGTCCCACGAGCGAAGAACCAGGCCCGTCTTCTTGACTACCAGTCGGGAAACAACCTGGGGACCCGTTCAGATTAGTCCTAGATGGACCCGAGCGTAATACCCGCTGGTCGTGATTACGTTCAGCAGCGACCCAGGCTTCGCTGGACGCTCTCCGCATTCGTCTGGTTGCCTTTAGGAATCTTCATAACGGAGTATGGCTTTAACATCAAGTCCGTCAAGGGTCGCAGTATGCAGGTGCAATGCATCTCAGACGTCGCTTGGTTCTCGCAGCTGACGAAGACCATGCTAGCTAGCCTACGCTGAACCCAGATGATTCAGTATGGAAGGACCTCGTGTTGTTCAACAGGTGCTCGGTGAAGTTCTGGAAGAGTTACAATCGCGGGGATGTCGTGGCTCTCAAGTGCGTTACTGAACCTAATCTGTCGGGAGGTGTGCTGACCGTTGACATACAGGTCCCCAGTAGACTCTAAGCTGATCGTGAAGCGTATCATTGCGCTGGAGGGTGACACCGTACGTTTCCGGTCATGTCTGCCATCTGTTCCTCGCTAACATGGCATAGGTCCGAACGTTGCCACCATATCCTGACGCCGAAGTCGTGATCCCGCAGGGACATGCATGGGTCGAAGGTGCGCTCACATGAATCCCGTCAGCGCATCCATCCCGAGGTGTTGAAAACCTGTCTGTCTCCAGGCGACGAACCATTCCGCACCGAGGACAGCAATCGTTTCGGACCGGTACGTCGCGCTCACTGTCTAAACCACACCACCGCCCCCAACTCACTTGGACGTTCTGACCCAGGTTGCCCTCGGCCTGATCGAATCCAGACTGTCCTTCATCCTCTGGCCATGGGAACGCATAGGGCCGCTCGGCCAGCCGCTCATAGCCCGACACGACGCCAAACGCGGCACCCCCGGATGGCGTAGGAGCCGGGCTGACCTCGAACGAGAAAAGTGGCGGAACTCGCGCGTCACGATCGCGCCGCCGCCAAGTTCCTGATGCTGCGGCTGGCAGTCATGGCCGCCTCTTTTCATCGCTACCAGCAGTGCTCGAACGAAGTACGGACGATATTGGAGCACATAGCGCAGCTCGGCTTGCGGTGGCTAGTGCATTGTCGTAGGCACGGAAAGAACTATGTACAGTCCGCAAGGCGATTATGATAGTACAACGTTCTTCACTACGAACATGATAGAAGGCATGAGCGAAGGACGGCCCGAAGTGAGAATCAAAAAGATCTGAGCTGTCGATATAAGGAATAAAGAGATGGATTCCAAGATGCTAGATGAATGATGCAACGGGTGGTAGAATGGGGGATGACAGTCGGGAGTGGTGATGGAGATGGGATGTGGATGGAAGCGTGGAATGTGGGGGACAAGCTAGCGACGATGCGAACAAACTGCGACAACGATAACGACGGCGGGAACAACGTGTGCGACATGTCATGAGCGTGCGAGCGTACTTGGGGTAAGGAATGAATGCTAGTTGGTGGTGCTACACAACTACATGGCATGTGCATGGCCGTTGTTGTACTCGTACCCGTCGCTGTGCCCGCTCTGCCGCTGATACCCGTACGGGTCCGCCGCGTATGGGTCGTATTGATGTTGCGCGTACGGATCGTGTTGCTGCTGCGCATACGGGTTATGCTGCTGCTGCTGGACGCCATGTCCCAACGCCTGCTGGGCGCTCGGGGAGTGAGGGTTGGGGAAGTCCTCCTGCTGGTACATCTGATGCGCCTGCTGGCCGTATGGCGCTGTGCTCGCCGAACGGTAGTCGGGCACGGTACTCGCCGAGCGGTAATCCGGCGCAACGCTCCCTGAACGGTAGTCAGGCGCAACACTCCCCGAACGGTAGTCAGGAGCGACGCTACCCGAGCGGTAGTCGGGTGCGGTGCTGCCTGACCGGTACGACTCATAAGCGCCGTACGCGCTGTGCTGATTGAACAAGTACTGATCGTCATGGGCGAACGGCGCAGCAGCAGAGGCAAGGTGCGTTTGACTCGCGACGTCGTCGTCGTAATGCAGTTGCGGCTGGTCGGGGAGCGTGCCGACCGAGTTGTTGTACTGGTGGTGGTAGCCTGCCTGCGCATAGCCGGGCATGGGCGGAGGGTAGTCGGATGCATAGTCCGCCTTGTAGTCGCTGTAGTAGTCGGTACCGGTGTAGGTGCTCGCGGGCGGCCCACGCGTGCGCATGGACGCGGCGTCGTCGATGTCGTCGTCGACGGAGAGGTTGGGGAGGGTAGGTTGGGGCAAGGGTTTGGCAATGAACTCTCCCTTTTTGTTCTTGAGATGAGAGAAGTCGCCCGCCGCCTCCTTCTTCGCGAGAGCAGCCGCTTTGGCGAGACGCTGCTTGTTCCTCCGCTTGATGATCTCAGATATACGCTTGTCGACTTTGTGGCAGCAGTATTCCTACGTCGCGTGAGGACCGTCATCCCTGATTGCAGGTGTGAGGCGAGAAACATACCTTGAGGTTACCCTGGATGTGTGCAAGCAGAGGAATGTAGCAGATACCGGCGATGATGAGCATCAAGAGGGAGATGGCAAAGATGAACACAGTGAAGGCCGTCGACACGGTAAGGGCAGAGGTAATGAGGTCGCCGTCGAAGTACTTCGAGATGTCGTACCAGTGTCCATCCTTCTCCTTGGAAAGATAAAACGCGTACAGGGTCAGCGCGTTGATAGACTGACGTGGACCATCGGCGAAGAGCAGCCGCTTCCAGCTCTTGAAGGTGAAGAAGACGAAGAAGGTGAAGTCGTCGATACGCTTCGTAGAGGCAGCGATGTGGTTGAAGAAGCAGAAATGGTCGTAAGACCCTGCAACGAGATGTCAACATGATGTGTTCATCAGAGGCTTCAGAGCACAGCAACTCACTGAGGGAGTAGTACTTGTTAGCCATGACATTGGTGAAGGCGTACGAGATGTCACGACTCTGAATGATCTTCTTCGCCTTGTATGCGTCGTACGCAAGCTGCACGGAGTTCAGCAACTGTCTTGAAATCAAATGTGGGGATACATAGAACACACCAGCAGGAAGGAGAATATGACGCATCCGAAGAACAACCAACGGCCGATGCTGAACGGGATATAGACACACCCGTTGGTATCATTCGCAGGACACGAGTTGAAGATGGCGTTCGACCACGACGTAGTGGTAAGCATGGTAACTGCTGTGAAGATATCGGAGACATAGACGAGGAAGGAAATGAGCACGCCGACGTAGAGCCAGAGGTACCTGTGGTAAGTGCAGGCAGTAATCAGCATGGCTCGTTATACACATCTCATTTCTGGTAGCCCGTTGCGCTAGTCATTCGAAGTACTCACTTCATTCGCATGCCACATCCCGTGTCTCTGAACTCACGAGTATCGACGAAGTCGAACTATACAGCAGCGTCAGCGAGAGTGCGCGCGACGCCCGGACGGGGGTTGCGGTGGAAGGAACGCACCTTGTGGTCAGGGACGACCTCTCGCTTCCACGTTCCTCCTTTACACATAACGAGGTTTCGAAAGTGGGCTCACAGGTTCGCAGTAGTAGGCAGGCAGAAAAGAGTGAAGTGCGACGTGGGGGCGGCCTCGTTGTGTGTGAAGCAGCGCCCGGACCAGCCAAGTCGCAGAAAGAGCAAGGAGCGGCGTTGGGAGAACGACCGGAGGCGAACCTGGGCGTGGAGTGGAGACGGACGCTGACTTTGTGGGCGCAGTGGGCGGTGTCTGTAGATCAAGACAGGTTGATGGGCGTGGATGGACAGGGATTAGACAGGACGGCGAAAGGGGGTCGAGAAAGACAGGCGTTGCGACGAGCGCAGGAAGACCGTTCGAGGGCGTTGCAGTCTCAGGCCTCCCCATCAAGCGAGCCAGAAATAGCGCCAACAAGACAAGCGCCCGTCATCATTATTCTTCATCTCTGCCACAATGACAACCGTACAGAAAATCAAGGTATTGCCCTTCCCCGTGCCAATTGTCTCGTTCTAACATGTTTCCCAACCCAAGGAAATCGAAGATGAGATGGTAAGCTCTCCAGGCTGTCGAGTTTTTCGCGGACAAATGCTCAGTATCGCAGGCCAGGAGTATGTGCAGCGCCTCACGCCCCCATCATAACATTTCTCTGAGATCCATCACAAAACAGCGCAGAAGAATAAGGCCACGAGCTACCATCTAGGTCAGCTCAAGGCCAAGCTCGCGAAGCTCCGTCGCGAGCTCCTCGGTCCGACTGGCGGTGGAGGAGGAGGGGGAGGCCTCGGTTTCGATGTCGCGCGCACGGGCATTGCAACGGTCGGGTTCGTCGGATTCCCTTCAGTGGGCAAGGTGTGTCATGTTTCATGCCACGGGTTCCTGAAACCGTTCAGATGTTCACCCCCGTTTATAACAGTCTACGCTGATGTCGAAACTCACCGGCACACATTCAGAGACATCGGAGATTGATTTCACGACTCTCACGACCGTCCCCGGGACTCTCAAGGTGCACGGCGCGCCCATACAAATCTTGGATCTACGTGCGTCCTTTCGCACAGCTCTTGGAGGCCAAGATCTAACTCTTCCATAGCCGGGATCATTGAAGGTGCAAATGACGGTCGAGGTCGAGGTCGACAAGGTGCGCAACATCACAGGGGTTCAACTGGATCATGTTCAGGCCTGACCGCAATTCCTGCACATCATAGTTATCGCTGGTGCGCATTTTTTGCCCACACCACCCGCATTCCCCATCTCAGGTCTGCGTCCCCAGTTGCTCGGACATGTCACCTCATCTTCATCGTGCTCGACGTGCTCAAGCCGCTCGGAGACAAAGCCATCATCGAGAGCGAGCTGGAAGGCTTCGGCATCCGCCTGAACAAGAAACCGCCAGCCATCACCGTGCGCAAGAAGGACAAGGGCGGCATCGCGATCACGAACACGGTCCCGCTCACGAACATCGACCACGACGAGATCAAGGCCGTGCTCAGCGAGTACCGCATCAACAACGCCGACGTCGCCATCCGCCAGCCGGGCGCGACCGCGGACGACCTCGTCGACGTCATCGAGGGCAACCGCGTCTACATCCCCGCCATCTACGTGCTGAACAAGATCGACGCGATCTCGATCGAGGAGCTCGACCTGCTGTACCGCATCCCGATGTCGGTCCCCATCTCCTCGCGCGAGTGGTGGAACATCGACGAGCTCATCGAGAAGATGTGGGAGACGCTCAACCTCGTCCGCGTGTACACCAAGCCGCGCGGGCTGCCCCCCGATTACAACTCGCCCGTCGTCTTGCGCCGCGGGAAGTGCAGCGTCGAGGACTTTTGTAACGCGATCCATAAGGAGATCGCGAAGCAGATGAAGTATGCGATTGTGTGGGGCGCGAGCGCGAAGCATTCGAGGGGACAGAAGGTTGGGTTGGATCATGTGTTGGAGGACGAGGATGGTAGGTCCCTTACTACCACCGTTCGCGAGTCGTTTGCATCGCTTGCTGACCTTTCCTGGCAGTTGTGCATATCTCGAAGAAGTAGATCTGTCGACGCCATTGCATTTGTTACCTCACCGTTGTAGTCCTACCTATTTCACTGTTGTTCATCTGTTTTACAGCCATGTTAAATCACGTCTTGCCCAACGCCCTCACAAAGCACCTCGATGGTCCCAGAGCGCCTGCGAAGTCCAATAAGATGCATATAATTGCATTAACGAGCAGTTGCGTCTTACAGTAAGTAGAGCATAAGTGAGCAGGAGGGACTAATAGGAAGCGTAGCGTGTGACTAGGGAAGTGTTTAGAATACAGTCTAACTCTAGAGTATTCGATACAGGTTACACGGTTGAGTGGGGATGTGACATCCTATCAATACAAACCACGACTAGCCCATGGGATAATTTAGAAGTCCTCGTTCAGGGTACTATGACACTCATCAGCAACAAGGGGGAGGGGGCGGAGATAGGATAAAAAGGGGCTCACAAGACGTGGTTGGAAGAGCCCTCGGCCGGCTTTTCCGAGCCCTCACGAGACAGCGTGTGGTTGAAGTTGGCCTTGGCGTACTCCGAGACGCGCTTCTCGAAGAAGTTCGCCTTGCCCTGGAGCGAGATCATGTCCATGAAGTCGAAGGGGTTCGTCGCGTTGTAATGCTTCTCGTTTCCGAGGGCCACGAGCAGCCTATCTGCGACGAACTCGATGTATTGGCACATGAGCTGTGCGTTTATGCCGATCAGCGACACGGGCAGGGCCTCTGCGATGTGCAAGAAAGCGGTAAGCACGGGGGCGGATGTATGCCTGCGAATAGCGGACTGAACGTACCGCTGAGGAACTCCTTCTCGATCTCGACAGCCTCGGTGATGATCTTTACTACTCTTGCCGGATGTGGTCGCCGGCGGAGATGGTGGAATAGGAGGCACGCAAAGTCGGTGTGCATGCCCTCGTCCCGAGAGATGAGCTCGTTCGAGAACGTCAGCCCAGGCATGAGTCCGCGCTTCTTGAGCCAGAATATAGAGGCAAACGATCCAGAGAAAAATATACCCTCCACGGCAGCAAACGCGACCAAGCGTTCGGCGAACACCGACCGCTCGTCCGCTATCCAGCGCAGGGCCCAGTCGGCCTTCTTCTTGATGCAGGGTACGGTCTCGATGGCGTCGAAGAGGAACTTGCGCTCGGCGGGGTCCTTGATGTAGGTGTCGATGAGGAGGGAGTAGGTCTCGGAGTGGACGTTTTCGATCATGATCTGGAAGCCGTAGAAACATCGCGCTTCGGCAGCTTGCACTTCGTTGGAGAAACGCTCGACGAGATTCTCGTTGACGATGCCGTCGGACGCGGCGAAGAAGGCGAGCACGTAGGAGAGGAAATGCCTCTCGTTGTCAGTGAGCTTGTAATTCCAGTCCCACAGGTCATGCGAGAGGTTGATCTCCTCGACGGACCAGAAAGAAGCTTGGGCCTGTTTGTACATCTGCCAGATCTTGTGAGGCGATAGGTGAGCGGCTGACAGCTGTCAAGGACACTGGCATAGATTAACCTCATTGTATTGTATTGGGAAAAGCACAAAGCGACGAGTTGTCTCAGTGAGCAAAGGCTCGAGGTCTATCGAGGCGTAGCATAAGCGTGCGTCCATGCTCAGAACGGTATACCGGCGTACGTTCAGGCAGGTCGACTTCGCCGATGAATCGTTCTTGCGGATCTTCGTAAGAGCTTGGGCTACGCTTTTCTTCAGTAACACTGGAGATTGATCCGGTTTTGGACACATGTTTTAGTTTTGCATTGGGGCTCCTTGGGGGCTGAGGTGAGACGGAAACGCTTGACGTGTGAGCTTCGTTACTCGGTGGAGGGACAGGCAGGCCAGCCTGCATGGCTGTCGACTGGTGGGACGTAGCTGGCGTTTCGTCGTATGATGGGGACATGGGCGCAAGGCACTGGTCAATGGTGGAGGGACGACAAGGCAGTCCGCAATCCGTCCGTTAGGCGGAGGAGAGACCGTTTCTGTCGCCGTCGATCTGGCCCGCGGCTTACGCGTAGGCGCGCGCGGAGCCGGAAATGAGTCGCGTTATGTCACGTGATGGGAATGCTCAGGGGTTGCGCCCAGGCCTTGGACATGGCTCCGTCGGCTTCTTTCGGCTTCTGCCCTATGGCCAGCACCAGCAAGCGCCTTTGGGTTGCGCTCGGAGCAAACTTCCCACGATCGCGACCACGCCAAAGCCTATATACCAGCACGCGACGCGACGCGTCAACAAAGCCAAACAACGCGTGTGCCTCGCTTGTTGAAAGTCTGGCCGTATATAAGCCCCTGCTTGCCGCACACTATTCTGTAACGCACCCCGACGACGTGCTCAAGCCAACATACACGCCTCCCAATATACTCCTGACACTGCCTATCATGTCCGCCACCGTCGTTGTTGCACCTACCCGCGTCCCATCTCCTCCACCGACGCCTTCTAAGAAGGCCAGTTATGACGCATCGCGTCCCATGACCTTGTCTCACTCGCTACCACAGGCTGCTGCTGCCATGCAAAAGCTTGAAATCGTTGATGCCCCGGAGCCTGTCTCATCCTCATCAAGGCATCAATGGGTCGGAGAGGTCGACCTCCCTGAACGTGAGTGGTTATGACGCGCCATATCGCGTCGCGACGTGTCTTAATTAGCATCTTCACCCGTAGACATGGAGCCTCTTCTAATGGAGTCCAAGCGTCGCTTCGTCCTCTTCCCCATTCAGTACCACGAGGTTCGTTTCACCTCATGACTTCGATATATGTTCATGGTGCTCATGTTTCCATGCAGATCTGGCAAATGTACAAGAAGGCTGAGGCGTCTTTCTGGACCGCCGAGGAGATGGATCTCTCCAAGGATCTGCACGACTGGAACAACCGTCTCAACGACGATGAACGGCACTTCATCTCCCATGTCCTCGCCTTCTTCGCTGCGTCTGACGGCATCGTCAATGAAAACCTTGTCGAGCGTTTCTCCAACGAGGTTCAGGCTGCTGAGGCTCGCTGCTTCTACGGCTTCCAGATCATGATGGAGAACATCCACTCCGAGACCTATTCTCTGCTCATCGACACATACATCAAGGACCCCAAGCAGCGTGAGCACCTCTTCGATGCCATTGACACCATACCCTGCATCAAGAAGAAGGCCGACTGGGCCCTCCGGTGGATATCCGATAAGCAGTCGACTTTTGCTGAGCGTCTTGTCGCCTTCGCCGCTGTCGAGGGTATCTTCTTCTCGGGCTCTTTCGCGTCTATCTTCTGGTTGAAGAAGCGTGGTTTAATGCCTGGCCTCACGTTCTCCAACGAACTCATCTCTCGGGACGAGGGCATGCACACCGACTTCGCGTGCTTGCTCTTCAGCCACCTCAAGAGGAGGCCACACCCCGATCACATCCGCAAGATCATCACGGAAGCCGTTGAGATTGAGCAGGAGTTCTTGACTGGTGCGTCCTGCATTATTACCTCATCGTTCCGAGGCTTATCCTCGCGTGTCCATAGACGCACTCCCTGTCGCGCTCATTGGCATGAACTCAAAGTTGATGTGCCAGTACATTGAGTTCGTCGCTGACCGTCTTCTCGTCGCTCTCGGTGACGAGAAGCACTACGGCGTCACGAACCCCTTCGACTTCATGGATATGATTTCGCTGCAGGGCAAGACCAACTTCTTCGAGAAGCGTGTCTCGGACTACTCCAAGGCCGGGATCAACACGTCCACTACCACCGCGACGACGGAGGTGAACACGAGCAAGACCTTGTGAGTATCTTCCTCCCGTTGGTGTCCCGGCTCATAGCTGATAAAATGTCCACAGCACGGTTGACGAGGACTTCTGAGCTCGTCTTCCACTTGCTCGCCGTTGGTGGACTTGACATTATCTTATTCGTTTCTGCATCGCCCAGCATGGATATGAAGTACCTTATCACACGTAGACCAGAACTGTCACACTAGCATCGCTACACACTGTACTATCCCATATGTATCCTCCTAGTTGTCATACCACGATATCCTTGCAATCGATATGTTGAATGCAAATAGTCGTTCTGTGAGCCGCTGGCTTTCCCTTATCTGTGGATACCCGATCGACGTCGGAGTATTGGATGGCAATGGGTATATGACTCGGCCTGACTTAAATGTCGAGGGCTCGTACCGTGCTGTTCTTGTTCACGCACAATTTCAACATGGTGGTAACATTCCGCGACGCGAGCGAGGCCGACTTGCCCGCCATCCTCGACATCTACAACGAGCAATTCCTCCATGGCACCGCGACGTTCCACACGGAGCCCCAGACCCTCGCGCAGCGCGTGGAATGGCTCGCGGCACTCAGCGGAACACTACCCTTGCCTTGTGGCCGAACTTGTGGAGGCGGACGCAGGTTCTACGCGTACTGTCGGGTGGTGCAACCTCTGGCACTACAAGGAGCGGCCGGCGTACGATGCGTGAGTAGCGCGTGTATACAGAGCGTGCACGGCTGCTCACGAGGAGACGCGTAGGACGGCGGAGTTGTCGTTATACGTACACGAGAGTCTACGCGGAAAGGGTATTGGCGCAAAGCTCCTGGAGCGGACCCTCGAGGAGACGAGGAAACATGGGGAGCGGTTCCATGTGGTCACAGGTGAGTACGTGGAAGGCAAGCGATGGAGGATATGTGCGGCTCTGAGCGCGTGATGCAGCGAGTGTCACCACCGAGAACGAGCGGACGATGAAGTTCTGGGCCGAGCACGGGTTCGAGCTTCGAGGGACGGTCAAGGAGGTGGGACACAAGTTTGGGAGGTGGCTGGACGTATCGTACTTCCAGCTGACGTTGTGACGGGCACAGAAGGAGAGATATGCATAGCACACACGGGAAGCAGAATGCAGGAGGACACGAGAGCGGCGTAGGAGGACTGACGTGCTACCGATCCTTCTTGGACTCTGCGGGCTGCTTTCCCTTCTCCTTCGTCTTTATGCGCGATTCTTCTCGGAGAGACTCGATTATATACGCGACGAGTACCACGTTCGCGGCAACTACAGCTGTGATGGCTGCGAATATAGTGTTGCCTGGGATTTTAAGAGGGAGTATGAGTTCAACGCTCGCTATGGCAGAAGATCGACATACCGTCCCAGAGGTAATCCCTAGACAGGAAGTATGATGATATAGGGACAATTCCGAGGGAAAGAGCAAATATCAGCAACTTCCCAAGTACACCTCTGCGGATAGTGAACTGGGATGTCAGCTTGGCACACACGCTCGTATGATCAAGCTACTGACCCCTGTTGCTCAGCTTGCCGCTCAACGATCTTCGCCGCTGCTACCTGTTCGCTCATGACCAGCGTGTTCCGATCACAAGATTGAAGGATAGGGTGTGGACTGACTGCACAGGGCCGAATGGCAAAGAAAGTGGTGGTCGAGGACAGAACAAGACGCGCGCCACGGTCGCGTCTGCACGTCATGTGAGCATGTGGCAAGGACGCGATGTGGCACGCGGGGAGCTCTCGTACCTACACTCCTTGCCACCCCTCCTCCGGGACTGCATGTCGTAGAGATCACATTCTTTGCTAGAAGCACTGCTCACCGAAAGACTTTACTCGATGAGCCAACACCGGCTGTCCCCCATCGCAACCCGACCGTCGTCCGGCGCCGTCACAGGAGAGAAGAGCCATGCTTTGCCAGATTCCATACCGGAGGAGAGCACCAACCCAGTGAAGGGAACCCAGGAAGAGAAGAACTCCCCTGTTATAAAGTCAGGATGGCTGTCCTCGCTAAAGCTGGATATGACGAAGACGGACTGGGACATACTCATTGCCTCAACATGTCTCAAGCTACTGCTGTTCCCCGCATAGTGCGTCTCGTTCCAGCACGGTATCTAGCTATAGCGCTGAGCATCTCTCGTAGTCGATCCACAGACTTTGAGGTGCATCGCAATTGGCTCGCCATTACCCATTCACTGCCGATATCTAAGTGGTACTACGATGTACGAGCATTCTACCGTATGTCACATACATGCCGCTCAATCTACCTTTTCATTCGTAGACTACCTCTGAATGGAGTGAGTGTATTCTAAGTGTCAGGATGTAACGATTCTAATAGTCTTTGAAGCACTGGACTACCCCCCATTTTTCGCGTACTTTGAGAAGCTACTGTCCATCCCAGCGTATTTCGTCGACCCTCGTATAGTGGACCTCAATAACCTCAACTATGATTCGTGGTCCGTTATAGCGTACCAGCGTACTACTGTTATTGTGACAGAGCTTGTGCTTGGAGCGGCCGTTCTCAAGTGAGTGGAAGAGGCAGATATCGCTCGACGAAAGCTGACTCTGAGCACAGATTCATTCGTGGGGCAGAGAATCCGGCGATGCAGCGCATCATTTCCGCGTCCCTCTTCTTACATCCCGGATTCTTGATCGTGGACCATATACACTTCCAGTATAATGGTTTCATGTTCGGGATTCTGTTGTGGTCAATACTGATGGCTCGGAATGTATGCCACCTTACTGTATACTTGATTGCTTTTGACGAATGTTTCATTGCAGGATCGCAAGCTAGCGAGTGGTTTCCTCTTTGCTGTGCTGTTGAACTTCAAACACATCTATCTCTACCTTGCAGTACGTCTGTCGCTGCATTGTGGAATATCGTGCACTCGGAACTGAGGTTCATGCTGTAGCCAGCGTACTTCATATACCTTCTTCGTTCTTACTGCTTGTCGCCATCGTATACTCTCCTTCCTGGTCGCTTCTTATCACTAGCCAACGTCGTGATCCTGACATTCCTCGCGTCACTAGGCCCCTTCCTACTCATGGGCCAGCTTCCTCAGCTTCTGAGCCGTCTATTTCCATTTACTCGCGGCTTAAATCATGCCTACTGGGCGCCGAATGTATGGGCATTGGTCACGGCACTCGACCGCGTCCTGCTCAAGGGTTCGTTCAGCTTCCTCCTGCTGTTGTCCGGTCAGCATCCGTTATTGACTCGCGGCCAGTCGTCAGCAGAGGCCAGTTGGCCGGCATCGCTGTCAACGAGTTCGGCGTCGCATCCACATCTCGAGGACTCGTTGGTGATACGGTCTTCGCGGTCCTCCCAACAGTGAAGCCTATTCACACCTTCGCAATCACGGTCGCATTCCAGACGGTATGTCATCTCAATTAGAGCACATTCGTTGAAGAGCAGACTCATCCGTTGCAGATTTACATGGGCAAGCTGTGGATGAACACGTCGTATAAGTCTTTCGTGACAGCGCTTACGCTGTGTGGATTCACGTCTTACATGTTCGGGTGGCATGTGCACGAGAAGGCTATCCTCCTTGTATTAGTGCCGTTGAGGTGAATCCTTTGTTCGCTTTCCCTGCGCTATCAGCTAATATCGACCGTCAGTCTGCTTGCTGCCGAGGACAACGAACACTTTCGCACCTTCGAGATAGCCTCAGTGGCCGGTATATTCTCTCTGTTCCCGTTATTGTTTACGCCAGCAGGTATGTTGTGAGCTTCGTCGTGCAAGTACATTCAGCTGACACTGTTCAGAAACATTGACCAAGATCATTTACTCGGTCCTCTGGGTCATCTTCGTCTTGCGGCCTATCCACCGTCAAGTCTATCAGTAAGCATGATTGCTTCCATAACCTGTAGACCGTAGCTGACGAATGGACCAGGTTCCCGAGATCGTTTCCTTTCGTGGTTATCGACGTCCTTGAGAGGCTGTATCTTGCGTGCTTCCCGCTTCTCCAAATCTTCGTTACGGTGTTCCCGCTCTTGACGAAACGGACCACTCCGGTTGATGGCACTTCTGACCACGCCGATGCAGCGGATACTGGAGTTTCTGCGCTCAAATTCTTGCCTTTGATGGTAACGAGCGTGTACTGTGCTATTGGGCTTGTATGGGCTTTTATCCGTCTTTCTGTAATCTACCTCGCTCGCCAAGATTGAATACGATCATCTTACGGACCCCGGCGGCCGTCGGGGCTATTACCGACCTTCATAACTAATAAAGAGTGATGCTTTACCGCGCTGAATCGTGGACAGTCTCCAGCACATCTGGGCATAAAGGAACACTCATCCGAGCGTCCACACCAAAGCTTAAACCGATGCCGTCATAATCGATCTAATCTTATCTCTGTCGCTAAACTGAAGTTTTGTCAAGCGCCCAAGAGAGCGATTATGTGCGCTTATGGTTGCTGAAGACTCCCCTCCCGTACTTGCAACACAATCAACCCTCCACCCGGTCCCCGTACTCACTACCTTTTGAACTTATGGTGAGCTTCCTCTACAAACGCTAATGAAAGTCCTCTACTAATTTTAGTTCAGATTCGCAGGCAGGCACGCGAGCGTCGTCAATATATCTATGCCAAGTCGCTAGAGGCGCAAGAGCGACAGACATATCTCCGGAAGCAGCAGGTCAAGGATGTGCTCGCTAGTGGGAAGGCTTTGCCAACGGAGCTGAGGAAGGATGCGAATGCGCTGGGTCGTGACCTTACCTTTGATGAGGCGCAAGCAGGTGCGTGGGCCTTACCATATATCATGGTTTCGCCATTGATGTATATGCATCTTCAGAACCGTCATCGCACATTGACAATGAGTACTCGCGCGCGGGAATTCTGGACCCAAAGATTGTTGTTACGACATCAAGAGACCCCAGTTCCAAGCTGCTACAGTTCGCGAAGGTACCTAAAGACTCTGCTTGCAAACCTTTTTGGCTCATGTTCTGCTCCTGTTCAACAGGAAATGCGCCTGGTGTTCCCTAACTCCCATCGGATAAACCGAGGAAACTATGTCGTGAAGGAATTGGCAGAGGCGTGCAGGACGAACGATGTCACAGACCTAGTCATCCTCCACGAACATCGCGGTGTACCAGGTGGGTTCAATCCGTTCCGAGTTACTGTTGGTCCGTATTCTAAAGCAGCATATCCCACTAGATGCCATGATCGTTTCTCACTTTCCTCACGGTCCTACCGTCTACTTCACCCTACACAACGTACAACTGCGACATGACATCGCCTCGTATAAGTCATCAACAGTCTCCGAGCAGTACCCACATCTCATATTTGAGAACTTCTCCTCAAAACTCGGCGAGCGGATACGAGACGTACTGAAGTACCTCTTCCCCGTTCCAAAGGAAGACAGCAAGCGAGTGATGACTTTCTCAAACGAGGACGATTTTATCTCGTTCAGGTACTCGCGCTGTTCAGGAATGCGGCTTGGCTTTGGCTGACGAACGTCTTAGACATCACGTGTTCATGAAGATTCCTCCACGGCAAGTCCAATTGGCTGAGGTTGGCCCCCGGTTTGAGATGAAACGTACGTACAGGTTGTTCACACAGTTTGCTCCCGCTCACCTCCCTGTATCGCAGCGTACGAGATCCGCCAAGGTACAATAGAGCAAACAGAGGCAGAACGGGAGTGGGTACTTGCGCACTACTCAAGGACAGCCAAAAAGCGTAGTCTGCTCAGCGGACCCGCCCCACGGCCTTCCGCCACCGCAGAAGACGCAGACAAAAATCCGAAGAAGCGCGCAAGGCGATAGTGCCGTCATCCCCTTGGGTTTCCATTCGCTTTTGTTGTATCCCATATTTCTTGTACTATATCCTCATCCATACAGTCTCGTTATGACGCATATATAGCTGCCCCTTATTGCTCCCTTATTCGGCTTGGTTTGGGGTTCTGGCCTCGCACGATTTCTTAGGGATCCTAGCTCCATATTGTAGGCTTCTCAGCTGGCCTGAGCATCTGCATCGGGCCAAAGGTGAGGCGAATCCTATCGCGACCATACTGACGTGACGCTTACGACATACATGGGGACAGGGTCTCTGTCCCAGGCAGGATTGTTGCTGCCAATATAAGTTGTCCCCACCACTGAAAACCCCAGCCTCTGGTAGAAAGTGTATGCATCACTCGTTACTAACCAGGTATCTCTACCGTCAGCATCGCTCTTTCAAAGGGGAGCAGGGGTCAGTGCGTCTCGCCCATAGTAGCGACTACTCATATTCACCTTTTTCAAAACATGCTCAACCAAAGCAGTGCCGTAGCCGCGCCCTTGTGCCTCCGGTGCGGCAGAGAGGCCTTGGATTTCATATATTTCCTTCACGCGGTCGCCAAATGCCCCTTGGACCATCTCGCGTATCCTCTCTCCAACCTCATCTTGCCTCTTCAGTCATGGCGTCAGTCACACGACCGTGGCATCGTATTCACACACATACCTTGGCGAGACCCTTGGTTCTCAATAATCCCAACAATCTAATGATCAAGCTGACAATCCACGGCATGCCCACGTCGCCTGGAGCGCTGCTACGGTCAATGTTTGTGTCAGAATAAGGCAAGCGCGCGTCCTCTGGAGATTCCTTCTGAACTTACTATTGTATCATGGCTCCGGCCCCACGATCAATAGTGACTATCCGCCCCTGATATATGCCGTAGCTGAATCTCAGTAGATTTATGGGGAACCGCAAGAGCCGGTTCCATGCAGGCCAAGCATCGGCTTGCTGTCGTTTGACGGACAATGTACCTATAAGTTGCCTGCGTATTGCGTGGACAGAGAGCACTCACCTTAAAGTAAGATGTCAGGCTGTCCTGAAGGAACGCCCTTCGCACCGTACTGATCACGGTCACCATCTCGTCTGACAGCCGAGTCACGTCAGCATGCACGTTGTAGTATATCCAAACTTCGTGAAAGGACCGTACACCATCGCAAAGGCTTGATGTCAGGCGGGGGCAGCTTCCAGGATTTATCACTACGAGGAGCCGCAGCTCTTGATACCGTACCATTCGACTCCAATAGCGACTTTGTGACAGCTACTCCGGATACCACGGGTCCCATGGTACAGTGGGTGACGAGTCGGTTATTCTGAGATATGTGGGCCCGCGTCGCGATATGTAGGTTTATGTAGGAGCAGCGGGACTACGTCGCTAAAGGTACGCCGTGCTCGCCACACGCAGGAAGCGTATTCATTGGGCCGTTCGATACTGTGCAAACCGATCATGAGGAAGATTACCCATCTGACTAGGCTCACGGCACTGCGATAGTGTGCCTGGAATTTGAAGCGAGATCGATTCGTTATCACCTTCGACTACGCAGCGATTGACTACTATCCACCGCAGCATACAGGAATTGTAGATGTCGGTGGTGCACACGCTAGGGTGACTCGATGTATTGAACGGAAGGTGGTGACTATACTGAAAGCTGCAGTTGTGCCTGCGCTTCGTGAGTATATCGCGCAATCCACGCGCAGCCCATCGCAAGCCGCAGCGCGCTGCGGCTATGGTCTAGCATCCCAGAAAGGTCCAACAACAAGGTCCTAAGTTGTGGTCGTGGCGGCGACACTTTCCAACGGCGAGAGTTTGGTGAAGGCACTGCATACGATACATATTGACGGCTAGACTGTGTACATGACGGGGCTCTTGGGTTCTGATGAAGCCTGCGCAAGAGACGCCCTAGCAGTTCTGTGCATCTGTACCGGACTTTAGTGTGACGAGCTGGATGCGCATGAGAAGGGCTCCATACGATTCTCAATGTAATCGGCTCGCCGTCCCAAGCAGGATTGTCTTCGCCTACCTTGCCGCTACGGACAGTCACGAAACCGAAATGCTCGTAGAATCCGTAAGCGCTGGTTGTCAGAAGCCAGACATCGCGTCCGTCGGCGTCGCCCTTGAAGGGCCGAGTTTCAGCGCGCAGGTCTTCGTAAGACATGAACCGAGTGTTCAACTGACCTGCCTCAGAACGTACTTCACGAGAGCAGATGCGTACCCGCGGCCTTGTGCATCTGGATCGGTGGCGAGCACTTGTATCTCCATCATATCCGCGACCTTCTCCCCAAACGCTGCTGAGACCAGCTCGCGTGCCTTGGCTCCGAATTCTTTCCATCGCTTCGATGATCCATCTCGTGAGCGCGTCTGTGGGATGACCACGAATTGACAGCCAGCTCACCTTAGCGCATTCCTCAGGACGCAATCGACCAAGAGAGTCCCTCAAGAATGCCACAGAAGGTAAATTCGTTTGATTACCAGGCGGTCCGCTGGATAATCCTCAGTCCCTCGGCGCGACCACTGCGAGAAGAAAGGTGTGGCTCTGTTGGGGTAGGACGCACTACTTCATGAGGGACATGCCTCCTTCGACTGTGAGCATTCGCTCTTGGTGCATTGCCCCCATCCAATCGACCATATCGATGAGTTTCCGTCGTGAGACTGGAAATGGTGCAGTGTCTGCCGCCTAGGAAGGCATGGGATCTGCAAGACGTTACTCTTCTGTGTTTGTGGTGGCCACTCACGTCGAAATATTCCATCAAAGGGTCGTCCTCAAACGCTTTGCGGATCGACTCGGCAGCGACGGGCATGTCCCCTGCGCAACAGGTACCTGATTCACAACTCCCAGATAGCTGCTCAACATCAGAACCTACGAAATTTCATCGGTACGACGTCAACGGCCTGCACGCTTCGTTTGCCGTCTCCTTCGAGCAGCGGTGTGGTTTCAACGGCGCCAGCGCGGGTCGGAGGGTCCATATTGCTAATCTCCATCTTTCAGGATGATGACAGCGGTGAGGGGAAGCGAGAGGGAATCCTTCTATGAATCAGGCCGTTATATACGATCGCGGCACAACGTGAGAAACCGGAACTTGGAAGGCTGCCAAACGAGAAGTTGATCTTTGATCCCATTGATTCCTTTTGCGCAGTTCTCGGAGGCCTTGTACAAGAGCGCTCGGGCGATCGAGAGGGCGCTATGGTTTTGAACGTCTTGGATTTGTTGAGCCTATGAGCAAGCGACATACAAGGACTTCCCAGTGTTGCTAGTCGCGAAGCATGGCAGGTTGCGGTTCATGACAAGTAGAGGAAGCTTCTGGACGAGGCATATATTCGATACACAGGTCAAGTCTGCAGCAGAGGAGCGTCAAAGTTGTGAATTGGTATTGTCAGGTGGTTTGTGGTACATTCGAAGACGACAAGATCAAAGATGCGTCAACCCGACGCCGTCCAAGACCGATGAAAATCACTCCACGGTGAGCGATTTGTCGACTTCGTTGAAGCCCTCAAAGAACGAGGTGAACAGGTCGATCGCGTGCTGGACGTCATGTGAACCCGCGGTCTCGCGGATGGAGTGCATCGAGAGCATTGCCCAGCCGACATCGACTGTCCGGACGCCGATCTTCGACAGCATAGGGCCGACGGTGGAGCCACAAGCCCTATGGGTCGAGTAGTGGATGAGCACCGGTGCTATTCCATCCTGGTGACGCAGCAGAGCAGGCTTTGAGTATGTACTCACATGTCGTTCCGGACCTCGTACTCCTGCACCTGTCCGCCCTTCCTCTCCACTAATTTCTTCACGACGAACGTGCCGATCGCATCGCTCGCATAGCGCTGCTTCGCGTTCGTCTTGATCACGACGCCCCCATTTATCTTGGGTGCGTGGTTGTCCTCGTGCTTGTCCTTGTAATTCGGGTGCACGGCGTGCCCCATGTCGGCACTGACGAGGAACGAGCGAGAGACGGATTGTGCGTATGCTGCTGGAGTAGGCGATAGGCGTTGGAGGAGGAAGGGGATGATGGAGGATTCGGCCCCGGTGGTGGAGACGGAGCCGATCTCTTCGTGGTTGAAGAGTGCGATGGCGTTCACGTTGCCTTCGAGGACGCTGAAATGCGACGAGGACGCGAAGGTAGCGAGGGCCTCAACCGCAGCAAACCTGACGATGCGTTTCGGTGAATGTGTGGTATGGGCAAAGGCTTCGATAGCTTACGAGGAGAACTGGTTGTCCATACGGGGACTGAAGATGAATTCACTGTTCAAGCCGCCAAGCACAGACGGTTGGGTGTCGTACAGCTGCCTATCGAATGATCAGCAAGCGTGCGCAACAAAAGAAGATATCCTACGCACAGCTCGAAGTCATGGATGTATTCCGGCGCGACAGAAAGCTCGCTAGCCAGTAGTGATAGGAGAGCCGGATGGTGGTTCTCTTGGATGCTTGTCGCCTTCTTTGACCCTTTGGTCTCACCGGCCGAAGAATTCAGTTCTGACTCGATGAGGCCAAGGATGGGCACGAACTGCGTCTCTGTGTTGAATTGGAAGTTGTCCGCCGCACCTCTTTCCACTATAGATGCTCGTCACACCAGAGAACATAGCAGCACATTGAAATATCTTACAGTGAATGGCTAGGGTGGGTATTCGCAGAATGGGCTTGTCGATCCGAACGAGCTTCGACGAGAAGTTCCCGTCCTTATCGGCGATGACGACACGGCCAGCCAAGGCGAGGTCTCGGTCGAACCAAGAGTGCCAGATACCGCCACCGTAGGTCTCGACGCCGACCTGGAGGTATCCGACCTTGCTCTTCTTGGATACAGGTCTCACCTATTGTTTGCACGGTTGAGCAACAGTTCAACCTTTGACGCACAATCTCAGATCAACGTGAACTGACTCGGAGATTAGGGCTGTCGATGTGCGTCGCAACAATAGAGACACCAGCGCCCGGTGTCCAACCTTGGGGGATGGTAAACGCGACCAAAGCGGCTTGGTTGCTATCGGGCGATCGTTGAGATGGAGCAATTCACATGAGCAGAGGGGACGAACCGCGCGAAGTAGTACTTGCCGCCGGCTTTCAAGCTCTTGTCCCAATCGTCCTGCTCTCGGATCTGACACAGGCAGACATCATGAGTACCTGTCCAGTCACTTAGTCCGGACTCCCATATACCTTCTGGAAGCCGGCCTTCTCGAGACGAGCGGAGGCGGCGCGCACGGCATGGTAGGGAGTGGGGGAAGCGTTGACGAAGTCGAGGAGCTTATGCGCGGCTTCTGGGCCAGCTTGCTGCATTATGGTCATCGTCCGGGAGAGAACGAGAAGGCTTGAAGGACGCGTAGGACGAGCTGTATCGATTAGGCAGGCTTTGTGCAGCCTGTGAGAAACTGCGATGAATCTACGCGGAGTGCACACCCCCACGGTCGCCAGTCGAGATCGGAGGAGCATCGAGTCTAGCACCCGTGGGAACCCTCGAAATTATTCCCGCTCCCGCTTCCCATTGGCTCCCGGGGAGTAATTCGCGTCCTCAGTCCCTGTCCTTCGTACCCTTCCTCTCTGCACTCGCATCATGGTGCAAAGCTATTTGCGCCATGGGCCTACAGAGGTATGCGTTCATGTCGTGATGCGACAGTTCTATCTAACGTCTCGGAAAGGCTTTTGGGTTGGTTTGCAGCGCCTCCTCGAACTCACACTACGACGGAAAGTTGGCTTACGTTCCTGCGCTCGAGGATGTTCTGGTCTGGGATGTCAAGAAGGGCCAGCAGGTGCGTCATACACTACTTGAAGCACTCCTATGCTCATATCTCGTAGCTCGCAATGTGGCATGAGACCGGTCACAGAGCCGAAGTCACTTGTATCCTGCGCTCTCCGCAAAGAGACCTCTTCGCAGTGGGTTACGCAGATGGTTCGATACGCCTATGGAGCGCCTCCGCTCAGTCTGTGCTCGCAACGTTCAACGGACACAAGAAGGCCGTCACCGCCCTCACATTTGACGAGACCGGTACCAGACTAGCGTCCGGGTCGCAGGACACCGATCTCATCCTCTGGGATGTCGTAGGGGAGGCTGGGCTATACCGGTTCGTCCATTCTACCTACCGTCCCTTCTGTGTGCCTCATATATATGTGCAGCTTGCGAGGTCACCGAGACCAGATTACTGCAATCCGTTTCGTTCGGCCTACTGCGGAGTCTGCGCCATCTACTTCTACCGGAATTGCTCCTGGCTACCTCTTGACCGGCTCCAAGGATACTTTCCTCAAGCTTTGGGACCTCTCTACGCAGCATTGTATCCAGACCATCGTCGCGCACCGGTCAGAGGTCTGGAGTCTTGATCTTAATCCTGAGCAAGAGCTGGTCTTCACCGGGAGCGGGGAAGGAGAGGTGAAAGCATGGAAGATTGACCATGAGGCACTAGCGGAGGGTCTACGGGAGACTGAGTCTGGAGAGGTGCGGCCGACTTTGCAGGTCTCGATTCTGTTGCGCTCAATACGGTTTTCTAAGGTCACGAGGTTCATCCATCCGGTAACTACGCTCCCGCTAGCGTCGGCGCACCGGGTCTCGCAAATCACCTTCCACCCCCACAAACCGTACCTCGCAGTCCAGTCGCATGACAAGTCCGTGGAAGTGTTCAGGATACGCACAGAGGAGGAAATCAGGAAGAAGCAAGCCCGGAGGCGCAAGCGTGCGAAGGAAAAAGAGCAGGAGAAGAAAGAGAAGGGAAAGAAGAAGGACGACGATGCGGACATGCAGAGGGACGAGGAAACAGAGGAACTGGCCGACCTCTTCCAGCCGTACCTGATCGTGCGGGCCAGCGGCAAGGTCAGGTCATTTGACTTCGGTGGGGAGGAAAACGGCGGGAAGGACAACACGCAGCTGTTCGTCGCGCTTTCGAACAACGCGTTGGAGGTGTACAACATTCCCCCACCCACGAAGTCGAAAGATGCCACTCCGGAGGCTACCCGCGTGTATTCTGTTGACCTTCCTGGGCATCGGACAGACGTCCGTACGCTGTGTCTGAGCTCTGACGATGCGCTCCTCGCCTCAGCGTCCAACGGTTAGTAATCTGTGCGTGGATTCACGCGTGCGCATGTACTCATCGTGCTGTGCAGGCTCGCTTAAGATCTGGAACATGAAGACGACCGCGTGTATACGCACCATGGATTGCGGGTATGCAATCTGCAGCACTTTCCTGCCAGGAGACCGTCAAGTTGCGGTGGGCACGAAGTCCGGCGAAATACTTATCTATGACATCGCGTCCTCCTCGCTCGTCGACACTGTCCAGGCGCATTCGGCCACTGTATGGTCTATACACGTTCGTCCGGACGGTACCGGCCTCGTCAGTGGGAGCGCAGACAAGGACGTGAAGTTCTGGGACTTCGAGCGAAAACCGGCCAATAGCGACAACGTTCGTCCCTGTTCACCATGTACGCTCGGTATCCGTGCTAACCTCTCGCATCCAGCCCCGCAGCAACAGCAGCCTCCTCACCCTCGTCCACATCCGCACGCTCAAAATGACCGACGACGTCCTCTCCGTGCGGTACAGCCCGAACGGCAAGCTCCTCGCCGTCGCGCTGCTCGACTCGACCGTCAAGGTGTTCTACCAGGACACGCTCAAGTTCTTCCTCTCGCTGTACGGGCACAAGCTGCCCGTGCTCTCGATGGACATCTCGGGCGACTCGAAGCTGATCGTGACGTGCTCGGCGGACAAGAACGTGAAGATCTGGGGGCTCGACTTCGGCGACTGCCACAAGAGCATCTTCGCGCACGACGAGAGCGTGATGCAGGTCGCGTTCGAGCGGAACGACACGCGCGAGGGCGAGACGAAGCCGTCGCACTACTTCTGGACGGTCGGCAAGGACAAGCTGTTGAAGTACTGGGACGGCGACAAGGTGCGCATCGCTCGTGCGGGGACACCGCCTCTCGAGCTGGGAGCCGGTGCTGAAACCCCCCTCGCCCGCAGTTTGAGAACATCCAGAAGCTGGAGGGCCACCACGGCGAGGTGTGGGCGCTCGCGGTGAGCCACCACGGCAAGTTCGTCGTCACCGGCTCGCACGACAAGTCCATCCGCGTCTGGGAGAAGCTCGACGAGCCGGTACGCACCCCCATCTGCGTCCCTCTCTCTCCCCATCCCCAGTTCGTTACTGACGTGCACGCGCACCGTAGCTGTTCCTCGAGGAAGAGCGCGAGCGCGAGCTCGAAGCCCTCTACGAGGCCGGCATCGCCGACACCCTCAACCGCGACGACGCGCCGATCGGCTCCGGGGCCCCCGGCGCGGACCCCGCCGCCCCCACGGCAGAGACGACGGCGGTCTCGAAGCAGACCGCGGAGACGCTCATGGCCGGGGAGCGCATCATGGAGGCGCTCGACCTCGCGGACGCGGAGCGCGAGACGTTCCGCGCGTACGAGGAGGCGCGGCGCAGGGGCGGCCTCGCGGGGACGGTCGCGCCGCCGCCGCGGAACCCGGTGCTCGCCGCGTACGACGTCGGGCCCGAGGAGTGGGTGCTGCGCGTCGTGGAGAAGGTGCCGGGCGCGGCGCTGCACGACGCGCTGCTCGTGCTGCCGTTCGGGAAGGTCGTGAGCCTGATGCGGTGCCTGAACGTCTGGGCGCAGCGGGTGCGTGGTCTCGTTCGTCCCTCCCCTCCCCTCCCCTCCCCTCTCCTCTCCTTTCCTCTCTCGGTCGCTAACGCACGTACGCAGGAGTGGAGCCTCGTGCTGACGTCGCGCATCGTGTTCTTCCTGCTCAAGACGCACCACCGGCAGATCGTCGCGAACCGCGTGATGCGCACGGCGCTGATCCCGCTGCGGCGGAGCCTGCGCGAGGGCCTGCGGCGGCAGCGGGACGCGCTGGGGTACAACCTCGCCGCGCTGCGCTTCGCGCAGCGGCAGAACGACGCGCGGCGCACGGCCGAGTTCTTCGAGCGCGGCGACGGGGCGCTCTCGGAGGAGCAGGTGCGCGAGCGGATCGCGGAGGGCGCCAAGAAGCGCAAGCGGGTGAACGTCAAGGCGTGACACTGACATCGGCCGGCGGGGCTCGCACGCGGGGGGGGGAGAGGAGATGCACAAAAAGTAGTGTAGAATGGGCTGTATTAGCTGTGTCCGTCTGCCGTGCTACATCATCGCTATGGATACATGCTGCTATGAGTCGTGAACGTCATGCAGGAGAGTACAGTGAGAGGATTCCTAGAAGAAAAAGTGTCGCCCGGAAGGGAGGGAAATCGGGCGGGCACGCGCCGGTTGTCCGCCTAGTTGTTCGCGCTCATCTTCGGGCCCCAGAGGTCCTCCAGCCTTCACACGGCCGGTCGGTCGGTGTCAGTTCAACGTGCGCGCGCGAGACAAGGGACGAACGAGCAGCACGCACCAGCCGTCGGCGGGGTCGGTCGCCTCGCGCATCTGCACGGTGAGGAGGCCCTTGTCGAGGTCGGCGAGGCTCTGGAACGCGGCCTTGGTGAGGTCGACGTGCTTCGAGTCCGCGGCGCAGCCCGCGCACGAGTCGACGACGCGCACGAAGATGCACTTCTGGGGGCTGCTGCACACTGCTCGGGTCCGGCGGGCGCGTCGGCACGGGACGGGGCGTCAGCGAGCGCGGGGGAGGGAAGGGGCGGCGGCGGGACGTACGTTCGAGGAACTTGAAGCATTTGGGCTTGGTCGCCCACCCTACGAGCGTTAGCGCGGCGGCGAACGACCTGTCCTGCGCGACAGGAACGCAAAGCGGGTTCAGCTTCAGGGCGCGATGGGAGACGGAGCAGAGCATTACCGTCGGCGCCCAGTTCGGGTTGGCCCAGCAGCTGGGGTTGTCGAGGTCGTGCCCGGTATACCTGCGCAGGCGCGTGAGCCGACGGTGAGCGAGGGGGAGGCGCGACGCTGTGTGGGAGAGGGAGGCGGGCGGGCGCACCAGGTGATCGTGACGGGCTCCTGCTTGCCGATGCCCTTGATGGTGTTGATGATCTTCTTGACGTTGTCCGTGAGGCCGCCGGCGGCGAGCAGCCCGTCCGAGGCGTTGCTGAGGACGTCTTTGGCGCTCTTCTTGGCGTTCTTGGACGTCTTCTTGGACTTGGACTTGGACTTGGAGTGGGCCTTCTTGGCGCGCGGCAGGAGCAGCATACCGCCTGTTCCGTGGGTGTAGGTGTGGTGGTGTTCGTCTGCGTCGGTCCTAGGGAGGAGCTGCATGTCGGCGGTGCCGTGAGTGTAAGTATGGCGGCGGTGCTCAGCGCCGGCCCTAGGAAGGAGTCTCATGTCGGCAGTCTCGTGGGTGTAGGAATGGTGGTGTTCGGCAGCTCTAGGGCCCAGTTCGTCGTCGTTGTCGCCAGTGTCGCCAGTGCCGCCAGTGGGATCCAAGTGATCAGCATCGTCCAAGTCGTCGCGGGCAGAATCAGGAACAGGTGCGCGAGACTGGTACTTGTAGAGGAGGTTAGTGGTGTTGACGGATTGCCAGCCGTCGCGAGGGTCGAAGAGGTAGTTGTCGCCGAGAGAGTGGGGGGTGGTGTAGCGGCGTTCGAGAGCCATACGCTCCGCGTTGATGTCGGCAGCCAGGACGCCATTAGATGCGGGGCAGACGAGGAGACAGATGGCGGCGACGTGGAAGAGGAAACGGAGAGTAGGGGTCTTCATGTTGTCAGAGAGGGAGGGGGGACTTGAGTAAAGACAGATAGGAGCGAGAAGCCTTGTGAGAGGAGTAGGCGGTAAGGCAGGACTAGGAGAGTAGTCTTCAGTTGGACTCGCGCGAAGAACAAGGCCTCTTTGGCGGGAAATGAGTTGCCCTGGACGCGTCGTGTCACGCTCACGTGCTGGGAGTGCATATCGCGTCCAAATGACTGCCAGCACGAAAGCCCGACAGGTCGCCGACGCTTGCCGACATCGCAGCTCTCGTTCTTGGACGAGGAGCACGATCAGAGGACATGGCCCCTAACACAAAGCTCACCGGCACTCAGCTCATTCACACAGATGACGACCTCCACGGCCCGGAGGTAGCCCCCTCTATCTCCGTCTCCACCAGTCAGTCGCTCCAGTCCCAGTCCCCGTCATTGCGCTCATATCTACCCGTTCTGCTAGCCTTTCGCGCCCCTGACCCCACCAAGGTCCCCGATGCCTTTTCCAACGAGTTCGACCCATGGGACCCAGAACGCCACGTCTACTCCCGCTACACCCAGGGCGTCACCGCCCGCGCCGAGCGTATCCTCAGCAAGATCAATGCGAGTCTTCCGCACATCCGCCCGCAATCCGCTCGCTGACCACCCCTTGTAGGACGGCTACGCCATCACCTACGCCTCCGGCCTCTCTGCTTCTTACGCCGTGAGTCCCGCCGCTCCCGACCCCAATCCAACCCCCGCTGAGTGATAAATCCCAGGCCCTCGTCTTCTTCAACCCCAAGCGCGTCGCCATCAGAGGCGGCTACTTCGGCTGCCACCAGACCATCGACGTCTACAGGCGCAGCCGCCAGGGCGACCTCCCCCTCATCGACATCGACGACGACTTCCGCCCGGGCGACCTCTGCTGGCTCGAGACGCCCCTCAACCCCACCGGCGAGGCCCGGTCAGTCCATCCCTTCCACTCTATCTCTGCTTTCATCCGCCGCCGTCCCCCAGGCTCACGCTCACGTCAGCGACATCAAGCACTACGCGGACAAGGTGCACAACGCCGGCGGCGCGCTGCTCGTCGACGCCACCTTCGGCCCGCCCCCGCTTCAGTACCCCTTCAAGTGGGGCGCGGACGTCGTCATGCACAGCGGTGAGCCGCCCCCGCACGCTTGCTGCTGCTGCTGCTGCTGCTCTGAGCGTCGCTCACACGCCGCGTGCAGGCACGAAGTACTTTGGCGGCCACTCGGACTTGCTCTGCGGCGTCCTCGTCGCGCCTACGCTCGAGAAGTGGAAGGAGGCGCGTGTCTTTCCTGCCTTCGTTTTTTTTTGCTGTTGAGCGTGGATTTCTGCGTTTGGTCGTCTGCGCGGTCATGAAAAGGCCCGCAAGCGAGCTCTGCCGAGAAAACCTGTTTTTTTCTTCGCGGTCGCCCGTCCAATCAGGAAGCAGGTGTTCTCGGCTGGAAGGACCCGCCCCCACGTGAGGCAGGGATCAAGAGGTCACCGAACAGCAATATGCAAGGCCTTTCTATGTCCTAGTTGCAGATGTTGAAGATCTCGCTAGTATTGCGCCGACGTCCGTGCGCAGAAACTTACATTCCCGTTTATCATCACCTGTTCTATTTCCTCTGCCACGGTCTGGTGCGCGTGCTGACTGACGTGAGCGCGTCCAGCTCTGGCACATCCGCACCTTCCTCGGTAACACGATGGGCTCGCTCGAGTCGTGGCTGCTCCTCCGCTCCCTGCGCACGCTCCACCTCCGCGTCCCCCGCCAGTCCGAGAACGCGACCGGGCTCGCGCAGTGGCTTGCCAAAGCCGCCGGGGTGCGTCTGTCCTCCTCCCGCGCGATACTTGGGATACTCACGCACAGCGATGGTCTGCTTCCAGGGCAAGGCGCACGACGGCATCCCCGCGGGGGTCGTCGACAGGGTGACCCACTCGAGCCTGCAGGCCGTCGACGCGCGCGGGTTCGACCCGCGCACGCAGCTTGAGGGCGGGCACCCGCCGACGTTCGCGATATACCTCGCCACGGAGCGGTACGCGCTCCTCCTCCCGCACGCCGTCAAGTACTTCATCGTAAGTCCTGCCTCGGGCACCGGCGTGTGTCCCGATAACACGGATACGAAGTACTGACGTGGCGGACGGGTATTAGCCGGCAACGAGCTTGGGCGGGGTCGAGTCCCTCATAGAGCGGCGCGCCAACCTGGACAAGACCGCTGACCCGCGGCTCGTGCGCATCAGCGTTGGGGTTGAAGACCTCGAGGTAAGTGGGGAAGGGCTCTCGCTCGGATCCTGTGCTGTCCTGTAGCGTCCGCGCTGAACCGCTTCCGTGTCACGGCACAGGACCTCAAGGACGACCTTCGCCGCGCGTTCCAAGAGCTCGCGAAGCCCGCGAAGGCGAGGCTGTGAAAACGTGTTCTGTGCGTGTCGTGCATCCTGGGCGAGGGCAAGGACGAGTGCTCGGGTCGCGGTCGGTGCGCGTCCTGCCTTTCTTTTCTTATCGTGTAGTGTGGCGGCCGACAGCTTCTGACGCCCTGTTCTCTGCGGCTATGTAATAGATCGGGCGCGGCGTCTCTCCATGGGATGCGTGTAGAGCTTCAAGTTTGCGAAGCGACGAAGCGAAGGGGGGCAGTAGAATCGATGGGGCCTGTGCTCTTAGAGCCTCGGAAAGCGATGTTCCCTCCGATAGATGTTGTACAAGGGTTCGAACCGTATCGCCACACCTCCTTCCATAACTGACGTGGGTTTGGCACCCAAATATCACGCGTCGCACTGCGTGGTGGATGTTCACACTGGTTTACTCGGTCAGTATTGGGTTGTCTGTGTCTCGTGGAGTCGGTAGAGGTCCTTGGTTGAGAGCTCAAAAGCCACCATTCCTCTGCTGTCGTGTTGTCCCTTTGTCTGGATCTCGCCTCTGCATCTGTGTACTTCCTACGCAGCGATGGACTCTGCTCGCGTCTACCTAGGCGGTTGAGCTGATTTTTTTCCGTACTCTCTCGGGTCGATTTCTCATCTGTGTGCGCATATGCAGGGGTACCCGACAGCCTGAGCGGCGAAGAGATATACAAGGTGCTCCCTTACGCTTTTTCGCTCCTCCTCGACTGAGACTCACACGGCACGGCAGCACCTTTCGGTCTATGGGCGGATTACGGAGATCAAGCTGCGCCCAGGTATGTCTCTGTGTCTATGTGCACTTTGTCGCTGAGGAGACGGCGGCATCACCCGTGCTGCAGGGTTCGGCTTTGTGCAGTTCGAACACCGGCGGGTGAGTGGTCGAAAAGGTATCGCTACCGCTATGATCACGTCCCGACTTTTCGTGGGGCGGCCGTCAGGATGCACTGGTGAGTGAGGAAGGAAGCGTCGCTCGTGTTATGGCGTGCAATGGGTGGCTCATTTGCCTCTGTCTATTCTGCAGGAGGTCGTCCGCGCATTTTCTAACCAACCATTCTTGGGCTTTGGTGAGTCGGACCCAGCCCGCCCTCCGGCCCGCATAACACGGCTGACGTCCAGGCATTACAGCCATCAACGTGCAGCTGGCGCGCCCCGAGCGGTATGCTCGCTCTCCAGAGTTGGAGTACGAGTACGTGCCGCAAGCTCTTCTCCACCTCGCTGGCGTTGGCATCGCCATTGAACCCTCTCAGACCACCTAGCGCCCCGCCTGCGTACCACCAGCAAGACAGACCAAAGAAGATGAGGTACGCCGTCGTAGTCAACGGCCTGGATCCGCGCACGTGTTGGCAGGTACGTGCTGATCCCATCCACGAGCGGGGACAGTCCCGAACAAGGCACCGATATCGTCCTAGGAACTCAAGGACTTCGGTCGATCCGTCGGCGGGGAGGTCGCGTTCTGCGATGTCGACAAGGATCATCGCACACGAGGGTGTGTGCTCTGTCGTCGGCGGCCCGTCCGCGTCTGACGGCAGCTTGCACCACAGATGGCTCAACTACACCCAGGAGGAGGACGCCAACCGTGCGGTGAGGGAGCTGGACGGCACGCGGCTCCTCGGCAACGTAGTGCGGCTCCAGCGGCAGGCGAGTCGTCCTTATGCGTTATGCCCTCGAGAGGCTGCCGTCTGCGGTCGCGCTGATACGCATTCGACGGTCGCAGTATCACAAAGACGGCGAGTACAGCCCACGCACGCCGAGGGCGGAGCCGTCCGCGTCCGCGTCCCATCCCCGACATGAGCATGGTCAAGGTCAAGGGGGATACAGACACAGTGAAGGCAGCCGTCCGTCGCATCGGGCGCAGTCTGAATACCATGCCCGAGAGCTCGATAGAGATACTGGGGGGAGGGACCGCGCGTTCTCTGGGTCCGCTGCTGTGCGACCGTATCCGCATAATACAGGAGGATACCCGGCCTTGTTCCCAGACAGGACCCTGCCGCACGAGTACGCCATGGGGTCTCATGGTCATCAGCCAGGACAGGGAAACCCCACCGGTTGGCAATTCAGATGATCAATGCCACGGAGGTCCCAGTGGTCCCCTCCCACAGAGTGGACCAGCTCTGCAGGCCTGAAGCCACTGGACATGGACCTAGAACAGGAAGAAAACGCTGAAATCTATTGTGTAGTCCATGACGTCATAACGGATCATTTGCTCTAGATGGAACCCGAGTATATGCTGTTGTATCCTAGTCTAACGTTTGCCCTTGTACATGTTAAGGAACGCCGCCTTGTCTTCCCACCCCAGCCCCACACGCTTGAAACGCCCGATTTGCGACATCAAAGCAGCACAGCATTCTGCCAGTTCGTCAGAATACGTGCCCCCGGTGAGGAACTCGCTCAACAAGAAAGACCCCGAGCTGGGAGACTCGGACGGTGAGAGGAGGCGTATCGAGAGCGTCAGTGGGGCGAGAGAGCTTGCGAGTTTGAAAACGTGCGGTATCGGGTTGGCGAATTTTGAGGGAATGGAATGTGAGAGCGTCGGTGCAAATGCCGTAGGGGGGTCGTAGCTACCCAGGAGGCCCGTCAGCACGAACGAGCCGGACAGCCGGGCACGAAGACTCACCGAACACACATGACGAATACCTTGTATTTCATGACAGGTAGCTTGACGTTCCCGAACACGTCCGCGAACCTCAGCAACGCACGGCCATTGCTCGTTGTGCCCTCTGGGAACACCACGACGGGCCTGTCAGATTGGCTCCGGATCTCCTCGAGACTCTCGGGCTTCGCGGACGTCGAGCCCGCAACGAGGGGAAGGTGCGCGGTCGACGCGAGCATGCGTAGGAGGCCTACACGGCGGAAGCCCCGGATGGGGATGCGCTGCATCGGGGCGCGTGAGGGGGAAGAGATCGCGGCGGAGCCCGTGCCGGTACGGCGACCTGGGGTGCGCGAGAGCGGGACTGACTTTTCGGTGGGCGAAGGGATGTCGAGGGTGTCGACGACGGGCAGGATGAATGCGGGTTTGAATCTGGGAGAAGGCGGTTGATGCGGGGTCGTGCGTGCAAATATAGGATGATACGTACCGGAATGCGAGCCACAGGATCTCTACCCACGAAGCCCAATTGGAAACGATGAGATCTCCCGCGGCAGGGCTCCAGGACTCGTTTTTTGGCGCGTTGCGGCTGTGATGAATGCGGTCGGTATCGTCCTGCGGCTAGAATGTATTTGAGAAACACACCCACGCTTCCTCGCTACGACATCCACCGGTACCCAATACAGCCCCACGAGAAGTAATGCCATTCGGGACAGAAAGGCCGTAAAGAGATGTGTAATGGCTCTATGTAGCGGCCGTACAGGATACTGATACCTAGTCATTTGAGAGGACAAGAGGCGATGAGAGGATAAGTCTGCTCACGAATACCAAGCATACTCCCTCTACAAGCACAAAGTAGACCAAAGCGAGGCCGAGTAGGAGTACTGTCTTGACAGCTCCAAACGCGTATCCAACAGGAGACAATATGCTCGCGAGTGCTTCGGAGCCAGAAGGTGGAATTGGTCTGAGGAATGGCTGAACGCGGGATGCTCCATATGAGCGTTTTGCTACTGCGTCATCCACGCAGCAGAGACGAACCTGGATACCAGTCCCTGGATCCTGTAAGGCAATTCAGCATACCGTATACTTGGAATAAAACGCGGTTCTCACCCTGAATGCCGAGAATTTCTCCATGGCCGCTGTTAACTGTGCACTCGCCTCAGTGAGTGTTAGCTGGAGGGGGGCAGAAGCGCTCGCGGGGCACGCGAAGAACGCGTCGGGCTCGAGCGCCTCTCTCCGGGCCGATCGCGATCAGCCACCGCAGCTACACAGAGACCGAGTCTCGGAGCGGAACGTCGGGGACATCTTCTATGGCGTCCACCTTCGATGCAGTTACATGCAGTCGGCGGGAACCCTCGTGCAGTAATCATAGCGATGGCCTTGAGAAAATGGTACCTCCGAAGGGATGTACTGCCTTCGACACTACATATACATGTCCTATCCGCAATTGCGCAGTAAGTTCCGTGCGGGCGTCTTGGCCATACGTCAGTCTCACCACCACCGTCGCTCGCTATCCCCTTGGGTATCTTCTCAACACGAGGCCATACCTCGTCACACGTTCTCTACCCCATCAGCACCGCCCGGCATGGCCAGCGAAGGTAGACCGAGCTTGCCGCGACTGGTCTTCTCGAAGACGAAGGAGTATGGCGCAGCTGCTCTACAGCGGTACAGGAATCTCAACACATACCAGAAGGTACGCTCCCTCGCACAACTCGGGTGGGATAACGGCCAATGCTAAGGCTTCCGAAGCTGTTTGTATGGGGTACCATCTGCTTGTATCTCTCCCTGGCGACGTTCTTCATAGTCATCGGCCCTGACCGGATCGGACAAGCCCTCTACAATTTCGCGCAGAGGATCAGCCACTTCCGCTTCGGCTGGCTCATCCTAACAGCCATCTTCTGTGAGTACCGATTGCTGTGCACGGTATGCTGGCATTGACGCAGATGCTCCGTGCTGCCAGTCGTCATCTCCTTCCCCCCTGCTGTCGGGCACACGACGTTGATTACCCTCTGTGGATACGCGTATGGCATGAAAGGCTTTCCAATCGCAGCGGGCGGGTCACTGCTTGGCTCTGCCTTCACATTCGTCGTCCTACGCCTCCTGTTCAGGAGGAGATTGCGCAAGTGGTCCGAGTCTCACGAAACCTGGAAGGCGCTTGAGACCGTCATCGTATGTCGTGCCTCTTGCTGGGGGTGCATGGGGGGTTTGACGAATCGTTATGGTGCCTTCAGGCTGCGAAGGGTCTCCCTCTGATCATGCTCATCCGAGCCTCCCCTTTCCCCCCGTGGGTGTACTCAAACGCCCTCTTTGCCGTAAGTTCTCTGTCGTAGAGTCTTTGCGCAGCTGACCCGGCTGCTGCCGTCCAGTCCATCCGGCCTGTTGCATTGTGGCAGTTCTTCCTGGCGACATTCGTCGTCTTTCCCAAGATAGCTATCTTCGTGTTCGTGGGCTCCCGGCTTGCAGACCTCTCAGACGGCGAAACGAGGTCACACATGGACACGAGTAGGTCCTTCAGTGTCCACTATGTCAATCTAGACTCATCCTAGACCGCCTTCCCAGCAACCAAGATCCTCAACGTGTCAATATCCGTTGGCGGCGTCGTTATCGCAGCCCTTGCAAGTTGGTAAGTTTGAACTTCCACCCGAGACGTTGACTATGTGTGATGCGACGCTGTACGTACAGGATTATCTACCGTCTCATGAAGAGGGAGATTCTTCATTTGAAGGGCGTTCCGCCAGAGGTCGACGAACTCGCCGCCGAAGCCATTGAAGAGGCCGAAGAGGGTGCACCACTTCTCGGGCCTCATAGTGAATCCAGGGCAAGGTACGACGATTCTTCTGCTTGAGAGGACCATGTGCGATTATTATAATACACGACGTCTTGTCTGGCGCCTGGGGGTATGGTATATACAGTCTGGTAGAGATGGTGTAACAATCCTTGGTGCCATGTGCTTCTAGATAACCTTAGAACCTGAGCCTAGTAATTTTATCCGGATACATACGAGCATAGAACGCGAACGGACGGCGAAGGAAGAATGGAAGAGCAATACAGTAGGAAGAAGGATGGAAGCTCAGTAATAGTGCAAGAACAGTAACGACAGACTAGCTCCGATGAGGAAGAGCAGGATCCACTTCCGCCCGTCCCGTGCCCTCCGTCGTGCTTCCTTGAGCTGCTCGTTGCCCTTCTCGACTGTCGCGGCAGTGGCAATCGCGTCTTCATACAGCTGCTCCGTCTGCTCCGTCTGCTTCGTGAGGTGTGCGACGAGCTCCATTTGAAGCGCGCTGATCTCCATGAGCCGCGCCTCGGCCTGCTGTACCGACTGGAGGGTATCCTGCACCGACTGCAGGATGTTCGCGTTCTCCTCCTCGAACTGCTGGATCTGCGATGCGCTCAGCTCCAACTCCTCCTCGTCTGTCTCTGACATCCAGTCGCTACCCGCTGCGGCACCCGTTCCGGGTTTGATCGTTGAAGCTGAATGCGACGGCTCGAATGGCGAAGCCGACGACCCGATGCTTGCTGCGAAACTCGACGCCAGATTTGACGCATTGCCCAGCCAGCTCCCGCTCGCAGATGACTCGGCAGGAGACGGCGGCGTGAGGTTTGACTGGTTCGCCCCGAGGAAGACTGCCTCCCGTGTCGCCCCCGACCCGAGGGTGCGTGTGCGCTCCATTTGCCGCTTCATACGCTCCTCTTGCATATCGCGCAGGTGCTGGCCGGTCTCGGCGAGTCGGCGCGAGAGGAACCATGTAATGGAGGAATGGTGGGCGGCGACGAAGTCGGACGTTGCCGTCGCGTCGTCTTGGCGGAGGCGGGCGGGGAGGAAGCGGACGAGGGGATTTTGTCGACTCGCGGCGAGCTCCACTCGGCCTAGCACCGGCAGCAGTCGTCAGCTATCCTGCAAGCTCGTATTGCTCGTGTACCTGAAGCAGGACTGGAAAAACTCACGCTTCTCCACTTCCTCGAGCTGTGCGACACGGTCCTTACACCGAGAGAGGATGACCCGAGCCTGCAGATCAATCTGGTCCCGCTCCTCGTTCGTCAGACTGCGGACGTCGCTCCATGACTGGTCTCCTCCTGTGATGTCGATGGTCCGGGTTGCCTGTCGTAGTAGCGGCGGATTCCGGGTATCGACGTTCAAGTACGCTTTACGTACGGAGGTGAGCATGCGAGTGAGGGTGCTTATGTGATTTAGCTACGATGGTCATAGCGGGCTTGAACGCGTGTACCCAAATGTATCACCAGTGGTATTGCGGGCCACTCACGATGTTGTATGCCTCCTTAACATATTCCTTGTTCAACAACTCCTGCTTCTCGCTTTCTGGGGTCGAGCGCTTCTCCGACCGAGAGAGCCTACGACGCTTGGGGTCCGGTGCATCTCCCGCTCTCTGGCGCACCATTTGGCGAAATTCTGATGTTCTTGAGCTGAAGGCCATATCTTCTGTACGCTACTGAGACCGGAAGAGACGAGGCGGTGAGCAGGAAGCGTGTTATACGCACAGAACAAGCGAGACCGTGACGCAGGACGGGGCGCCAGAGCACGTCGCGCGTCCACGACTGCAGATCTCGATCGCTTCGCCACGTGTAGCCGAGAAATATGAACCAGGCTCGCACCGTGTGGGAGGCTTTCTTTCAGTAAGACCACAAGGACATGCCCTACGCCTCTTCGAGAAGTCCTCCGGGGCACATCTCGAATGGGGTCTATCTGCTGTGGAAGATCGCTTCGTCCTTGTTTGAGGCGGATGGCGAGCTTTGATACCGCTGTTTGCCATAGTTTGTGACATACATTCGTTCCTCCTTCCTCTACCATTGTAGCGTCTTCTTCGACACCTACAGCTCGATGACCAGCTCAAGTATCCTCCGTCGAGATCTACGTACAGGACGTCAGTTATGTAGTTTGTTTGCGGCCGGATACACCGCCACAGCTTCTCATGGCTTCGTTCACGCACTATCACAAGTGAATATTCACTTCCAACATCCCGCCCTTTCGCAACCGCCGTAACCACCACACTGCTTGCTGCAGGTCGCTTCAGCATCGCACCCCAGTTTTTGTCGTCGATCTTGCATCACAATGGCTATACTAGTAGCTACTGAGGAGAATGCGATGATCGATCCCCGATGTCAGCAGCGTTCCGCGCATTGGACTCGTGCTAGACAAATTGATCCTTGGTCGACGTCCTGATGACCATCTAGACATCTCCATGGCTTCACCTTGTATATCTCCTCTGTCGAGACCACTACTGATTACTAGGGCGATGTGGCGGCAGTCCTCGGCGTAATGGTGTGGCGACTAGTCGGTCAATAGCGTCGTCCGTTCGCCCATTCAAGTAAGTGAGACGTCATCTCGCCGACTAATCTTCGCCCATGATGTCGATGAAGGGCGCAGATGAGCCGGCCGGTGGTACTACACATGTCAACCAGGGGATTTTTGCGTTATTCCCGGCGTTCAATCGTCTCCTACTATTGCACGATTGCTTTGGGCCCCTAGGATACATGCGGTGCAGGCTTGTATTGCTTGTTCAGGTCGGACTGCCAGTCACTGCCAGACAGGGCAACTGTCAGCTCATCATGCCCATGGTTTAAAGGTATAAGACATCGCATTCGACTCCCGGTACGCAAGGATTCCATTTAGTGACCCGAGTTCGAGCCTACTATCCTTAGAGCATACCCTCATGTCTCAAGCTCACCTCTACGAAACTACGTAGGTGTCCTTGTCATGGGCATACAGTCAGTCATCTAACTTATGACTTCGCCGCATTCTCTCCAGCTTTGTCGAGACATGCTGTGATATGGCAGCATTTGGTAAGCAGCCATATCTATCCCTAGGAAGAGAACCACTGAACTATTCAAACAGCTCTGGTTTACTATGAATGTATCGTCACCCTGGATCGTGAGGTATCCCTGGTGTGGGGAAAGAGGTTTACGGGAGCTACCGCCCTCTTCCTCTTGAACCGTTACACGGCTATGCTGAAGTACCCCATATACGTCGTCGGACTGACTCAACTCTCGGATGAGGTGAGTGTTTGTTTCGTGGAAGCTATCTTCTACTCCATGCTCACGATACATAGAGGTTCGTGGATGTAATCCTCCTAATTGTATCATCGATCTCATAGCCTGTAGTTGCACAGTAGTCAATCTGCTCTCCCGGGTACTGGAGATCATCCCTTACTTTGTCTGGTTCGGTGAGTTGTTGTTGTTCCTTGCTTCTGTGATCGTCAGCCCATGACATACTTTCCACAGCGTTTTTGACCCTACGTGTCTACGCTATTTGCGGACACGACTGGCGATCAGCTTTCCCGGTAGCTGTGGCAGCGTTCATGCCTGTGGCCTCCAACATTGTAAGGCCCTAGAATGCCTTATGTACTGAGCTCACTAATCCGCCGTGTAGTACCTCTACTCGACTACATACACCGTGAATTACCCTCTGCCCATCGGGTGCGTTTGGGCCAGTGACATGCCCATGAATGTCTATAACAGGTTTGTGCTGATAGTCTTCCGTGAATTTGTTGCTCATATGACTCGTTCTATAGCTGTAAGCACACACCATTCTTCCGCAGCACTGCCTACGCTGACATGTCCCAGTACTAATCTCAACTCGCACAAGTGCGATCCTAAGTGATGTCCTCGTTCTGGCCATCACATGGTGGAAGACCCACGGCATTAGCAAGGTGGTCAAAGAGGCCAATCTCCCCGTATCTTTATCGTCGCTCTTACTACGAGATGGTGCGTAGTGGTCAATGAACCAGAACGAGAAGACTTATTCGCGAATAGGCACAATATACTTCCTGTAAGCGTGTATTTCCTTTTGCAGGCTTGGTGGGCTCACGAAGCATTCAAGTATACTTTTGACGTTGAACACATTGCACATCGCGTTCACTTTGACTGGAGTAAGTGGCACATATGCCAATGGAATGCGCTGCTAACTCGTTTGTCGTAGAAATTCACTTACACATTGGCATTGGAGGAACCGTCAGTCTGCATCTACTATCCGTGGCGATGCGTTCTAACCCGGTGTTGTAGGATCATTACGGTTCTTACCTCCCGCTTCATTCTAAACTTGCGCGAGGTCGATGTTCGTAGCAGACATCAACCAAGTTTTGACCTCAGCCGGCCCTCCTTCGTCCGACGTCCATGGGACGCTCCCAGCAGTCTAGTCTGTTCTTTCGTCGCACCGCTGGGAGCGCCGCTCGTTCAAGGGGACGCTTCTGCATCTGCAGAATCTGCACGGGATATTGCTATGTCCTGGGATGCCGACGAGCCATCGACGAGGAAGAGCCAGTCCGACGTGGAATTTCCTGGCTTACGCTGGGATGATGTTCCAAGTTCCTGTTCTAACGTGCGCCTTGCATCTGAGCAGCCTTGATACCAACTGCAACCCTCCTGCTCGCTGTCCAAGTGCCTATATCGCAGTATAGTTTGTTCTCTGCCCGACGCTTGGTGACGTTTATATCCATGTAGCGCTACGTCACATTCCCACTCATATAGATTATGGGCTTCTCACGGCAATAGTTCGTCTTCGTACGATAGAGGGTCTATATCCGTGCTGCATCAATGCAACGAAGGTTCAAGCCAGCCTCCAGTAAGTAAGTATCAACAGATGCTACGTAACGACGTTGCCGATGAGGGTGCAAAGAGAGACAAACACAGCAATGGTCCGTGCGCGTTGTGCGAGGAATAAATATCGTCGTTGGACACTCCAACAACTCATACTTACCTTGATGGCACGAGCCCCTTCACGTACTGGGTTCGTGGGCCGTGGGAGCCTCCCATAGCACGGCGACCTTGTCCTCAGGGGGATCTTGCGGTTTGTATGGGCTTCGGCTCATGCACCGTCTAAATATTTCCCTGTCCTGCTTCGGCCCTCGGGCTGGGCAGGCCATTACTTTTTGTTCTTGCGTTGCTCTAACCCTAACCCTGGGGCGAGATACGCCTTGTGATAGATAGTATATAGCATAATTAAGAGCATATTTGCCATCAAACTAATTAATGTTCGGACCGCATCGCCCTTTGCCACCAGCCCTAAGCTGGTACTTACTATCCCTCAAGGGGTTCTGCAACGCCAGGAATGATGGCACCTGCCTCTTCAGCAACAGTGATCTATGTATTCCACAAACTTCAGGCATTGCTGAGACTGATATCTATCATATGACCTCCAATTTTTGTAAGATTCTGTGGGGATGCCATGTTCCGAGCACCTACGTGAAAGGGGTTTTGCAAAACCCATAAGCGCCTGCAAGAAACGGCTTCCCATCCTCGGAGCTATCGGGGATGATTTCTGTATTAAAAATGCACCCAGACATTCATCCAGAAAGATATTTGAGCTTTCACAGTGAGAACCAAAGAGAGATCTGTATATCAAGTTCGGCGTCAACTCGCTTAGAGGTGTAACTAAATGTCTCCTGCTCGCAAAGGCGTCCTGCAGCTCATTTGGCTCCGAAAAGTTGCCAGATGATATCGAAAAGGGTGTAGTAATATGTGTTTGGGATATCAGAGCGATGCATGAGGAGGGGAGGGAGAGCTTGGGGTTTTGCAAAACTCGCAGATTTTGCAAAACCCCTTGAGGGATAGTATATCTCAATCTGGTCTTGCATTCGAGGCAGCGTGGATCCTGAAGTGCACGCAGATAGACAACACGTTCCCCTTGCGTATTTTGTCGCACTCCTCTTGAGTAACGCACCAAGACTTGGATAGATAGCATCCCACATGAACGCGACGGTTGGTATTCCATGGATGAATGGGCACAAGGAGGAGAGGGTAGCAATACAGATATGATACAAAACATGTCCGAGGCCCTACATACCGAGGGTCGGGTCACCGGATTGCTTCCAGAGTCTCCATGGAAGTCACGCTGTTGCCGCGAATGACCTGTCGGGAAGAGGCATGAGAACAAGGATCACCGCTACACCGGTTGATGCAAGTAGACGTACAACGGTACCAATTGGGTGCTTTTGTGCGGGGTTGGTCTCCTCCAGCGCATCATCGATAACGAGGTTCAAGAACAAGTCGTATCCGCGCAGCGTCCCGCTGACTTTACGACCACCTTGGAGATGAACAAAGAGCTTCTTGTCCATGAACTGTGCAACGCGTCGAGGAATTAGCGGCTGCACACATGCATACAAGCGACTACTGCGGAAACACCTTTTTGAGCTCGGGTTGAGAGGCTTTGGACATGGCGGCGGACGGTCTGGAGGACGGGCGAGGACGAGGAGAGGACGAGGAGATCGCAAATCGCACCCAAACACGGGCCACGTGGGAACAATCGCATGCGGTACGCGAGCTGTCGCCGGAACCAGCTTCCTCGCCAGGTCTTCCAGGTCAACACGACCCTCCTCTCCCCATTACGCCCCTCACGCCTCCTGTATATCTTCTCATATCTTGGCACGATATTTCACGATTTCCTCCAGCACATCTACTCTCCAAGACCTTGTATCACCAGCTAACCATAACATCCGTGCGTCAATTTCCTTCAGTCGCGAACAGACGTCGTTAAAAGGAGTGGATCGACATTTCTGCATGTCGTAAATTGTATTACAGACTAGGCCTGTATCCTCATGGCTTCTGCTGCGTCCCCATCTACGCCGTCCGGGGGGGTAAACTCGTCGATGTGGGCCAACCAGCCTCCTAGCAGGCAGGGATGGGGTCGGAACGGCGAATCAGGCCCCGCCTTCCGCGGCGCGAGCCGAGGTAGGCCGGCTAGGGGTGGAGGGCGTGGCGGGCGCGGAGGAGGGCGCGGAGGAAGCAGAGCGGCAGGTCCGACTCCTCGTTTGGATGGCAGAGGTCCGAAATCCAACGGCGTTCCAGCCAAAGATACATCCCAGAATGCCCCTCCCCTTGCACCGGCTGCGTCCAGCACTCCTGCTCCCCCAAGTGGAACCCCCTCTCCTGCACTGTCGAAAGCATCAAGCCAGTCGAAGGACACTCACCCTCGCCCGCGAAAGACCTCTGAAGCAAAGCCTCCGCGCAAAGTAGTACCTCCAATCGTGGTCGAGCCTCCACCGATCGCAGCATCTAATTCACCTATATCTGCAACGACTCCGATTCGCTCTCGCCGAAAACGCTCGCAGAACCGCAGCATGTCTAACTCCTCGTCAAAGAAGTCACTCTCTACGGAGTCTAGCACGAGCCATTTGCGTGCCGAGAAATCGCCCACAATCACCAAGGACCTCCCCCCGCATCTTGCACCTGTCCCTCCCGAAACGCCATCGTTCGATATCAAGCACGACATCAACGCTCTTGTCGAGCGTGTGCGGGCCGTGGCAATGGAAAGGCCAAACACGCCAGGTAGCCACATCGACTGGGCCGGAGAGGACGATGACAGCCTGCCTGACTTGGACGATTGGGGTGTCAAGAGCGTAACGGACAAGAGCACGAGCAGTTCTATACCAGAGCAGCCCGAGAAGCCTGACTTACTCTCTCCCATGCTAGCCGACGCGTTGAGACCTCTGCCTAGCGTCGAAGTGGGGACCCCTCTCGCCGTGTCAGCTGCCCCCACCGCCGAGAAGGCGCCTGCACCTGCCCAGCCTTTAACCAGTGGCGAAGTTGGAAATAACACGCCTCGTGGCCCAACCAGTTTGAAGGCTCACTCGGACAAGTTTGTGGTGGACAGGGCTCCTCTAGCCGGCCTAAAGAAACAAACGGAAAGGAAAAAGGCAGACGCTCATGCGAAGTCCCCTGAACAATCCGCTTCGGTCCCCAAACCCGCTGCGGAACAAGCAACAGCACCCAAACAGCCTTCACCAAAGCAAGCAAACCACCCTCTTCATCCTTCCCTCCCCCCAAAGCCGATTGAAGCGATCGATGCGCTCACGAAGCGTGTCCCTCGGAAGCCCGCCCCCGTACAGACCCCAGACCCCGCCGCCGACTATGATGTGCCGCTCAAGAGCGGATTATCAGAATCTATGCATGCTCCTAAACCTAACAGCTCAATCTCGCCCGAGAGTTCTGGCGACTCCCCTTCGCCCGAGCCTCAAGGTGTCCCCGCATCGAAGCCTGCTCCCGTACACTCCGCTCCTAGTTATATCACCACCCACTCTACGCCATCCTTCCAGCCTGGTCATGGTCGTGCGCATACCATCGGCCGTCCACGGGACCTTCGGATGCCGCACGGCGCCTCACCCGCCGCTTTCGATGGACACCCGGACGAACGTGCGTCCCGAAGGGACCGGGTGAACCATGCACGGACACACTCATCGCCACCAACAGGCCCTGGTACGTCAACGGCGCATTCGCGGACTGTGCATGCATCGCGCCCCGTTATCACCGTCGCTGCGCTTTCTGGTCTTGCTCGGGCCTTGGGAGGAACGCCTCCGAAGCGCGAGGCCGCAAGTGTCGCTGCAGCGTTGAAGGACTGAGTGATCGTTGACCATGCCTGATCCGCCCTGCCCTAACGGCGATGCTTGAATGTCCTCGTTCGTGTATATCTACTTTGCTTGCACCACTGTCTGCTTTGATCCATGCTTCATCTTTCATCTGGTTTATACCCTCCCAGCTCTGCGCTCAGCGTGAAAGCAGGTTCACTTTCCATACAACCCAACTCCAATCTATCTCTCCAATGTGTTTCCCTGTGACTCGCTCTGCATTCCGCCGCCTCTGTGACCGAGACTGATTTTGTTTATGATACTGCTTTGCTTGTCGGACTAATCTCTCCACGGTGAATCTTTCAGGAGGTGATAGTGTGCTTGTACTATGACGTCTGGATGCATCTCGCGAATGGGATCAATATAATGGTTATGAATGGGCTATGCGGCCTAGTATGGGTCCAATACCATCAAGTCTTTTTATCGTCGTCACCCGCTATCCGGAGCTGAAGTATGATAGCTCGAGACCTATTGACTTGATAGGTTTGGATCGGCTGGAGAGGTTAGAGACCACACCGAGGCTGACGAGTACGTTTCGTAGGCGTCCTTCCCACAGTAATGACACATCCTGATAGTCATTATCGGTCGTGTCAGAACGAGCATGATGCATGAAATGGTAAACCTAGATAGTGACGTACAGTCGTTGTGGAGACCTTTGCCTTAACCACGCCCTGCACCTCGTCGGCCCAGTCCGGAAGTAAGGGTGGATGTGCCTCGTCCGAAACCGACGGCGGATGCCTCGCTTTGCTTTGACGCTGCCACCATTCCGCGCCTAGTGACCACTCGCTCTCGTAGCTGTAGACATTGAACTCGAAGCGCGAGGCCAAGGAAAGGTCACGCGACACGCGCGCTGCGTATGCACCGGAGATGTGACCAAGCATAGGGTTAAACAGGGCGGTTATTGTGGTTGGCGGCTGCGATGGTGGCCACCGTGCGGCCGAGGACCCTGCGGATGATGTTGTGGGAACCTGGAAGGAGGGAGGAGTTGCGTCGGGAAGAGTAGTGAAGCGGATGCCGGTGGACACTTTACGGAGGCGTTAGAGGGTTTTCGGTGGGGTGTCGAAGGATGGTTGAGCTCACCTCCCGCGCTCTTCTCCTTCGCGCTGAAGTAGAATTCCCCGCCCACAGATACGCGCCCCTTCAGACCGCCCTCCATCGCATCCTCTTCATCTACCCGCTTTACTTTGACACCATTCTGGCGAGCAGGAGAGGCGTTACCTGCCTTCTCGCCCTCCTCGGGAGAGGCCTCGGCCGGCGTGCCCACCCTACCAAAGTTGTACAAGGATCGTATGCCCCACATGCCATCTTCCGCGCTCCAAGTATACTCGGTACACACCTTGCCTGTATCATGCTGTAGGCTAAACATGATATTGCTGGCAGGTGCATGGGATCTGGACATCTCGGAATAGAGGGGTGTACGAGGATCGGATATGGCGGCCACCATTCCTTGCAGAGTGGGAGCAAGTCGAGTAGAATAGAGAGCATCCAGCCGTCCAGTGGGAATGTAGATGCGACCATATAGTAAGTAGTCTAGAGTCATATATTAGACTGTGTGGCATCTGTAGGCACTGAACCTTGCACGCACCGCGAGTGTCAGCACGTTCACCCGCCAGCCATTCTTCCTCTTTTCCCTCGGGTCTTCTTGGGCGGTCGAATACCTTGAACCTGTCGACCATGTCCTTGAAGCGAACATCACCAGAGCCCTTGACGTTGAGGTTGCAGCTGGTGAAGATGTACCCGACGGATCCATTGAGGGATGGAAGGGCATTCATCGAATATGTCGTCTTAAAGAGAGGATTTGGAGACTTGGATATACCAAAGTGCAACCCACGGGGAACGCTAAAATCGAGAAGAGCTGTTCAGGCGTCCGGACGGTGTCCTCCCCGCGGTTGAGGAGACAGTTACTCACCATTGGAAGACCGCGTGAGGTTGGCATAAAGGTTGTCCTCGTTCCAGCCAGTTTCTTTGTAGTAGCTGCGGAGAACATAGGATGCGAATGGATGCATCGTGGCGACTGCTTGCTGAGACAGCAGTCGGCCAGCGACTCAGAGCTGCGGTTTGGGCGATCGAGACCTATTGAGCGCTCATTCATCGACGGATGAGCAAGAGTATGGGCGCCTAGAAGGCTATGACATATGCGTTGTTCGACGGCCCGGCAATTACCGCAGCACTTATTCGAAAGACTTCCGCAAGCTATCCATGTCTCGGCCCCGGGAACGCAATTTCTTCCTCCAGGCCACGATCAGCGTGAGCCAGACGTGCTGCACCCCCAGCATATAAGCACCGCGATCCCATCGTTGTCATCTCACACGACCATGGATCTCGACGACTTTGATATCGCCATCGTACAATTGCCTCTCGAAGAGGAACCAACCCTCTCTGCACAGAATGCGCAGGATGCGGTGGAATACATCGACTCTCAATGGTACTCTCTAGTCAATCGGCGAGGCCGATGGATGGACCTGATCGGCGACTACGCGGGGAGCGAACCCTTCGTCGTAGATGGTACGTTGGTCGGTAGATCTACTAGGGCCTCGTATGTCTTACTGTGTCGTAGGCGAGGCCTTGATTGCAATGGTGTTGGATGACCCTCTGCTTGCACTAGGTCACAAACATGGTTTGTGTCATGTGTTCTCTTCATGAGGAGTGCTCTGCCTACCCCGTTGACCCTCCAGACATCAGCTTTCAGTGTCTACACGCGGTGTACACTCTTGAACGTATTCTACAAGAGATCTCCAGGCGTTCCGAGTCTTTCGAGATTGTGTTCTGGCACGGTATGTCTACAGTCGGTCCCGTTGGTCCCATATCTGACAAGCATATTATAGAGCGCCGCTTCCTAACGTTACTGTATGGGGAAGATGACTATGTTACTAGCTCTCGCTCGCTCGCCCGCGCTATTCTCTTCAACCATCTCGCCTCTGTGAATGTATCAGTGCATACTTTCGCCGATCTGTCCGACCCCGCTTGGCTAGCATATCAGCGATCAAGGAAGGTGATGACACCCGACCCATTGATCAGTATCAGTCCGATGCTGACAGCTCTTTCAGCCCATGTTTGTTATGACAAGCGATGGTGGTATTGTAGATGATTCCTCTCCTATCGCTGCAGCCGAGCGTATACTCCTTCAACGGGTATTTTTGTACTCGCTCTTGGCCCAGGGCGTGTCAGTTACGACATTGCGCGGTGCAGAGTACCGCGATTCCAAGGTTCGTCTAATATATTTACACGACCCTCATTTGCTGACCCTTCTGTAGATCATGTCGTTTGTTTACGAACAACGACTCGACAGCAACCCGAAGAGTCGTTTCAAAAACGAATTCTGGCTGGCCGTGCAAAACGCCTCCACTTCCCTTGCGGCGCACGAGAAAAGGGCCCGCCCAGAGGTCCCCATTCATTCCCTTGGACGACGCGATATACCAAAAGCTTCGGACAATCCAGCGCTTCTCTTACAGGGCGTATCGCAGTCCCTGGACCTGCGACAGGAACATTTCTCTGCACTCCTCCAGGTCTTCGTTGCACACATGCTCTTCCTTCCTCACCTCGATTTACGAGAGCGAGCAAGGCCTCGCGTCTTCTTGCCAAGCAAACTCGTCGGCCTCCTAACGCGTGATTTCCTTCCTAAAGTCTTCCTTGCTCTCGAGGACATTGCCTCCGTGTCGGACTTGGATGGACGCATCTTCTCTGTTCTTTTGAACTCCATCCTCAGAGACGATACCACTCCGCTTCAGACGCTTATTGGGTCGGATCTGGCGGATGTTCTGGACAAGTTGTGGACGACTCATCAACTCCCTTCTCCCGACTATGGCGCCCTCCGTCGCCAATTTCCTGCCTCGACCGGCGTTCCAGATGCCGGAGAGACAGACTCGCCTCCCCTAAGCCTCTTGCCATTCCATCACCCCCTGTTTGACGAGGAACTGGGCACGATCAAGATCGACGCGGAGGAGTTGTCTAGCGACGACAACGACGATGAGGGATCTGGTGCTCATCTGGAGTTTAATACCGTCTTTAGCGACACGCAGCACTGGCACAACCACAAGCGTGCTATCCTTCCCCCTCACCTCGGTGGCAGTGACAGCACGGCGCCAATGGATGAGAGGCAGAAGAAGCGTCAACTACGTAGCGAGCAGAGGTTCATGTCGAAGTTGCAATGGCAGGCGGAGACACTCACGGGTGCGCTGGGAACCCCCCTTCAGCAGATGGTCATCCCGAGCGCCGCGACGGCGAGGAAGTCTCGGCCCGGTACTTCTCTCAAGGTCGATGTATGTGGTCATGCCTTTCTATCACAGTTCCGCACATTGAGAAGAAAGATTGTATAGGACTCGAGGCCAGCGACGCCTACTCGAGGCGGCGCTGGTAAGAAGGGCAAGAAGGAGACGCTCTCCTCTGCGGACAAGATCCGACTCGCGAACCAGGCCAAGAAGCATGCCAAGGAGGACGATTCCAACGTTGTATGGTGGCAAGAGCAGCTGGCGGCCATCGAGGACAGGCCGACGTCGTCGAAGGTCACTGCCGTCGAGCATCTCATGCGAAACAAGCGCACCAAGGACGGCTGGCTCTCCGTCGAGTCTCGCCTCTATCGCATTCACCTCGAGTTCTGCCGCTGGCTGGAGGATTCCAACCATGAATCTGCTCTCGTGCGGGACCGCTTCACCGTCTCCATAATGTGCATGGTGAAGGATCTCTATGAGTCCAAGGAACTTTTTCCCACAGCTGCCGCGAAACTCGCTACGTGCCTCATTTCCCTCGGCTTCGATGACTACATCGAGTCTTTCGAAAGCATAGCCACGGTATCGGCGGAGGACCATAAGCTGCACTTCGACTTCGTGAAGCTTGTCAAATCGAAAAGTGGCCACCCCGTACACAAGTGGATGCGCATCAAAGAGGACTCCGTTGTATGGCAACTGCGGCTCTTTGGCGAGTTCATGGATCGGAGCATGGACAGTTCGAGCGACCCGCGTGTGTCGTTCAAGCCAGATGCCTGGCAACGGAAGGTTTTGGATTGTCTGGATCGGAACGAATCGGTCCTCGTCGCAGGTGAGACCTCTGTTGTAGTTGGGCAGACCAGGTACTCACTGACAGTCCGATAGCGCCTACCAGTGCGGGTAAAACGTTCATCTCTTACTACGCCATGGAGAAGCTCCTGAGGACCTCGGATGATGACATCCTCGTCTACGTAGCGCCCACCAAGGCACTCGTTAGCCAGATTGCCGCCGAAGTGTATGCTCGGTTCAGAAAGGACCTTGGAAGCAGTGAGTGTTTTGTGACAGAGCTGTATGACCACCAGCTGAAAAGCCACCTCAGAGGCGTGCTGGGCCATCCATACCAGGGACTACCGCGTGCACAACCCGCAAAACTGCCAGATCTTGGTGACTGTTCCCGAGATGCTGGCGACTATGCTTCTCTCGCCTCCTCTGGCGAGATCCTGGACGCCGAGGATCAAGCGGTAAGACAGCACAATGAGCTCTGCCATATTATTAGCGACTGACGGAGTGTTTGGCCTTGTCAGCATCATCCTAGACGAAATCCATACGATTGGTCAACAAGAAGGCGGCGCGGTCTGGGAACAAATCATCCTGCTCGCGCCTTGTCCCCTAATGTAAGGTTGCACGTCGCGTATAACTGAAGTAGTTCTGATGCTTCCACAGCGGTCTTTCTGCTACTATCGGGGAGCCGGAGAAATTCAACGCGTGGCTAGCATCCGTACAAGAGGCTCACGGTTTCAAGCACATGTTCATTCAGCATCCGTATAGGTACTCACACTTACGCAAGTTCACGTACCTCCTCGAGGAAGGGGAGAAGCCCGCCGAGTTCCAAAGTCTGCAAGATCGTCGGAAGAGCTACCGCTTGCGCTTCGTTCACCCCATCTCGATGCTGTCGTTCGGTGCACGTCGTCTTCCCCCCGACTTCTCGCTCGAGGCAGCCGATTGCCTGTCCCTGTATCACGCGCTCGAGTCGGTTCGAGACAGGCTTCACTTCGATGTTGGCTCACTGGACCCGACACTGTTCTTCGCTGATTCGAAAGGCATTCTGCTGAAGCAGAGGGATATCTTGCGCTACGAGGCTGCTCTGACAGGCCATGTGTCGGAATTAATCGATTCGACAGACCCTCAGGATCCTAATTCCGTCCTGAATCAAGTCATTCGTCACGTATCTGACCCCGTCATCGCGAAGGTCGACCAACGTTTCGTCCCGAATGCGGACGCATTTTTCCGAAACCTGATTGGTCTTGTCTCAGACTTGCATGCCAATGGAGATCTGGTTAGTGTTTCTGCATGCTGGCTTACCTCACGAGCCTATTCATTGACGTTGCTGCATAGCCCGCGCTTCTGTTCAACTTCGACCGCAAGGTCTGTGAAAAGATGGCTGAGGCCATTCTCGACGTCCTCGAGGGAGCCGAGGCGAAGTGGCGTGAGACGAGCCCAGAGTGGAAGAGGAAGATCAGGCAATGGGAAGTCTGGGTTTCGAAGGCTAAGGAGCGCGAACGCCAGGCAGAACGGCAGAAGAAGGTGAAGAAAGAGGAGGCGAACGCTACCCCCGAGGCGCAGCAGCCAGATGCCAGCTGGGAAGCGTCCTTCAATCCAGACGATCCCTCGCCACAGTTCTCTTTCGCGGGTATGTCGGCGGCGTTCACGAAGGAGGACCTCGACGATGAGATTCGAAGCCTAGCGAGGTGGAAGTCGGCTCCGGAATGGGCCCTCAAGTGCCTGCAAAGGGGTATAGGCGTACATCATTCCGGAATGAATAAGCATTACCGTACTCTCGTCGAGAGGTGAGCCCAAATCCTTGTAGCCTTTGGGGAGGAGGCCTGAAACTCTGTATCTTCATAGTTTGTATCGCGCAGGATACCTTCGAGTGGTGATCGCGACAGGCACGCTCGCTCTCGGTATCAACGCTCCGACGAAGACTTCCGTGTTCTGCGGCGATTCTCCCTTTCTTACTGCCCTCATGTATCGTCAGTGTGCCGGCCGTGCTGGTCGGAGAGGATTTGATCTTCTCGGCAAGGTCGTCTTCTACGGCCTCCCTATGGACCGATGCCAGCGACTCGTGCTCTCTAAGCTTCCTTCGCTCGGCGGCAACTTCCCGCTCACGTCAACTATGGTCTTACGGCTCTTCAATCTGCTGCAAGGGTCCAACGACGCTCCAGTCGCCCGGAACGCCATCAAGAGTCTTCTTCACCTCCCTCATATCAGCTTCGTCTCTGATGTCGGCCGGGAGCAAATTCTCCATCACATCCGATTCAGCATCGATTATCTCCGTCGCTCTGGCCTTCTGGACGAAGGAGGCAACCCTATCAACCTCTTCGGCGTTGCGGCCCACCTGTACTATACGGAGCCAAGCAACCTCGCGCTCGTGGCTCTCCTGCGGCACGGCGTCGTTCATCGTATTTGCAATCAGGCCAGTCTTATCACGGCGAAGCGCGATCTCATGCTCCTCCTTTCACATCTCTTCGGCCGTCGATACCTCCCTCAGGCATATGCCTCTCCTAAGTTCTTGCAGACGATCGTCAGGAAGTCTCCCTCAATGGTTGTCCTACCTCCGCTGTCTAAGGACGCTCGCAGGGTACTCATCGAGCACGAGAACCACATAAAACGCGTCTTCACTGGATATGCCCTCGCTTACGTCTCTCACCATGCCGAAGAACACGGTCGTGATTTGCGACTACCGTTCAGCGGGCAGACGACTTGTCCTCTATCCTCGACCGCCCCTTCCACGCCATTCACTCGCAAGCTCCGCGACACAGCAGTCGCATCTGTCACTCGCTCGCCCTTCATCTCCGCATCTGGCCACGGAGACAGCTTCCGTACCGTGAAAGAGCTTAGTGACACATCCAGGCAGGGTCTACACCTGAATGAATACGCGATCCCATCTATGCGCCAGTTTACCGCAGTTCCCGGAGAGGACAACGAAGAGTTTGCGCTAAACGCATACCTACTCGATTTCTATACCCATGGGCAGACCGCAGCTCTGAAGGCCGCGAATGGTATTCGCGATGGCGAGATGTGGTATGTCCTGCAGGATTTCTCGCTCACGCTCAAGTCTATCCGCACCGGCTTGGTCCAGTTGCTGCAGAAGGCGTCCGACAGTGCCAGCAGCGAAGGCGACGCTGTCTCGGAGTTGGATAGCGGATTCGCGAGCATGGACCCGGCTGAGGCAGATCCTGACATTGACGGTTTGGAGCACGGTGACTTCAAGCGACCTGCTGGAGTGTCGGACAGGGATTGGAGGGTCTACGAGGTTTTGAGTGCGGTGACGGCGGAGTTCGACGAGAAGTTCCGTAAGACGTGGGCTTGAATGCACCCGTCTCTCCGAGATGCATACATCCGTTTCGTAGAAAAAACTACCAGCTTCTTTTCGATTTGCTCTCCATTGCTTGTCTTCACTTCCATACATGCATACCATGTTGCTCTCCTAGCCAGTTGTTCGTGTTCTCGCATCGCATACCTCTGTCGATATCCCTAAACGAACGAATAGAATTATTCATTCTGACACTTCTAACTGAATTGTGGCTATGCGGATCTGGAGCCGCTATGGCTGCTGCTTCTTGCTTTCTTCTGCCATTCAACCGCATGCTACCAACTTGAGGCTATGAGCCTCGGATGATCTCCTTCTTCCCTCCGCCATGTCCGCAGCTGCCTGAGTTCCAAACTTTGCTCGTCAGAGGGACGTATCACGCGTCCGCCCCCGTTCACCTCCTGCTGTCACACTGCTCCGGGACTCCTGGGGCCAGAGCAATCTGCCTCACGCCTCAGCGCGAACCCTTCACAAATGCCCTGGTAGAGCTCAAGGACCAGTGGATCGAAGTTCATGGCGGTATCGGACGTACTTCTGCCGCCGCACTACGCACTGAAATCTTGTTTGTCGTCCTTGGTTTCGAGTTGGTGTATGGTCTGATCAGTATATGACAGCTACCCGCCTACGCTCGCACATCTGCGGCTAACGCTGTCTATGCTGCACGAGTACGATGATACAGTGCATCATCGGAAGACTACACTCGCAGTCGCGCCGACTTTGCTTGTCCTCCATGAGCTATCTGCGTACTTCACGGCCCAAGCAACCCAGGCAACGTAAGCCCAACCCGAGCTGACCACCGTTCGAATCCTAATAATGAGCAGCGTCTCTGCATATCTGTCCGCGGTATCTTCCGCATTGGCACTCACGGCGTCGTGGTCGCCTAAGAGGCAAGTCTCCGCGGCCTTCTCCTAGAGACGCCCCAAATTGACGACGACGGCGGTCCATTCATCGCAGCCCAACCATCTCCAAACTGGTGCTCTTCGACTCCGGCTTGAGCCAACTCAGGCTGCCCATCCTTCCACTGCTATCATTCGGCGATACAGGTGAGAACGAGCCGCGTCGCGGAACGCTGTCTGTGCTCCTGGAGCGGTACTTCGAGTGGAGAGTAGAGTTTCCTGACGGTCAGTGAGACAACGTTGAAGTGGACGCTGCTACTCAAATTGCGCTGATAGATCAAGAGAACGAGTCGGGCGACGTGCAGGATGACGAGTCAAAAGAGAAAGACCTCCTTGAGACCAAGTCTCTGCGTCTCTCGCGGTTAACGGGTAGAAGAGCCGAGAACGATGAGGAGGAGGGTGTGGTTTGGACGTGGGGGGAGTCCGTACAGGTCGGCGACGATGGTAGAAGATGGACGAATTTCTTGTGGGATGATTTCTGACAGTGTCGCCTGAGGCTATTAGTGTTGAGTGCTCCAGTACATAGACCTGCAGTCCAGCATGAGAAAGTGACTGTTTATGTTCGAAGTACGATGTGAGGGAGAGCACACAAGCCGAGAGGCATATGATTGTGATTGCCACGTGGGGCGCTCACTCCCTATTACTCGGAGTTAGACTGGCGCGCTGCTCGTCAATCCACTTGACCACAGCCGCGTACGTCTTGGCTCCAAAACGCGACCTGCCAGTCCCGACTCGCTGTCATGGAGTTCTTCAACGACGCGGGTGATGATCCGCTGAAGCCGACGCTATTCGAACTCGTCGCGCAGGAGCAGTTGAGAGACCTCCTACAGCCCGCACTCAAGTATGTGCTCTCGGTGAGCGGATATCGCTCCGTCCAATGTCCAATGGGGTGCTCAGGATGCACAGGTCTTCGCGCAATCGTATCCTCGCTACTTACTGCGAATAGTGAACAAGCATGAGGAGTTCTACGCGCTACTCATGTTCTTCGTCGAGAGGCACTACCTCCGCGCTCACGGTGAGTAACGACGCGTTGGTGCACCTGGAGATCTCTAAACGGAGGCATGCAGGCGCATCATTTGCGGAAAACTTCTACGGTCTGAAGAGAAGGCGGGTGCCACTGTTCAAGACCGAGCGTGCGAGGAGCGCAGTCGGCGGCGTTTTTCCAGAGGAGAAGCTACGGGACCGAGACATATGGCGGTCTCTACTATTCCTGGTGCGTCGCCTAGTTCCGATGCACGTTGGTGATGCAGGGGCTGGACACTCAGTTGCAGGTAGGACTTCCCTATGTGCGTGCGAAAGCGCAGGACTACTACGAAGAGCTGGGGGGCGGCCTCCAGACGGACCTCATTGAGGACACGCGACCCATCCCAGTAGATGAGGTGCGTGCGACTCAGGTTGACACTGTGTTGGAGGGTCGTCTGATCAGGAGCAGACATGGAAGGGGCGTTTGAAGCGAGCGTACAAAGCCGCGTACCCTTGGTTGAACACTTCCTTCGAGGTCTGGTTATTGGTCTACAACATCGCGTATCTTTTCGAGCGGACCCCGTATTACCGACCATGGTTATCTTGGGTGGGAGTGGATTTGCGTCGGGTGAGCGCAGAGGACCTGGTGAGTCTCATGGTCGATAGAGTACAGGAGCGTATCTGACAACGCGTTCAGCGCGCGGCGCAGGTTGCAGTCCGGACACCTCCCGCCCCCAAACCACGGGGCGTACTAGAGTCCCTCACACGAGTGCTGCGGAGGTCGCCGCGACTGTTGCTTGACTCGCTTAAGGTGCTCTTACCCACAGCCATATTCTTCATCAAGTTCCTGGAGTGGTGGTACTCGCCGTCGTCACCAGCACGGTCGTTGTCGACGTCCCCGCTCGGACCGGTCGTGCCGCCGCCGCGCCTGCATCCCCCACATCCACAAGGAATTAGAGTGGATGACGTTGAGTATGGGATGTGCCCGTTGTGCCGGAAACAGATCGCGAATGCGACCGCGTTCCCGTCTGGTTATGTCTTCTGCTATCGGTGCGCACACGACTGGGTGGAGAAGGACGGACGGTGTCCTGTGACGCTTGTGCGGACACGTATGTGGCAGCTGAGGAAGATCCTCGTGTGATCAGTAGTAGCGTATGGCTGTTCCTGTTGACGGTGGGCTGGGGACGGCTTCCAATATGATCTCAAGGATGGGACGCACGTTCGTAGCGCTTCCCGAGCGTCCGGAGGCGATCCGGCGGTCGGGTAGATAACCGAGATCCGGATCTGGCTTCCCTGCGTGCACGTGGGTCGGAATATGCAGGACATGTCGATGTGCGAGTAAACCCTTCCCCTTCGACTTTTGGGCCAATGGGGCCGCTACTTTCCCTGCACTCGAGTAAGAGCCCGCCTCCTGCGCCTGCTTTCATTCGATAAACCTGCGAGCAGCCTGCGCAGCCCCCTGCGCGAGTAATCCCTCCAGCCATGAAGGTTCTATAACCCCCGCCTCTCTCCTTAAAGTCTCGTGCTGAATACCTCGCGCTCTCTGCAGTTCGGCAAACAAATCCAGGCCGAGCAAGTGCCTGGATGGTCTGCATATTACTTGGACTATAAGGCCTTGAAGAAGATCATCTCTTCCCTTGCGGCGAATCGCCCGCCTGCTGAGGCTGCCGCTCTTGCGCCTCAGGACACTATCCGCGCGGGTGACATCCTATCTTCCGCCTCCCTTCCCCAGACAGCACTCGGAGCTGAGCGTTTAGTCTCTCAATGGGAAGAGCCACCATTATATGCGCCCCTGGGGCAGGATCATGATTGGGGCTCGAGCTTTCAAGCCCACAGGGCCGCATTCTTCTTCAAGCTAGAGCGAGAGCTAGAGAAGGTGCGCATATCCGTCCAATCACTCCCGGCACGCGTCCTTTAATGACTCCCGCATATGGCGGATTCTTGGGGTGCAGATCAACGCGTTCTATCTCGAGAAGGAGGCTGAACTTAAGCTGCGGCTCGAGACGCTGCTCTCCAAGCGGCGGGCTGCGGCTATGCACGTTCTTCCCGACGCTAGCGACGACGCGACAAAGAACCACGTCGAGTGGAGCGCGGTGGAGGAGGGTTTCAGGTTGCTGGAGCGGGACATCGGGAAACTGCAGGTAGATGGTCGCGCCTGTGCCACGCTATGCTCAATTTTATACATGTCTCTCGCCTTTTCCCTCTTCAGCAATTCGTTGAGATCAACGCTATGGGGTTTCGGAAAATCCTCAAGAAGTGGGACAAGCGTTCGCGATCGACCACCAAGGAGCTATATCTTGCGCGTCAGGTCGAGGTGCAGCCGGTATTCAACCGACAGGTATGTATGCATATATAACGACCTTCGCTTCTGCTCTACTAATCAAGTTCGTGCAGCTGATCTCCGAGTTGGCTGACACAGTCGCTGCTTGTCTGCTCGATCTCACCGATCTGTCCATCGGTCTCGGAAACGAGCTCACCGTGGCGGAGGATGTCATCCTGAGCCATCAGCTGAACATCGACCGCAGTGTGCAAATGGCGCCCTTCTATGACCTCGAGAGTAACCTCCGCAAGGCAGTCACTGACGGCGACAGGACTGTTGTTGCGGACCTCGTACGCTACTCAGACTCCCTCGTGCAGTCCCGCGAAGCACGTAATCATGTCACCCGCATCCTTTGGAAAGCGGTCATCGACGCACCTCAGGAGCTAGCCGACTTGATCCTCTCATCGACAGCCGGTCCGTTCGACTACACGTTCGTAGACGACATCAACGGCCGCACATGCCTGCATGAAGCCGCTATCGCGGGTCTACTCCGCCTCGTGGATCTCTGTCTTGCTGGAGGTGTCCAAAAGGACAAGACGGACGCTTACGGCCGCTCCGCGCTTCACTATGCCGCGATGCACGGACATGGCGTCGTATGCCAGAAGCTCATCCAAGTCGGACTTCCCTCTGACGTCGTCGATCTTGACAATTGCACGCCTCTGATATACGCCACCCTGAAAGGCTGCGTCATCTGCGTCCGAGCCCTTCTCGAGAGCGGAAGGGTCTCTGTACAGGACTATGGCTCCAACAGTGACTTGATGCCACTCACGCTCGCTGCGCGTTCCGGGCATCTGGATGTTGTTGAGCTCCTTCTGCAGTACGGTGCTCCGAGTTGCCAGAATACGAATGGAGAATACCCGATCCACCTCGCAGCGCAAGAGGGACACGCGGACGTATGCCGCATTCTTGCAAGCAAAGAGGGATGGGACGTTCCCGACAAATACAACGAATGGACACCACTCTTTCATGCCGCAAGGTTTGGTCGCGACTCCTGTTTGGCAGTCCTCCTTGAAGTTGGGAGCCGCATCGATATCACCGACGAAGCCGGGAACTCGCCCATGTACTATGCCGCGTGGTACGGTCACAGGGCCTGCGTTGCGCTGCTCGTCCAGGCGGCTGCTCAGGCCCACGCTGCTCAGGTTCCGAAGGCCCAAGAGTCACGCCTTACCGATACACAAAGATCGACGGGCACGGAGTCTGACATAGACGCGATCCCTTCGCTCTATCTCCCCCCACCCATGATGCCCTACCGCGTCTACGGACACAACTACCTGGACAAGGCAAGCCTCGTGCAGGTTACCATTGGTCACCTGTCATCGCATTACCAGGATCCCAGCGCGGATGGGCCTGCTGTGCGGCTGCGACACCCCCTGGCAGGACCCCAGTACGATGACCGGCACCTGCACGCCTCGCCTCTTCTGAAGCTTGTCATGACCGCTGCGCCTGTCACTACGTCCGCGCCGTACAGCGTGTCGCTCCCAATCCGCGACCAGAAGATCGTCTTCTCGTTCCAGGTCCCGTCGCCGAGCGCCCTCTCGCTGGAGTTCTCGCTATACCCAAACTTCGGCACCAAGACGATAGGCCGCGCTACAGCCCTTCCGCACCTGTTCCAGAACATCCAAAATAGCCAGCCCTTTACACTTCCCATCTTGGATCCCCGCTTGCATGTCATTGGAGAGGTGTGTCCCGTTGTATGCGTGGAGTAGTTCCGAGAGTTGATGCCTGCTGGCCGCCAAGGTGTCGTTTGAGGTTAACATCATCACGCCGTTCAGCGGCGTCAAACTCGAGATCGGAGGGGCTGTGGAGACGTACTGGAAGTCGCTAGCGATGCCTGTCCCAGGGGCAAGCAGCGCCAAACTTCTGTCTCCTCGGCCCCCACAACATGGAAGGGCCCTCGGGTCCGCACAGACGTCGCCGTCGAACCCGACGCTCGCGCAGGCCTCCGGGCACTCGCTAACGCATTCATCGGTTACCGGAAGCTATATCTACGTAACCGTCCAGGTCACTCGGGACCTGCACTCTGTCATATTCCCCGAATGGAGGTTACCGGACGCGAACTACGAGTTGGGCGTCGCGGATATAACGCTGTCGCAGTTCAAGGCATTGGCGTCCCGACTGGGCCGCGGGGCTCCAGCGCCCGATTCATCGTCGCCACCTTCCCTTTGGGCTAAGTGGATATCTTCCTCAATGATAACATTGCAGGAGTTACTGCGGGTACGTCTCACGAAGTCGATGTTCCCTGCCAAGCAATGCAGTCTCAGCTCACACACCGCTTCTTCAACCGCTCACTCGCCTCCCTGCCGCCCCTACAGCTTGTCCCCGCAATGTTCGGCATTTGCGTGGAGATCGCGTACCCGCCCATCCAGGTCCGAAGGCGCTTTTCGCTGCGAAACCAACTAGACCTCAACGACACGGTCAACTCCGTGTTACGCACCGTTTACGACATGTCGGCGCTAGAGGGGCAGATGGGTCGCCGGCCGGTGGTGTTTACGTCCTTTGCTCCGGATCTGTGCGCGGCTCTGAACTGGAAGCAGCCCAATTGTACGTCACCGCAGCCGCTTGCGGCTCGCACGCGCGCGTGCGCGCGTCAGTTAGACTATGGTTGAGAGCGTCGCGCTAACCGCGTTCGGCATCGCAGATCCTGTGTTCCTCGCCTCCCAGTGTGGGGACGCGAGCCGCGCGACACCCAGCGCTACCGCACTCAGCACGGACGACGCGCACGACCATCGGCTTTGGAGTCTGGATGCTGCTGTGGAGTTTGCTAAAATGAACAACTTGTTGGGTGTCCTGCTGGACGCCGGGTTGCTGGTGTGTGATTTTGTTGGACTGGCTGAGAAACGCCAAGCTAGTATGAGTCGTTCCTTTGCTAACGATAACATAGGCTCGAGTGCCCTCGCTCATACAGGGCGTGAAAGATTTTGGCCTGCTGGTGGGCACGTTCGGCCTTCCGGAGGACATCGAGAGGCTGCCCACATCAGCAGGTACGGAAGCAAGCGGCGTGGATGCCGCGTTGCAAGACGGCGTCTTGTTGTACTTCAGCAACAAACACAGGGGAATGCAAGAACTATGACCTATATTCGTCGCTCCGATCCGGACGGCGATATACGACTATGAAGAGTGCAGCGACAAATCTAAGGCTCACACTATTTTATTGGTATTACTAGACAATAATACGAACCTTCGTACTCTACAGTTCTTCCGAGGTCATGTCCATCACCACAACCCAGGTCCAGTGTGTCCATATTATAGCAGAACACGAGAGTGTAGCAGATTGTTTTATCTAGACAGAAGCATGATATAGGGAAGCGTACCGCCCATTACGACTGAGCAATTGCTCGTGCGTTCCAAACTCAATGATCGTCTATAAAACAACCGACGTCAGTACGACCACACACAATACGTAACCAGAACGTTCATGGCAGACGTACTCCATTCTCCATCATGGCTATTTTGTCAGCACGGCGAGCAGTAGCCAGCCTATGCGTTATGAATATGACGGTCTTTGTCCGGTCACCGTCCGGACTGCGCGAAATTTTCTCGATGGTGTCAAAGACATGCTTCTGGGCGTGGGCATCAAGAGAAGACGTCTGTGTGGAATGTGGTCGCGATGAGCTAGCAGCGTGGCGACGAGGAATGTCCGGTTCGCGGGAAACAAACGCGGAGGACGGCACCTACCGGCTCGTCGAAGACCAACAATTCGACTTCTGGACGCCGCGCACGCATGAACGCCCGCGAGATAGCTATTCGCTGCCACTACGCATGATTTCGGCGTCAGAATGATTTAGCGGGCACCAGAGTTCGTGAGAGCCTACCTCCCCACCGGAAAGCCCATGAGGCGTGTGCGACGCAGGACCGTCGCCGCAGCATGCTTCACAGCTACGATTGAGGCCATCCCCATCCAATCTTGTGCGGACGCCTTCAGGCAGTGAATGCACGAGGTCTGCCGCTCCGGCGAGCTCTATGGCCGTGCTGACAGCGTCGGCGCTGTCCATCTCGGGGACAAAACCAATACCAACGTTGCCTTTGACGGATGTACTGAATTTCGAGAAGCCTTGAAAGACTGCTGAGGCGTGGGCGTGGAAGTCGCGCGGGTCAAGCCGCTGGATATCCACGCCATTCACGCGTAGTGAACCGCTCTCGAAATCGTAGATGCGTAGAAGAACGTTCGCCAAGGTGGTCTTGCCTGAGTGGCACATGGTTAATAGTGTCTGAACCTCCAAAATAGCGTTGAGAGTCGTACCTGAGCCATTATAGCCTACTATAGCCAGTGTTTCGCCAGCCTCAACAGTCAACGTGATGTTGTGGAGCGCAGGGACTCTGCTCCCGGGGTAACTGAAGCTGAGGTTCCTGTCATAGATATTAGCCACAGCGTATGGTCCGACGGCTGGCCCCGATGCTCACTGGGCGTCGATGGCCATTCCCACGCCTGAAGGGCTGTACGGGATTGCTTTTTGCGCGTCGGGTTGAAGCCGGGGCTTCAACGCCGTCGCAGCACAAAACGCCCCCATCAGAAAGACTCCTTGAAACGCCATGCGCAGGGTACGGAGGAGCGCCTCGGCCGTCAATAATAGACTTTGCAATGTACTGCGGTAGAGTGTGAAAGTTCCAACGGACGTGGACGACGAGCTGAGGACGAGTAGCAGGGGCACCTATCCATTTTGTTAGCTGTGCGACTGCTACAAACCGTGAGCCACAAACATTATGGAAAGCCGAGAACATGCCGTTGAGATACACCCGCGAAAGGGGACGGAACGAGAGGTTATTGTCACCGCCGTGGTGCCGTCGTTCGAGGCCAAGGAGCGATTTCCGAGCGCGGGACCACGATTTCAGTATCCATGGGCCGAGGTCGAAGAGAAGGATCTCTGGACGGTGAGCGTCGCTGTGAGCGAGTCCGCGCATGGCTTCCTGCTTTGCTGCCAGTTGCCCTCCAAGCTGACCGTTAGGACAATCCCAATTGTCATGTCCATAGGTAAGCCAAGAGAGCATAGACGGAAGTACCGTCACTGCGACAGAAAGGAAAACTATAGAAAGGGGCGTGCCGCCGAAAGTCAACGAGGACAGGACCCAAAGATGAGTCAAAACTTCGGAGACAAGCGTCAGAAGACGCATCGCGTCGAAAGGGGAGAAGACACCGAAGGCCGAAAACCCGTTGAAAGAGCGGACGAACGTATCAGACTCCTGCAGGAGGTCGCGAACCAGCGGGTCAGAAAGTGTCGGCACGTCTAGCCGTAGCCTCTGCTCCAGTTGCCTTCGTTCGACGAGGAAGCGAGCCGAATTGTGCACGATATTTTCATTCGAAGTTCTGTATCGGAACTATTAGCCTGCCCCCTATTAGCCCGCGGAGACGATGACGCACGCAATATTGTCTATGGCGGCTTCTACACTCATGCGGACAAGTTCCATTGTGCCTTGATGTAGTACGTGTGAGAGCGTGAAGTTACCGGAGGTCATATTGCGTTGAAGCTATGTTGACTATGAGACAAATATCAAGCCTAGGAGACTAGCAGGTACGGACCTCGTCTATCATGACAGCCTGTGAGTAACCACGGAAGGCGGGAAAAATTCCTCGTACGACATCAAGTGTCACCATGAGAGATATTCTAAACGGGTGGGCATCCCATAAGCAAGAAAGTAATTCGGGGGCGCAACGTTTTGACAGGGTGCAGGCGAGTGCGAGGTTCTGAAGAGAGAAGGGACGTTGTGCAGCTGGAGGGAGATGCTCCGTGCCATTTTCTGCGATACGTCGCGATGCTAACCAAACTGCGTATAGATCGGGGGACTCTTCCAAGGCGTCTCTCTTGACGCGCTCGCGGGAGGTGGGAGGCTTTAAAGGGGCGTCGTGAGGGCAGCCCGGAAGATTCCTTACGACAGAAGAAGCTAGATGGATGACATCAGAAAAGAGAGAGCTGGGCGGGAGAGGCATGCCGACCAAACGGGAGAAAGTCCAAATGGCCAGAATGACCGGGCTTTATACAGAGGCTTCAAAACGCCCCGGGATGGAGCTCCTCCCGTCCACGTCAAGAGCGTTATTGTCTAGGTGTGAGATTGGATCGTCAGCGCTCTCATTTGCTCGCGAGCGGAAGGCATTTTATGGGAAGCCCGTACCGAGAGCGAGCGGCCGGACCAGTTTGTGACGTTTAGGCAGTGTGACTGTTTGGTAAGGCGCCAGACGTCTTTGGCGGAGGATGATAGGCAAAGCGCGAGATGAAGTCCTGCCCGCTCACCGTCTCCAGGCCTGCCGCAATGGGCAGGATTGCTTTGCAAGCTTGGAGATGTTTCGGACGGAACAGCAGCCACCTTTCACATGGCCTCGCTTGGCGAACCTGATGTGCACCGGGGACCTGCCGCGGGGCTTTGTGCTTTCCTTTTCGGGGCCCTCGAATGGAGATGGCCACATCCGACCGCTGCGGGTGTATCAGCACGCGGATCGTGTATATTTTCCATCATGCCCGCCCCGCGGGCTCCCGGGTCAGTACCGCACGTCGAGCAGTGGTGTTTCTATGGTCACATTTGGTGTTTATTCTGCCGATTTGTAGGTCCGAATGTATCCACTCATCCCCGGGAGATCTCAGGAAATCTCTCGTTGCTCACAAGGTCATCACAGAGGTCAGCAGCAGGCGATAGCCAAAGCAGTGGCATGCGAGTAGCGATGGGTGAATCCTAACAGTTCTCACCTCGGCAACTCTCCATCGAACGCTAGCAGCTACTTCGCCATGACGGCTACACGCGCGCATATATGTGCATTTTTGACCGTGCCTGGGTTCTCAGTGTGAGAAGACGGCTCGTGTTGATGAGCCCGGGGACTATGCGTTTAAGCTCGCCAGGTATGCATGGAACAGGCCGGGGGCCCGGACGGGGCAGATATGGTGGAGGATGTTTGGGGACGGAGGAGCGGACCAACTTGGTAAGGCAAAGTTGGGCGTCTAAACGTCCGTGACGGATCTCCGCACCGTACCACCGCCGCTTTGGGCTGCATCTGCTAAACTTTTTGTCTGCTCTTACCGTCATGTCTCTCGATGACCCTGCGAGCCAAAGCCAGCTTTCGGAGAGCCTCCGGAAGGTCAAGCTGCAGCAAGACTCGCAGGATGCTATCGCCGAGGAGCCGGAGGCTCACGACCATGATGGGGTAGGGGGATCATCGTCGCAGCGTCATGTGGGTCCGACGCACAGGCTTGAAGGCTACGGCTTCCGCCCTCCATCTGGAATAACAACGCCTCTGTATACTTCCAAGGCCGCAGGCAAGGTGGGAAGTCCTCTGCCGGATGCGAATGGTCTTGGATGGCCCGGTAAGTTCACTAATCTCTTGCCGTGCTACGGCTATCGGGACGAACTGACATTCCCTACCGGACTGCGAAGCAAAGTCTACCCACCTGCGTTTGAATGCAACCCCAGAGGAACGTGCGGAACGCGAAAAGAAGCTCTCGGCCGCAGTACGCACAATTCTGGAATGTATCGGAGAGGATCCTGACAGGGAAGGGCTGCTCAAAACCCCCGATCGTTATGCGAAGGCCCTCCTCTGGATGACTCGGGGCTATGAGGAACGTCTAGCAGGTTAGTCAAGATCACATATTCTGCCGCTCTGCTCGCGTCGGATTTCGTCTTACTAGTTCACTAGACATCATAAACGATGCCGTCTTCGAAGAGGACCACGAAGAAATGGTGCTTGTTCGCGACATTGATATTTCTAGCCTGTGCGAACATCACCTTGTTCCATTTACGGGCAAGGTGAGTTTCTATGTCTCCCGGCCCCGCAGCTGCAGAAGCTTTCTCACTATGTGCAGATTGCGATAGCCTACATTCCGAACAAACTGGTGCTCGGCCTTTCTAAACTCGCTCGCATTGCCGAGACTTTCAGCCGCCGGCTGCAGGTCCAGGAACGACTGACGAAGCAGGTCGCGCTCGCTGTCCAAGAAGCGATCCGTCCTCGCGGCGTCGCTGTCGTAATGGAGGCGACGTGAGTTCCCCCTCAATTTCACGCCCATCCTCCGATTGCAGACTGACCAGCTTTCACTCCTCACAGGCATATGTGCATGACGATGCGTGGCGTTCAGAAGCCGGGCGCAGTGACCGTGACGTCCTGCATGCTTGGGTGCTTCCGCACGCAACAGAAGACTCGTGAGGAGTTCCTCACACTTATCAAGGGCCGGTAACGGGCTCTCTGGCATCTATTCATCCATATATACTTGGCATTTCCAGAATGTGTCGATTCAACTCGCCTCGGGGCAGTTCGACTGTAATCTCGGACCTACCACATCTCGGACCTACACATAATAGTCCTTCCACCACACTTTCCCCATGCATTGTTTCCAACGCCACTTTCCCCCCACCCCAATCGGAAGAGCATCTTGATCCAACATCGATGCCGCACTAATGCAATTCAACTTGTAGCATAGCATGTAACTTCACCCACATTTGTAATGTGCTTCAACCAGGAGCTTCAAAACGTGACATGTAGAGATGAGAACAGTTGCCTCTTGAATAGGATGGGTGCACACCCTTGTGTGAAAGGGTAGATAGATTGAACACTGGAATGATCCCAAGGAGATTTTCGGGAGGAAAGCATCGAGTGGAGAGAAAGTACAGTAACAATGCGCGATAGCGATGTATGCTACACGGAGTAATCTAGCGTCGCGACTAGTCCTTGCGGGCCGCCCGAGCCTTGTCTGCGGCTTGGGGATCGATTGGAAGCACCCGCTTTGCCAAACCGCCACTGGAAGTAGTATTGTAACGATCGCGAATGAGACGGGGGCGCTTTGGAGCTTGGGCAGTAGGTTCGATGATCCCCGTCGTCTCAGGCGCGTCCCTCTCACGGTCTGCAAAACGCGTGGTGGTCAGCAGCTAGTTCCTGCACAATGCATGGTCAAGAGGAGTAAAAGACTTACCAGATACCGTGCGCTTTCTGCCACCATCGCGATCATCGTCTTGCTTCCTGTCACCGGAGGACACTGAAGGGTTTGGTGGCAGCCCACGAGACGAGTCCCTGTCAACCGGCGCAGCAGAGATACGTGAACGTAGGCTACCGCCCTGGCTTGGCTCCTGCAAGCCTCCGTTGGCAGTTGGAGGAGCATGTGGGGGTTGGTCGCGCTTCCAATCCCGGTCACGACCGTCTTTGCGGGATCCATCTCCACTCGTCATTGCACGAGGTGCAGATGGAGTCGAAGGGGGCAACGCCTTAGCGGAAGCAGGTCCTTCTAGTATCCGCTTGTCGCCCAGCTGCAGGAGAGACGTGAATGAGACTAATCTCGGCGAAAGTGGCCCGAGACCTTACCTTCGTGTCGATTGATAAGCTCTTGCCCTCTCCGTCTCCCCCGTCTCGATCCTTTCGACGACGGTCGGAATCACGCCCACCTCGCTCGTGACCATCCTTTTCGGACGAGCGACGGCTGCGGTCTTCGTGATGGCTATCTTTTCGAGACGAACGCTTAGAAGAGCGGTCCGCCTTTCGTTTAGTAAATGAGCAAACCCAGGTTGACCACCGGCAGTGAATATGACTCACCTCGTCGTCACCGCCACGGCGCCGCTTCCCAAGAGACTCATCACCACGATGGCGGCCACCAGTCTCAGGTCTACTCGGCAGTCCGCGTTCATCAGCACCAGGAGTGGTCGGAAGCGCAGCTGCTGACCCTCGCCCTGTCTCGCGCTCCTTGCGACTCTCGCGGTCTCGATCCTTCTCGTCTCGGCGATGGCGGTCGCGGTCTCGGTCACGATCCCGTTCACGCTCCCTGTGACTACCATCTCGGTCGCGTTCCCTATCACGTTCGCGCTTTTCCTCGCGGTCGCGGTGCTCACGATCGCGGTCCCTCCTGTCGCGCTCACCATGCCTATCTCGTCCCCTGTCCCTATCGCGCTCACCATCTTTATCTCGGTCTTCGCGACCCGCTCTGCGCTCGCTACGGATGCTTTCCCGACGCGAAACTTCACGTCCCTCTGGACGGGGCTCACGCTCGGAACGCTTATCATCACCCTTGTCTCCTCGAGCCGATCGGCGATCCCCGCTCGCTCTTGACTCCGAGCTTGGGTTTCTTGTACCAGGCCGGCTCGAAGGTGAAGGCGACCTGCGGCGTGGCGAAGGAGCAGGGGCTTGCGAACGCGGCTCCGTGGGAGGCTGAGTGTCGCTTCTCTCAGTTCGTGATTGCTTCGCAGTCTCTCGGAGCTCTTGCGCAGACAGCGTTTGACTAGGTTTGGAGGGAGGTGGCATGATCTGTGGTGGCTCTGGACGCCCTCCCTGGAAATCGAGATTACTGAGAGAGCCCCTAGGCGAACTTGGGATTGGCCTGCCAGCAGCGGCCCGGACTGCCGCTGGTTGACTGGGTGTGGGGGGACGAGAGATGCGCACGGGTTCGCTGAAAGAAGTCGCAATAGGCGCAACACCTTTGGATGCGTTGGAGACGGTCATATCATTGTGCGAGGCTGAATGCGGTATTGGTTGATCGACATCCATGGCATCTCCCTGGGGAGTAGTCTTCGCTTCTGCCGCCGGCTTGCCATCGGCCGCAATTTTCGGTTCAGGTCTGACCCTCTTGACAACTTCTGGACGCGGAACACTGTAACAAAAGAAAATATACGTGACTGCACGAGACAACCTCAAGCGCACTGCATACCTGTCGAGTGCCAGCTTTGTGGATGTCGGAGTCCCGCTTCGGTCTGGGGCAGCAGACGAAGCTGTGTTTGCAGTCTGCGCGACATGTGCCTTGGGACCTGATGGCGCGGAAGAGAGAGCTGGCCTGCGTTGATCCGCAGCTGCCTGGCTGGCAGGGGCAGTTGGGGTGCCATTGCGAGGCTTCTCGGGCTGCGAGGGTGGAACTGGAGTTCTTGAGGCCGGCGGAGCAGGCTTCGAATTTTATCAGCATCGCTGTAGACATTCAGGGGGCCACGGCTCACCTTTGAGGGAGCTGCCCAAATAGGCTCTCGCTTCTTCAGACTTGCGTAGTAGCTGTAGTGCTAGGTCAGAACACACATCAGCCCTGAGTATATAGGAGGAAGGCATACGCTCGACCAAGGATTTTGAGATCCCCTCGTTCCTCCTTCTCCAGGAACTTTTCAATGGCTCTACTTATGTTCAGGCCACTGAACTCGGAAATGGAAGCGATCGGGAACACCGGCAAAATCTCCTTCAGAAGGATGATCGTGTTGTACACGTGCATGAACTCGCCCGACTCGATGGACTCCGTCAGACACTGCAACGACATCACTACACAGCTGAAAGTGGGCACAATGATCCAATTCGCACCTTGCAGAGCTTACGGTGCCACTTCTTGACGACCGTCTTGAAATCGCTCCACTTGATCAAATCCTCCTGCGCGATGACCGACTTTGACGTCCAACGGCGTTGCAGACCAGGCAACAGGGCGACTGCTCCACCACTCTTCGTCCGGTTCTCTTGCGTGAACAGTTGCTCGTCTTGGGACCACTTCTGTATGTCCGTCAAAACCCCAAGCAAGAACCGACCTTGTCGTCCACCATCAATATAGGTACAGAGCAGACCGTTCAGCGCCACATACCATAGTTACGAGCTTCATATTCGCTGCAAGAGAAGATAACGACCTTGATGTGCTCTCCAAGAATCTAGCATGTATCGCTTAGTGTGACAACGACTAGATCACGGAAGACAGCTCAACGAACCTTGTCGTAGGTCTGGAGTGTCGAAAAGCCAGGAGTACCCTGCAAGTGCATGACCTTGATAAACTGGGCACAAAAGTCGGCATCCATAGGCGAGATTAAGCATCGTGGTTGAATACAGTATTCAATGATGCAGGCGGCGAGGGTAATAGCTTTGGGATCTGGGCGCTCATGTTCAGCTCACGCCTTCGCAGGCCCAAAATGAACTCACTGTGTGCGAACCAATGGTGCTTCTCACGGGCAAGGCGCTTGATGGTAAATGCACGATTCGCAGTCTGCTCCTTGAACTCCTGACTTAGCGCAGACACGACAGCATTGATCCTATTCCGCCGATCTCGGTAGGTGTTGGCGGTCATGCGCTTAGCACGATCTGCGGAGCGGTCCGCCTGATTGTAATTGGAGTCCTCGGCACGACTCAAAGTGCGCAACGCCGTGCATTCTTCGTCATACCTTGCAGCCGGGGGAGAGAGGTCATAAGTAGATAGCTGCCAGAACGTCAGGTAGAAGGCGGGCCTAATGAGAGCATTAGGTTTGACGCTACTATTATATCTGCTTAGCGCACACACCCAATGATCTCTGATGCAGGAGCGGGGGCCATCTTCTTCACATCCTCGAACAGGGGCTGGAGCTCAGGAAGCCATGGTGTCTGTTCGTAATAAGTCAATGCACTTATGCAGACCATTGAAAGACTTTACATACCTCAGGAGGCGTAGCAATCTTCTCCATCGACTCCATCATGACATCACCAGAGGGAGAATCTGAAATTGGTGGTTTGGCCTCCGCAGGCACGTCGCCATTTGTGGTGCCATCCGCGCCGGGATGAGGAGAGGCCACGCGCGACGCGGTGGCATTTGGCTCACGCTTCGCTGTCAGGAGAGCAGCTTTCAGTCGCTTCTCCGCTTCCTCGCTCGCCACGCGCTCTTTCTCCTGCAAAGCAAGGGCGGCAGCCTGAGGTACATCAGTCATGAGCCTATGACATATACATATGGACGACTCACAAGCAACTTTCCGTGGAGGATCGGCCTGTAGATCTGCATGCAGATAGGCGGGCAGATGCCATACTTCTCGTTCAGCTCGGCAAGAGGAGGTACGACCTTCGTGGCATAGTCTTCAGGGCTAATGACGGTCGGCGTTGTAAGCAGCTCCAAGTATTGCAGCAGGACGCCGTGCGTCTGACGGAGACGTCAGCGGTTAGGCCATAGGCAGAAACATAGTATACATACTGTGTCGAACAGACTAGCGAGAGACTTGAGATGAGCGTCAGGCGCTCGGTAAACGCATGATTGCCGTTGCTGAGCAACTTGGACGAGTAGAGGAAGCGCGAGCGAGGAGTCGAGGAGTGCCTTGCCCAGACGGTGCGGTCCCTTGTACGTCGCATCTCCGGGGTCGAGCCGTGCACCGCGCGTACTTGAAGCGACGGCCTCTATCCGCAAGGTTGGTCCTCCGGCCATAGCAGCGATCTGAGAATCCGATAGACTGGGGAGTGGCTCGATGCCCGCCATTTTCCAAATGAGTTCGCGGAACACCACAATCTCCGTTGTCTGCCCGTTCTGCAACTGGTGCACGACGTAAGTGAGGAGCGGCGTTAGATCAGCGCTGTATCGGCGGAACAGCATGCCGGTAAACGAGGCAAGACCTGAAGTGACGGTGAGTCAAAGGCAGCAGATACCACATACTGGCGACGTACTCTGTAGCCAATCGGATATGTTGACACCGTCATCCTTCACCCTCTCTTTGTTGGGATTGGCGAAGGCGTCCAGAATGATGTACACGAGCACGTCGAAACCCATGAGCGTCACATAATTCAGTGACTGAATCACGACCCCAGCTAAGTTGTCGTAGGCCATGACCTGATTGACAGCATTGGTGAAGAAGATGCACGGATTGGAATACGCGAGCTTCGCGACAGCGCCGGATAGGGTATCGATGGTGTTGTGTGAGAGACGGCGAAGGATACCCTTGGCTTCCCTGTCCGTTTGCACTTGTCGTACACGGAGCTCCGGGTGCGACTTGTAAGTGCTCGTTTTCCACTCCCCGTATAGTTGCCAACGAAGGGTGATCTCGAACTGTCGCAAGACGTTCCACACGTCCACCGTGCAGACAGCATTCCCGCGGATCAGTGGTAGCGCAGGAAGGATATATCGACGCAGGAGCTTGAACCAAAAGACCATAACGGGGTGCGATGGATCCGGGGTTCCTACGGGTCTCTTGGTCTCTGGTTCCACCTCGACCTGAGGGTATTTCTGTGAGATGTCGTAAAATGACGCTGAGGGAAGGGTGGACTCACGGTAGTCGTGATGTGCTGCCGCCCAACTCGGAGGAGCTTCGTAAGGAAAGATGTGTCACGGGATATGTGCAGCCCAATGAAGCACATCAACGGTTCCAACACGTCCACGAGATCATCGAAAGAAGAACATGTAGGCACACGCTCGACCCAATCTGGGAAGAAGAACACGAATTCTACCGTGCTGGTACTCGGCGGGGTGGGCGCAACCAGTGTCAATTGCGGTCTGCGTTCCGGCGCTGGGACTACACCCGTGGCGCCGTACCGAGCGCGAGGCTTCATGAAACTCGCAGACTTGTTTCTCGGCGGTAAATTCGAGTCAAACAACGGAGCAATCGAATGCTTCAGCACACGAAGCATCAGATCTGCGAGCTCGGGGTACGCATCGACCATCCAAGGGAATTTGGACAGAATGGAGATTGCGGGACGCAGAGCACCCACAGAAAGCAACGCATTCAAAAGTCCTAGCTTCTGATTTGGCGCTACCTTCTCTACTACCTCTTCCTTCGGTTCTGGAGCTGTGGGACGTGCCTTTGTGCTCGAGGGCCCGCTCGACTCGAGAGGAGCTGCCATCGCGAGCTGACTGACCTTGGCTCCAGCAATGCGGTTCTCGACATTGGTCAAGTATGCCTTGTGGAGGTCGCCCATGCTCTCATCTGCAGGACCTATCTAGATGCAATTTCAATGTAAGCGTTCGTGTTTGGTGGTCCATGACAGACCAGACGTACATGTGGGTACAGATCCTCCAACGCCAAGAAGCCTTCACGGATGAGTATCGCTGCCATCAGGTACAAATTCTGAGGGGGTTTCTCCATGACATCCGGTGACTAGCACAATAGTCAGTTACACCTCCCACCCTTGCTCGTTGTACTGACGAACCTGATAGTATGTGAACTTGAACCCCAGGACCTGGGCCAAAACCCGACTGGTGTTGTCACCACTGTCGTTCAACTGAACGCCTGATCGTTCCTCCGCGATCTTGAGGACTTCCGTAAGGCTCTTGTCTTTGTACTGACTGAGATCGGGTTCGACGGCCATATCTTCTTGTTTGATGGCACGGCGCGTCTTAGAGCCCCATGGAGAGAATGATAGCAGCGACAGGAAGAAGCTGTGATGCGTGGCGAGATGAACAGAAAAGACATCAAGTATGATATCTAGGGCGCGGTTGGGGTCCAGATCGAAATAGCCAATGAGGCCCAGGGCACGCTCCCATGTGGGCCGAGCGCGAGCCTCGATTGCCTCAATGGGCTCGGAAGGGTACCCGGTTGACGGCGAATGGGAGGGACCAAGGCTACTCGTCAGTTCTGTGGTCAACTTGCTGTAACCTTCCGACTGCTCTCGGAGTAAGTTGAACTTGTTCTGCTTGTAGCTGTCGTCTAGAGTCAGAGCTTGCGAGGGTGGGGAGAAGGCGAGGGCTCACAATAGGCCGGTCCGCGTCCGGATTTCCTTCCGTTCGAATGCCAGCTTGTCTCCAACCAGACCGACGCTTGCGACTAGCCCCAGGTCGAGCCTCTCCCGGCAAATGGTGGGGTCAAGTACGCCGATAACCTGGATGTATGCAGTTAGCAAGGAGTGGTACAGAATCGAGAAGATGGGTAACGAGAGGCGTGCAGGCATCCACTGTAGTAGAGAGGGAAGCAAGGTTGCCCATGTGCGAACCGGGACAACAGGTCAGACGGTGCGTCTGCACAAGAACATTTTGTGTGGTCTTGCTAAATCCCATATCACGGAAGGCAAGGCAAAATATAACGGATTCAACCTGCCTATCACTGCTGCGGTGAACGCATACGACAGTCCGTTTAGTATCGTGATGCGCACTACTTGCAGGGTAGGCCCCACTCACTTCAATGAGACCAGCATCAACGGCTCGGACGTTCGACTCGAACCATGGCTATTGAAAACTGGTTTTAAAGGAAGAGTTTGAGAAGTACGAATAGACACGAGTCTGCGGCCCAAACCACTCATGACGAATCCAATTCTCTCTAGGTTCCAAGGGTGCCAGATATGATCGCAGAAGATACATGACACCTACCAGGAGCCTTCTCACGACTGCCACCAGGGTTTCCTTGTCTGACTCTGCATTACTCCTGGCCTTCACCGCCTGTGCCACGGTAGCCGCAGATAGCGAGCCCTGTTCAGCGGTGGTCGCCGTGCCCTTCGCGTCTCCAAGGATCTCCTCGAGCTCCGAGTCGATGGCCCATATGATGTCCACCAGTATCTCTCCGAAGGCGACGACATTAGGGTTGTTCTCCGAACCGGCGGACGTAGAGGGCAGGTGGTCGATCACGGAACGGACGAAGGCAATGACGTCGTTCACCGACAGCGACTTTTTGGGAGACCAGGAGAGAAGAGTAGCGGACAGTAACGCGTGGTACGCCGTCGTTAGCGCAGCATTACAGTCGGGATCGTGTGGGTTAGAATGAGGACGAGCAAGGAGGTTGCGACTGTCGCCACGATGTCAATGAATTGAGAATGAACATATGCAGACGATCCGCGACGCACCATTCCGTGCTGCCTCCGCTCTCCCAGTTGTCCAAGCATTCCTGCGTCGACTCAAGGATATCCATGCGACGCTAGACCGTAGGCAGAGCCAATAAGAGACCGAAATCGAGAAGATGAGACTGTGTACGGAAGCAGCCACCACGCTTCGCCACACCGGGTCGCCCTCAGGCGGCTGTTTTGCTATGTTTGGCCGCCGCCTCTGGCGCCGCTCTGCGGCGCCGATACAGGCGCGCAAAGGTGGATCATGTGTCTGTACGGCCAGTGCCTGCACACTCGCCGAGCTCAGTCAACACATTTCAGCGACGTATTGCAAGCTCCAACAGAGCCCGGCTAGATGAAAATCTGATCATCTACGCATATCTTGAACAACGCCTGGACAACCCACACAGTCATTTCGGCGCCGATTGTGCAGGGATTGTCACGACAGGTGGTCTCTGCCTCGTTTAGCTTATCAGACCGCCGAGACACCTAGGGATGGGGTCTGGATTCCGCACCTCCTATGGCGTACGCGCCTCATCCCAACGCTGCATGTGTGGCACTTACGGTCTTCTGTGAAGACAGAGACAGGAAGCACTGATTCCTTGCTCTACAGATAAGTAAAGCACAGTGAACAATCACGGCAGCATGCCAGTCATGCGCGATGTCACATGCGTCATGACGATATTGTTGGCCCGCTTCGACGAGCTGTCTGCGACAGGTAAGTATTCAAACAGCTTAAAGGACGTGCAACGCACGCTTCGCAAATCGGTGTCGGACCGTCGCCGTGAACAACGTGCGTCGTTGGATCACGCCGAATCAGGGTCGCAATACTAACAACGAATTGTCTATTGGCATCAATGCAAGGGCAGGTGCAACTAAAACACGGCGGCGTTTAGGCGCTGCGCTCATCTGACCGGTCTCGAATTTGACATCGTAACGTTCGTGGAATCATGTTCGGTACGAGAAATTCATGGTCAAACCAATCGCGATCGGGACCAGGGGCTCCCGTCAGCCTCCCAACAAAACCCGCATTTACCCCGCAGCATACCTCTTGTCTCGGTATCTGAGAGTCGATATTTAGCCCGGATGAGGGAGCTCGATGTGTCGCCGCCCCAGGCTCTTCCGCCGCTTCCCTCCCCCCGCCTGTCCTTTCGCTGGAGACAGACATGGCCTTCGGCACTCTCCTTACGCTTTTCGTCGCCTGTTCTGCCGTCCTCGCTAGCCCTACCGCCGTCAAAGGCTTCGATGACGACACTCTCGCGAAGGTCAAGACGAATCTGCAGACGATCGCCACCCACAGGTCCGTACAAAAAGCATCTATCCGCCATCCGGCCTTCTTACACGCACGCCGTGCAGCTGGGAGATCGGCACGGAATTGGAGACCTTGACAGAGCTGGAGTGGCCAGAGCTATCAGTGTTCCACGGCGCCATCCCTCCCCCAGCCCAACTTGCCTCCTCCCACATCGCGGCCGATGTGATCGCGAAAGCCACTGCGTCAGACATCCTTTCAATGTTCACACGTTTTTGTGCCCGTCATTGACCTCCTGCATACAGTATTGTGAATAACATCAGCGACCCCACTGCTGTCGGGCCCCTCATCGACGGTGATGGTGCTGTCGGCGATCCCGCTAGTGAGTAAAGCTGCCCCATTTCCGCTATCCACAGGAAGAAACGCTCACCGTCCCGTCCTTTTGCTAGGTATCGGTGTGGCTGTGCTTCTTACGAACTGGACGCGCACCGATCCCAGTGACGACAAGTTCGCCCTTGCGGCCCAGAATCAGCTCGAGTACCTGCTGACTGTCGCACCCCGGACCGACGATGGTGCCATTTCCCATCGTGAAAGCGAGGTTCAGCTCTGGTAGGGGATCTTCCTTTCATTTCGGCGTTCCGAGGCTCACCTATCTCAGGGCCGACTTCGTCTACATGGCGCCTCCGTTCATCGCGTACTACGGCGCCATCCAGGGCGGCGCCAATGGGACCGCGCTTCTCTCCGAGGCTTACAACCAATGCAAACTCTATCGCCAATACTTGCGCGATGTAAGCGGTCTCTGGAAACATATCGTGCTTGGTTCGTCGCAGGACAACAACCACTGGGGAACCGGTAAGTCGGTCCGATAAGCCTCCGAGTTGCGGCGTTTCCAAGTAGGATCTCATCCTACTTGTCGATAGGCAATGCTTGGGCTGCCGCCGGCATGCTTCGCGTCCTCGAGACCATCGCTCGGTCCAACGAGGCCGACAATTTCAGGACCGAGCAGGAGGATCTCCTAGATTGGATCAACGAGATCCTCACTGCTGCATGGACATACCAGGTAGGATGGTTTGACGCCAGGGTCGAGGACATTTCTGACGTTTGTGTGGATCCCGCAGCATGTCAACGGAACGCTCTACAACTACATCGATCAGGACACCTCTTTCGCCGACAGCGCCTCCACTGCACTGCTCGGAGCCGTCTCGTTCCGCCTGGCCACGGTGAATGAGAGGGGCCACGCGCACATCCCAAACGCCTACCGTGCTCTTCAGGTCATCAAGGCCAGCGTCAACGAGGGGGGTTGGCTCCTCAACACCGTCGACCCAGAGACGTTCGACACTCCGTCTCTCCCTGGCAGCTACAGCCCCGAGGGCCAGGCGTTCGTTCTGCTGTTGCACGCGGCTTGGCGTGACTTTGAGGAATTCTCCAAGCCTAAGTAGCGCATTCTTTCTGGTTCGCCTGTTGATCATCTTTGATCGCAACAGTCAGCATCCTACATCTGTTGGGTCCCCTATGATAGATAAGGCAACCTAAACACTATCACTGTACATAGTCTTGTCAGCTCAGTGTACGACTGTGTCGTCTGACGGTAGCCCGACGCTTCCCGACATCATCATGCGCTCCTCACATGAAGGTATTTGTAGTATGGAGTACCCCGCATACGTATATGTATACTGCACAGTCTGTTTCGACGATTTGGCAATTCTTGCTCGTCAAAATCAATAGCATTGTCAATGGAGGCGTGCCCGTGCGTCTACCGATGAAGCTGAGCGTCTCGGGAATCGGCCGATCTTGGCAGAGGATTCAGGAAAGGAATCAGAGAAGGGTGTTCTCATGATTAAGCGGCGGTGCTAGCCTGATGAGGAATGGATCTGACGAACAGCAGCTTACACACGCTGGCCGTACTTACAGGAGGCGAAGGGAGCTCGAGCTGTTCGTTGCTGGCTGCCCTCCTTGCAACGCATCGGTCCCCCACGTCCTCCAGCCTTGCGCTGAGCCCGCGACTGCGGCCGCCCTGCTCGTGGAGCACGATGCCCGGCATGCTCGTCCTCTTGTCGTTCCTCGCCTCGCTCCTCCTTTCCTGTCTCTGCTTCCCTTCCGTATGGGCATTGATCACCGGGGGAGATGAGTTTCTCGATGCACACGAAGCCGGCCTGGCGGTCGTCGCGTCCCGTAAGTCCGCCTCCTGTTCTCGTGGCGTGCCCCCCAGCCCTTCACAGCCTGAGCGCACCATGTTTAGGCACCCCGTTTCGCGAGTCCGGCCCTCCCGCGTGCATGGCCAAGCTCATAATGCTCAGGCACAAGGTCAGCTCTATTCTCACATGTTGTGGCGAGGATGCCCCGCTCCGTCAGACACTCATACTCGTTGCGTCTGTGTCTGCAGCTCCAGCAGGATAACACCCGGAGGCGCAGTTCAACCGGCCAAGCCCGTCGAGCCGCACGCACGTTCAACGTTACTTCCTCACGAACGCCACGCAACGTACCATGGGGAGCCCGGCTTGGGCGGGCATATGGAAAGCAAAATTATTGACTGTATACCACACTACTTCCCTAGAGATGCTTCGAGCTTTGCTTGTGTCTCGTTTGCATACCCCCGAGACTTCCTTCATACCTGTTGTTGGTTAATTGTTGCAGCTAGCATACGCCCCCAACATTGTGTTATCCGACCCATTCCCAACCGTGGGACACTTCACACACGTACCCCACAAGGCTGTCGTACGACCACCTAAGGTATGTCCACGCCGCCTTCAGCATACCTGAAGAGTCAAGTGTTATCATATTGCTCGGCAAGCTACATGTGTGTTATTATACAAACCTCATACAAGAAGCGTACATATCGACATGGGTATGCATAAGCCTAGGGCAGATAGATAGCGATGTAGCGCGACGTCGATATCGTCCCGTACTCCGACAACACCTACAGTACATCTAGCTCGCGAACTTGTCCCGCCTTGACACCGCGGACAGCACACTGGGCCCTCTGCTAATCTTGGATGACTTGACAGTGACAGACGATGACGCCGCGGCCCTGGGCGCCTTGAACGACCCAGCGCCCATCTTCGACTTGCCGTGCCCTGTCACCGCGGCCGATCCGCCTGTGTTGCGGCCAACAACCGCGGCGGTGCGTGAAGACGTCTCGGACTTGGCCCATTTGGCCATCCGTGCGCGGTTGGCCTCGTCAATGCCGAAGCTCATGCTCTGAATGGTGCGATGATATGCCGGGATGAGTGACTATGTTCTATAACATGATGAATCGAACACGTCTCACCTGCATGGGCTCTTCCGCATTCGGACGGCGCGCGGGGACTGCCTCGTTTGAGACTTCTCTCACACGAGGCTCTTCCTCCATCTCATCATCGCTCCCGACGGCAGTCTCGATCCAAGAGGTGTCTTCGGGGTCGAACACCCTTGCGTCCTCGATCTATAGAGCGTCATTAGCATCACTGGGACCAAAGATTGTCAGGGTCGCAGCAACCTACCTGACGCTCCCGTGCGACCTTTCTCAGCTGCTCACGCACTTGAGCCGCATCTACAATCTCGGGCTCTTCCTCCACCTGCTGTGGCTGCTCCAGGTCCAACTCCATCGCATCCTTGTTCAGGTGCTCGAACTCATTCTCATCGTCGTACATATTCGCGCGATACTCGTTCGCGAACGCCTGCGTTTCCGGCCTCTTGGCTACCAAAGACGTCAACCAATCGAGCTCATGACGGAGCAACCGGCCGGGAAGACGCTTCCACACATACCTAGTGCTGCGATGTTATCGTTGTCCTTGCGCGCCTTCTTAGGTCTCGGCCGCCTCTCCCCCTCCTCCTCGGAGTCACTGTCTTCAAAACCGATACCGCGATCTCTCCGTTTGACTCGTAATTTACCTGTGGCCGCGTCCATATGGAGCTTCTCGAGATTCTTATCGTCGATCTCCCGGAGCTCGCTACAAACGGTGTTGGCTACTGAGGGTCTTCGCAAGTGATGAACGTTCACTCACCGATCCTTCTCTCGGACAGCGTCCTCCGCAAGGGTATCCCGGTCCATCTCCTTGTCGTCCACCAGATCGGGCAGAGGTTGGTCCTGATCCTCTCCATCGTCCTCTTCCTCGTCGTCAGGCTTCTTCACGGTACCCCCGAACCCAAACGTTCGCTCGTCGTCAGACTCCTCCGCCTCGCCCTCGATGAACTCTGACCGGACAGGGATCTTCCCTTTGCCCTTCCCCTTTGGAGACGAGCGTTTACCGAGGACGTCATATACGTTCCTCTTCGGGGCCGCAGCCAGGATACGCTCTGGAGAGACGGAGTTGTCGCGCTTGCGCAGTCGCCTCCGGGTAGGTAGGTCCGATTCATCGGGGTCCTGGGTCAGGAGAGGTGCTAGTGGCTGCCTCAGGCCCGATGACATGAGCACGCTCCCAGGCGAAGAGGCCGTAGAGAAGCGCAGTCGAGGCGTGAACTGGGTTGTCAGGCGCAGAGGGCTATCGTCGACGGTCGGACGCGTCTGTGTGAGGAAGCTACACGGATTCATGAGCACCAGCATGCGGAGCCAAAGCACGTCGACCTCACCCATTCGCATCCACGAACATCTCGGGAGATGCCTCCTTGTTCGCCGCAGCTAGCCCTTGCTCTGCCAAGGCCGCCTGCTCCTTCTCGAAGATCTCGTCCGCCTTCTTCCGGAAGGTATTGCTGACGTCGACGACGGCCTGAAGTCCGGGTTCAGGCGTCAAGTCGATGTCATCGTCCATCCGCTTCAGCTGTTCGAAACCACGTGCGCCCTATACAGACGTCTGGTCAGTACCGCGGAAGGTACGAGGAATGAGTTTCATTTACGCCTGCCTGGGTGACGAACTGCGAGAAGCCACCTCCACCGAGCCCGCCATCAAGGTTAAGGGGCTCGCCCAGAGGGCTGGCATCGCGGGCGCGCTCCTTGCCCTTCAGTGAGAAAGCGGGCTGCAAGTTGCCCCCACCACCAAAGTCCATAGGCGACGCCTCCAGACTTGACATACCGCCCATTCCCCCAAGACGGAGAGGCGGCCCGGGGGTGAAGGCGAAGGGATCGTCGTCGTCGTCCTTTGGCAGCTCCTTCAACGGTGACCGGACGCCGTCAGGACCGATCCGGCTCGAAGGACCGGATGGTGACGATTGCAGATCGTCGGCGAACAGCGTGCTGAAGCTGCGCCCGAGGCGCATCGACATCGCAGCGATGGGAGAGTGGACCTTGGTGTTCTCCTTGTCTTCCCCGCGATCGAAGCTCAGCTGCACGTCATTCTCCTTGTCTGTGCCATCCTCTGTGCGGCTGCCGTCCGTGTTGTCTCCAATGGAGGAGACCGAGTTGCGGTGAGCGAGCGTGGGGATCTCGGAGTCGATCTCGGTCGGGGTCAGAGTGCCAACTTCAAGCGGGACGGACGAGTCGCGGACGAGGACACGTCCAAGGGCTGACGGGAGTGGGGGACGGTTCTCGGCATCATCCTCGTCGTCTGACTGGGTCGCAACGAGAGTGCGAGCACGACCGCCGGGCCTGCGGAAGCGGGGAACGAGGAAGGGATTATCGTCCTCCCCCTCGTCGTCTGCCTGGTCGTCGACATCCATAGGCGCCGTGCTCTGTTGCCTTTCTTCCTTGTCAGAGCCCTGCCCGTCTCCCTGTCCAGAGCCTTCAGCCTCATTCGCGTTATCTTCAGGCCGCCACTCCTCGTCGCTCTCGTCCTCGTCCTCTCCCCCTGCAACTTCCGAGGCCGCCCGTCGTTTCTGCAAGATGTCCTGAAAGATCTCTGCCGGACGCTTCGCAGTGGCAGTCATCTCAGGCTGCGTCTTCAGCCTCCCTCCACGCCGCTTCCAGTCCTCCTGTTTCTCCCTGTCGAGCTGCTGCGCCTGCTTGGCCGCTTGCTGAAGCATCAGCAGATTCAGCTCCCTGTGAGTCAACTTCGCCTCCTTAGCCTCCTTGGCTGGTACTGGATCAAAAGCGGAGGCAGCATTGACTTGCAGCAGGTGCCGAGCCTGCGACTCATCCGTAGGAATATGCACAGCACTCTTCCTCCGTGCATTGGGGCTGACGAATGCGAGCTGGTTCGCCCTGCCCTTGGATGGACGGGCGCCGCGGGCCTGCATGACGCGGCGAGCCTGGCCCTCGTCTCGGAGGACGCTCTCCGGGTTGTCCACGATCTCGAGGTCGCTGTCGTCACCGTCTGGCGCAGCCCTGGATTGCTGTTGCCGTGCGAGGGCGCGCTGCTTGATCTCGAGCAGCTGCTTCTGCACTTTGCTGGCCTGCTCTGCCTCATTGGCCCGCTTGACCAACATGAGCGCGTCTGGGAGGTCTTCATCGTCGGATTCGGACTCGGCCGTGCCAAGTAGGCCGTTCCCAACGAAGGTGACGGCCTTCGAGGCTTTCTTGGACGATTCGGCAGCTTCGGGACTGGGGGCTAAGGGTTCCACGGCAGGAGAGGAGGATTGGATAGGATCGGACGTGGGGATTTGAGGCGTCTTAGCTCGTGGTGGCACTGGGACGCTGACGCTACGGTAGCTCGAGGTCAGAGACGCGGCTGGCGAGCAGAGGAGGTTCTTACCGCTCCAAGAGCGCGGTGAGCGTGAGCGCCTTGGCCTGAACGCGCGCTATTGATGTGGGCTGGTCGGCCAGTATCCGCGCTGTCGCCTTTTGGGTTTCAATGCGCTCCTTCTTGGTCGGTGCCTGTGTTAATTGGAGGCGATGGACATAGTGAGAAGCAGGATTTGAGAAAACGCTCGGTTCAACTGACCTTGACGCGTCCTGTGTCTTTCTTCTTGCCCCTGCCACTGGCACCTGGCCTCTTTGAAGGCTTTGAGCTTCCCACGAGCTCGTCGTCGCCGTTCAGCTGCAACAGCTCGGTCGCGCGTGCCTTACCCTTTGCTTTTACCGGTGGCATCTCGATAGACGTGGGAGGAGTAGAAGATGAACCCAATAGCGGTGTGCCGAAAGGATGTCGGGGAGATGTCTGGGGTGTAGATGGACGATGACGGTCGTGATCCGACTGGTCTTCCGGTGGAGGACTGGAGTCGATGCGAAAGGGGTCTCTATCGAGATGCGTAGCAGAGGGCTGGGAAGAGTTTGTCAAAGAGGATAGTGAGCCACCGAACCTGCTTGACATGTCACGGTGTGTGTCGGCGGGGGATGCGGGACGGGTCGGTTGGGCTTCTGGGACATCGCCTTGCGTCGTGGCCACTTTAGTTGCTGTTGGGGCTGAATCATTGTTATCTTCCTCGTCGTCATCTTGCTGGCGCATCTCCCTCAGTTTCTTCTGCCAGTCGTATTCATATACTGCGAGTCCGTCGTCATCATCGTCCAACGCGTGTCCGGGGGAAAACGACGTGTTCGGCGCGTCGAATGCGTCAGAGTTAGGTGGTAGCTCATCGCCAGTACTGAATGTCTGGGATGTTTCGGCGTCATCGTGTGTGTCGAGGCTTGTATTTGCGTCGTCGAAGGAGGTGTCATCGAATGAGATCTTTCGCGGTTTCCCGTAAGTTCTCGCGGCTCGCTTGATTATGGGGGCAGACCCTTCCACCATGACGCGTAGAATTTTACAGAGGAGACTGTGAGGAGAGAATGAAAACCGTCGCGAGGACGGGTACGAGGCCAAGCTCGTCAACGGGTCCGATGGTGAGAGTCGGTCGGACGACCGCGGGCGACTCTGCCACCGTCACGTCTCTCTACAGGCGCTAAATATGTGACGCAGTCTGTGACGAGCGCGTTTTAGGCAATTCCGACACATCTGCCAGCGTCCGTCTGTAAGACGAGTGCACTTAAATGCACCACTCACAACATTCGAAATTGGCAGTGAACATTATCAGGAGTCACAGATGGCCGCAAACGGAACGTATTATTGACAGATGGAATAGCACGAATAATGTAGTACACAATACGGATTGGTGTAGACTTCTCGAGGACTGGAGCATGATGCTCCTCTACAGGCTCGTACTTCCCGGTATATTACTGCACGACTGGTTCATTCAGAGTACACTCCATTCATATAACAAGATATTCCTAGGTAGCTATGGGCACATCGGAATCATACCTAACCTAGTACTACACTAGTGCATGACGACATTTGGACTCCTCGAGGGCTTCTTCGAGGCCGTTTTCGTATGGCTTGTTACGCTTTGCCTTTAGGGAAACTCCCACGAAGTAGTCGAGTGGTTAAGCCCCTGCGCCCTGGTTCTTCACTCCCTGGAGAGAGCACTAACCCCCAAAATGATGCTGAAACGAGCAATTTTCTTAAGGGGCGTTCAGTCTGTGCTCGGGTTGCATTCTCTTAGCACACATGAATCCTGATGATGAGGCCCAGGTGTTAACCCCAGCCAGATATTCGCGCACGATGTTGAGGCATCGACAATATCTGTACATAGTTCGCTGACCTTGTGAGCCGGACCCTAAGTACTGTCCTGCGCACTCAGTCATTCTATAGCACAGTAGATATCATCGCATGCAAGTTGACTTTCGGGAATGAGCACGCATCGAGGGCAAGCTCATGAATTTTGCAGAAGCTACAGCGCAAGGGCAGGATTACTTATTAGATTAGACGCTGCGCCAACCCCGATAGATCAGATAGTCCGATCTGCAGGGACGATCGGATCTTGAGGGATTCCCTTCCTGTTTGGGGTAGAACTGTATAGTACCCTCAGCCACCGCTGCCGCCTTTGATACATTCTGTTGTCGACGTCCTGAACGATACCGACGCCCTCAAGATCCGCCCTCAAAATGAGGTAAGTAACTAAAGTGCATGTACTCGTCGATGTCGCTGATGTTCTCTTCACAGTCACCGTAAGGTCTGTACAGGATGAGACTGGAGGGCAATGAAGCAATTTATTGACTTTATCCCTCTAGTACGAAGCCCCCCGTCACGGTTCGCTTGGTTTCCTGCCCCGCAAGCGTGCTGCGCGCCATCGCGGAAAGGTCAAGGCCTTTCCTAAGGTATGTTTCATCGCGTGCTTGGAGTAGGAGAGTGTAAGGAGGAATCTCTGTGATAGGATGACCCCAAGAAACCCGTCCACTTGACGGCCATTTTGGGCTACAAGGCGGGCATGACCCACGTTGTTCGTGATCTTGAGCGTCCTGGATCCAGTGCGTACCATTGGAAGTCTCAACCTTCGATCCCCGGCTCACGGCGAGTTCGCAGAGATGCACAAGCGCGAGGTCGTGGAGGCGGTCACAATCGTCGAGACTCCCCCACTCATTGTTGTCGGTGTTGTTGGTTACGTCGAGACTCCTCGTGGTCTCCGAACCCTTACCACCGTCTGGGCCTCCCACCTCTCCGACGAGCTTAAACGTCGGTTTTACAAGAACTGGTACCGCTCGAAGAAGAAGGCGTTCACCCGCTACGCTAAGAAGCACGCGGAGGACGGCGGCAAGTCGATCGCCCGCGAGCTCGAGCGTATCCGCAAGTACTGCACCGTTGTCCGTGTTCTTGCCCACACCCAGATCCGCAAGACCGGTCTCTCCCAGAAGAAGGCCCACCTCATGGAGATCCAGGTTAACGGTGGCTCTGTTGTGGACAAGGTCGAGTTCGCGCACGGTCTGTTCGAGAAGCCCGTCGAGGTCAGCAGCGTCTTCGAGCAGGACGAGGTCGTCGATGTCATCGCGGTGACGAAGGGTCACGGTTTCGAGGGTGTCACCCACCGTTGGGGTACCAAAAAGCTTCCTCGCAAGACTCACAAGGGTCTTCGCAAGGTTGCTTGTATCGGTGCCTGGCATCCGTCTAAGGTCATGTTCTCCGTTGCTCGTGCTGGTCAAAGTGAGCAAACACTACATCGCTGCAAATCCATGAGACGATAGCTAACCTATGTGCGTAGACGGTTACCATCACCGTACCGAACTCAACAAGAAGATCTACCGCATCGGCCGTGGCGAAGACGATGGCAACGCCTCGACCGAGCACGACATTACTAAGAAGACCATCACTCCCCTGGGTGGCTTCCCCCACTACGGTATCGTCAAGAACGACTACCTCATGCTCAAGGGTTCCATCCCTGGAACTAAGAAGCGTGTCATCACCATCCGCAAGTCGCTCATGGTTCACACCTCTCGTCGGGACCTCGAGAAGGTCCAGCTCAAGTTCATCGACACGTCGTCCAAGTTCGGCGTAAGTGGCGATTTGTTGTCCATGACAGGTGCACTTTTGGCTCACAGTCTTGGGCTTGCAGCACGGCGCGTTCCAGACCTTCGAGGAAAAGGCCGCGTTCCTTGGAACGCTCAAGGCCCGGGCTTGATTTGGTGTCGCTTTACGTACTATTCGCTCTACCGTTATACTGCATCATCCACACTATGCTTCGTATTGCCCAATGACATGATACGCCATGCAACATCTCGGTTGTACATCATATCTGAACTCTGCGTGCTGTGTGAATCTGCGTACTTGACGTTGTAAGTGATCGACATGTCGTGTGTTCGCTCAGTTCGTCGGCTTGAAATCGACCAGTTCTGCATGAGCCACGGACAACGTCCTGGGAAGACGTCGAGTGTAGGAGCCAATCAGAAGATGGGCATTGATAGAAGCGCCCGACACACTGCGAAAATGTGAGTGACGCCGGCGACGAGACTCGCTGTTCTCGACCGTACGCGTCCATCACCTCCGGACCATCCAGACACGTCTGTCTGGTGTTCTTACGACCGTGCGAGGTTGGTTGTTACAGTTGCTTCAGCTGCAGTGTTGTGGACATGAAATGCGTTCATGCAGGAGTTACGACGGCAGCACGCTGGCGCGTTACCGCCTCTACACTCGGTTGCGCTGGCTTGTCGTGTCGCGGTGAGTAGTGTTGGAGGAGTGAGGAGTTCTGCGGCGTGCTGACTTCCAAAATTCCTCAGGATGACTGGACGTTGCATTGATGCTGAGAGCGTCCTATGTGGGCCTCACGTTCACTTATGGGATCTCGCGCTATACCCTCTATCGAAGTCATCAGGTCCTACGCAGGCTGCCTGGCCATGAAACCCTGCTACCCATCAGTGATATGCCTCGCCCTCACTCGACGACCACGGTGCAGATGGCCAGCAGAGTACCCACGTCGGGTGGCTCCCCTAAGTCCACCTCCCCCGTCCCCCCTCACACGTTTCCCGTTCCCGAAGCCAAATCTTCAACCTCTACGTCTGCGTCACGCACCAAACCGAAAAAGAAGTCGAAGGCTGCGTCACCCCGTCGTACCCACCTCACCACTAATAAGGAGATGATCTTGGCCTTGAAGGCCGCCGTCCTCAAACCGCGGGTCGCACTCAAGCCCGTTCAAGAACATCAACCGTCAAAGGGTGCTCAGCTACCCCAACAGCCACCCAAGCCCGCCGTGCGAAACCTCAGCCCCAGTGCAGTTCGCAGACGGGGGATCCTCCAGGAGCGCTCACGCCGTTGGAGCTTGTACGAGAAGTTGGTCAAATGCCCAGACCTCGATGATGCGTGGAAGACATACCAGGAGCTTCTGCAGGACTGCCCTTCCTGCCTCAAGCAGCCTATCCCCCAGAAATACCTTCATGGCTTCGCCTCTCGCCTTGTGACTCGTTCGGAGTGGGTACCACCGTCGAGGACACGCACCCAAACGACGTTTCTTCGCCTTCTCTCCGTTCTCAGCACGGTATATCACACTGGTGGACAAGTCAGGCTGTGGGAGTGGAACGCGCTCATAGACGCTGCGGGAAGCGGATGGCACAAGACGAGGGTGGCGGATTTCAACTCGTCCTTCAACGTCTACCAAGACATGGTCGCTAACCGGGCACCGGGAGCGTCTCTCTCCGACGAACCGTACGTTCCTCTGCACGACCACTCGCGCGTCGCCTCCCAGCCTGTCGCACCAGACATCGTGACGTATACTACCCTCCTCGCCATCGCGGCGGCTACACGGAAGGAGTATCTGCTTCACAAAGCTGAAGCGGAGCTCCTCAACTCCGGGCTGCCTCCGAACCGCTCTACTCTATTCACCTATCTGCGATACTATGCTAATCGTGGGAGGTTATCTGGCGTGCGTGCCACCCTGGGGCGCATGAAGTCAAATGGCTTCGTACTCGGTTTGGACGGGGTCAATATGTGTCTATGGGCATACGGTCGGAACGGCAGACTGGACATCGCTGCACTCATCTATCGCATTCTCCGACATCATCTGCTCGCAGGAGTGGGAGACTCACCAGAGAGTCGAGCTGACTACCAAGACGCCGTCAGGGAACTCGACGAACTCGAGGACCTCACGATCCTACCCCATCTCAAGCCGGACGCAGTCACGTACTACACCCTCATTCAGGTGTACGCCTATCGCGGACGGCTCCGCGAATCCCTCGTCGTGCTCGAGCACATGATGACCTCTCCCCACCGCGTCACGGGGAAGCTCGAGGACGTGGACATGCGCTTGTCGGGCCCAGTGCTTCCGAACCCCATTCTTCCCATCTTCCGCGCTCTCTTCCTGGGGTTTGCGCGCCACGCCGTCCTCCCGGAGCACTCGTGTAGGACTCTCAGCGCAGCGGAACCCCACGAGAAGCGGCACTCAGAAGTGTGGACCCTTGACCAACTCCGCACCCTGTTCGACAACTTCATCGATCTTCCACAGGAGGCGCGGCCGAGCAGCCGAACCGTGTACTGGCTCTTGGTCGCGTTTGCCATAGCGAGTGGGTATGACCGGGCTCTGTTGCGCAATGTGTGGGAGAAGCTTGCGGAGCGGTACGGGACGGTATGGGACGGTAGGATAGAAGTGTTTCGGGCGAAGATCTACGAGGAGCAGTTTGACTTGCGGTATTTTGAAGGCGTGCGCACGAGTCGGGATCGGTACAAGGATCCATGACCATATTGTACATTCAACATATCCGCATCCACACCACAGATAAGTATGCTATGATCACCGTAATGGAGACAATCTATATGGTACAGTCCATTCATTGTGTACTGCTGCTGAGCTGCCCAGAATAGTTCACTACACGGATAAGCAAAGAGGGCAGTCCCCCGAAATCCCGACACGAGTCTCTGAAATCGAGGTCCTGAAGTTCACCTTCGCAGGCACACAAACGAGCTCCACGAGTTCGAAGAGCGCACGCGAACTCTACCGTAAGGATGATCATGAGGGACGTCACGACGCGGCATACGGAGGAGCAAACAATTACAGGTCGCCCCCGTTCGCGGTCCTCCAGCGGGCGTACTCCTCCCAGGTGACTGAGCAGTGCTGGCTCTGGTACCTGCGCACCTTGACCGCGCGGCGGAGGTCCTCGGAGATGCGCCCGTTCCACCCCGCCTTGCGGATCGCGCTGTCGATCGCCTCGACCTGGTCCCAGCCCTGCTCCTCCGCGACCTCGGGGAGGTACGTCGCGGAGAAGGAGTGCTTGAGCTTGCCCAGCGTGGGCAGCGAGCTCGCGGACTCGGACGCGAGCGGGGAGGGCGCGGAGGAGGGCGAGGGCGCGATGGGGATCAGGGACGGGTGCGGGAAGGAGATCTGGATGCCGTGCACGCCGACCGTCCAGTCGAGGTAGTTCTCCGCGTCCTCGAAGTCCATGAGGAGCGACACTCTGCGTGTGGGATGCGAACGCGAGTGCCCATAGAACGGCCACAGACGATCACGGGGCCAATCAGAGGAATGGGGGGACGGACGAGAGGAGATGGTGGTCCGGGGTGGGTTCGAAGGGCGGCGGCGGCGTATTGGTTATTAACACATCAGTTAGTACTTCGGGGGAGAGAGAGTGGCGGACGTACGCGCATTCGAGAGACTCGAGCTCCGACTCTTCGATCTTCCTGAACCTATGGTCACGGAACGCACTGATGAGTGCATACTCTGCCAAACCATCTCGTAGCGGTTGGGGCTCAAAAGTGCCGATGCACCCCCGGAGCCTAGGGGACTTCCCCGGGCGCGACGGTCGCGTGTTCCATGTCACGAAGAGCGGGCTGAGGGCATCAACTGACGGCTCTATTCTTGAGCTACCATCGTGAGGACATACTATTTGCCATCGGGGAACTTGGGCGGGATGGGCTTGGAGGACGTAAGTGCGCAGAAGAGGGTGTCGAAGCTGTGGAAGCAATGCTCTGGAAGGCACACTTGCTCGGCCTCCGCTCCAGGCTGGACGAGCTCAGACTCGACGATGGACATGACGAGGTGGGCTCTGAGCGTGGAGGGTAGGAGGGAGAGGAGCGTACGAGGGCAAGCAGCGGGGGAGCACAGACGGACGATTAAGGCTTGGATGGCTCGGCATCGACGATCGTCTATGTTGCCCAAATCAAGCGCGGGTGCATCGCAAGATCAATCAAAGAGGAGGACAAGCAGATGAGATTATGGAAAAGCGAAAGCAGCGGCAAGATGCATTGCATTTCATCATGAGTGCTACGAGAACCAACATAGCTGTATCACTATGGACAATGTATGTACAATACGATATGCAGTAAAAAGCGATAAATGGAAGAGTGTCATGAGATAGGTGGACAACGTAGCGGGACAGACAGGAGAATGACGTTGGGACGTTGGGCGTGTGACAGACGAGAGATGTGCTGGAACCTCAGGGGAAGAGGTTGGGTCATAATGTGCGTAGGGAAGGTAATAACATAGGGTCATAAAATGAAGAGCAACGAATAGGCGACCTAGGGCAGTACAGAGGTAGAAAGAGGTTGTGGCTGGCAAGATGCTATGTCTGACAACAGCTCCATGACGAGCTAGAGGCTGCCCGGGCCTTTTCGCGGGCTTCCTCTTGGTCAGCCTGCGCAGCCCATACGGGCGTTGCGGAGCTAGAGAGCAGTACACTGTCGCGCCGCTTAATCTCGTTCTCGCGCTCAATCATGTCTTTTTTCTCGATAATAGCGGCTATTAGGCTGTTGAACAGATGCTGGATGCCTAGACAGCGAATAGCGACCGGATGAGCACTCAGCATTTACATTTATTTGGCAGCGACCATGCGACAGTTGGCTTACCGAAGTCGTCCTTGGCTGACACCTCGAACAATTCCATGCCTTTCCGGAGGCCCCACTCCTGGTCTTCACCCGTTTCCGCTTCATCATCGTCTTCTGGTAGGCTGTTACTGCTCCCGTCACCGATGTCGTTCCATCCCGCCGGTCGATGTGCCAATCGAGAGGGTATTGGCCGCACGCCAGAGGCTAGCGAGTTTGACCTCGGTAATAGTAGGTCGCCGCTCTTGGCGCGTGGACGGGTATAGGCAGAGGTATTGGAACGCTTGATCGCTGACGAGCGTGGGTCATTGAAGGCAGGATTATCAGGTTCGGGTGTGGTGGATTGCGGTTTTGGGTTCGTTGGTGCTAATGTGGGCACGGAGCGGATACTCGTGAAGGATGTGAAGCGGGGACGAATGTAGGAGAATGTAGAAGCGGCCGCAGACGCTGGAGGAGGAGGAGGCGTTGGCGGGCGTGGTGGGGGAAACCAGGTGTGGAGCGATAAACGGGCGAGGTCGGACGTAACCTGCCTGAACTGGTGGAGGTCGGCCTTCGCGCCGACGATGTAGATGATCAAGTCGGGGGAGCAGTTCTTCTTGAGTTCTGTAATAGCCGACGTCTTGATGTTAGATGGATGAATGCAAAGTAGCGAGCGCGCCCATCAAACGCATTTCATGCTATTGTGCGTACCTTCCAACCACCCGCGGACGTCTTCAAAACTGGAGGCATTCGTGATATCATACAATAGTAGGGCAGCGTTCGCGCCGCGGTAGTACATCGGTGCCTGGCGACAACAAGGGCGGGCGTGAGCATAATAGGCCACCAATTATGTGCGGAGGTTGCTACGAGTAAAAGGGTGGGGACATACCATGCTGCGAAATCGCTCCTGGCCAGCGGTGTCCCACAGCTGTAGCCTGACCTTTGTGCCATCGACGGTTACCTTCTTGGTAACAAAGAATGCACCAGTGGTGGAGGTGGTGTTCTTGGGATCGAACTTGCCCTGGGTATATCTGTGGAGGAGGCTGGTCTTGCCGACGCCTGGGCGACGTGTCAGCTCTCAGGCTCGGTGCACGTAATAGCGGCTCCAGCGAAAGTTTGAGAAGCACGGACCTGTATTGCCCATGATTACTATCTTTGCATCGACCCCCTGGTCGTATCGGGCCTTCCGGTAGGGATCCAGACGAGAGTATTCCGCCATCATAGCAGGGGCACCGTCGGGGGCGGAGGGTGCGGGGAGCCGCGACACTCAGGGGGGAGGGGGGCAGGGGCCGGAGGAGAGTCGGGTAACGGGAGGGAAGCAGGGGGACAGAGGCGCAACCGTTCCTCTCTTGAGCTGTTTGAGATGCACAACCAATACGCCCAACGGCGTCTATCGCCTCCTCGGCTGCCCGGTGCGGCCACAGGCGCCGCCCTGGCCACAGACGCCGCCCGATCCGGCACTGCTCCCACACCCTACGAGATCGTTTGTGGCCGAGTGGCTCACTCCGGATGATTTCTCAAACACCCGGTCCACCGGGGCCGCATACAGATTCCGCAGCAAAACGGGCATGTAGAGGGGCATGCGCGCATAATTTTTGGTAATGGTGAGACAGTAGAATGACATAGTGCTATACACCCCGAACGCTCAAGCTGCAGCCCTCTACTCCTGCGCCTGCACGGGGAACTCGAAAACGACATCCTTCCCTGTCAGGCGGCGGTACACCGACGAGAACGAGTCAAGCTTGTATTCCAATGAAGTGGCGTCCTTGGAGTCAAGGAAACTGAAACACCCAGTCAGCTGGCCACCATGGCCCAGTGGGACATAATAGAAACAATAGAGGCACGTACACCTTGAGGAGTTTTGAGCCATCAACAGCAACACGCGTCCTCTTGCCGACGATCTCAGTGGGGAAGACAAGGTCCTCTAGGATCTTGTCGTGGACGCTCGTGAGCGTGCGGGAACGGGGGCGCTTCTGCTGTACGCGGGAGTTGCGCGTAGGCTTGCGGAGCATCCGACGCTGGGCAACGAAGACGACGTGACGGTCCGAGAACTTCTTCTCGAGCTCACGGGTCAGCCTGAGATATGAAGACACGGTCAACCCGAGCTTCCACTATTTCCTCCGCGCGCACAATACCAAGGCATCGACTCTGGACGGAAACTGACCTCTGCTGGACCTTGTGGAACGCCTTGAGCTGAGGGACGGGAACGAAGATAACGATGGCCTTCTTGCCACCACGGACATCGACCTCACGGGCAGCGGAGATCTGGAGTGGGCGGAGCTCAGCCTTGAGCTCGGGTGCGCTGTTCTCGAGGTCGATGATCGCCTGCGCGACGGCGGTCTCAGTCTCATCAGGAGCGGTCTTGGGCGCGTTGGCCGTGCGGAAGATCTTGTGCTGGACGGACATCTTGCTGTCTGGAGGTTCCTAGCAAACGGGAGACGGATTAGTTAGCATCCAAACCGTACTCAGCCAATCCATCTCATTCCACCCATCCCCTCACTCCCATTTCACCACCGCAAATCCAACAGCCTTCTCCAACCCTCATCACGCAGAGAAAGGGCATAATAACACTCACCGAACCTGTCGCCGTCGTCGATAGTGTGTCCGTTGCTTGCCTTCTGGCAGTTGTTCTACGAGCGCTGGGGTTTGCTTGGCTGGGAAAATAGCAAACACGCACAAACGGAGCTGGCTCCGGCGCTTGCAACATGTCTGCCGCATACTCAACTTCTTGTCTCTAGACTCATATATGTGCTGCGTTTTTCGCTTACAGTCCACCAGGCTTTCGCACACTTGCTTGCATATAGACATACATCTTCATCATGCTCATAGCTACAACTTTTAGGAAGAGTCTCTGTTCTTCTTGAAGTCCTCTACCCACTTCTGCTCCTCGGTACCCTTGGGCAACACAACGAATGTTAGCGTCCCATCACGCATCTCAAGCCCATCTCCAGGCTCCCCCTCCTTTGCCTTTGCCGCCTTGCACACGTCGCGCAGCGTCATCTTCTTGCCAATCTTAAGCAACCTCCGCCGCTTCGTCCATCCGAAGACGACTAGATTCCCGTCCACGTACTCTCCCTTCTTGTCCCACTCGGGCGGTGGTGCACCTGCCGGAAACATGACGCTAAGATGTGCAGAGAATGGTGTATCTTCTTGGAAGTGGGATATCAGGTCGCTTGTCGCATATTGCGGGTACATGAATAGCACGGGGAAGATCATGGTGTTGTTGGAAGGGTCTTCGGGATCAAAATGTGGTTCGTACGAGGTCTTCGCCACATTGTCAGGCACTGGGGCATCAATAATATTGCGTTCCTGCACCAAACGAGCTTGATTTCAATTCTGGTGCCTAGACGTATTGGAAAGGATAGAATTCACCTGGTACGCTGCCCTTAGCCTCTCTTTGTTCAATTGCTCTTGTCGCAGCCTCTCCTGCCGCTCTCGCTCTTTACGCTCCTTCGTTTCCTTCAACTTTGCCGCCTTATCTCTCGCCGCCTGTACAGTTCTGTTGTCCTTATCGAACTGGAGACAGCGGTCACAGGCATCCAACGCCTCGTCGTATCGCTCGAGTGCAATTAACGCCATAGCGGAACGGTAGTACGCCTTAGACGACTGGATGTTAACCTCTATTGCCCTTGAGCAATCCCGGAGCACCGAACCGTAATTCTCTGAATCGAAACTCAGCACTAGTGATCCATGCGATTCAATGGCTACTCACGGAGCTCCAGGTTGCAAGCCGCGCGATTGCATAGTAGAGCTTCTAGCAACGACTTATCCGTAGGCTTCGCGTCCACACCTTGCGTGTAGAACCCTAACGCCTCGCGATATCTCTTCCCCTTGTAGTAGTCGTTACCCTGCTCCTTGAAGTTTTGCGCAACCTCTGAGCAGGATCGTGGATCACAGGTTTGTTAATAGATGGGACGGAATTCTTACCTACCATCTGGCGTCCCCTCATATGCAAGGCTTTGCAGCGCAGCAATGGCTGGGTCCTCAGCGCCGTCCTCCGGCAGAGACCGCATGAAGAGGGGGACGGTGTTGAACGCCGCTAGCTTGTCCTCGATGGGAGCGGGCTGGGGCAGCGGGAGCTTCTCCTCCGTCGCCATTGTCGCTATTGGTCACAGAGAATCGACCGGCAAGCAAGTGTAGGCTTTGGCACGGACTCAGAAAACTCTCGAAAGAGAGGCAGTAGATAGATACGGGAAGGGGCAATCTCTGGAAGCAGCTCGGGTCTACATACTAGTGTGACCCCAGAAGCGACGGCCCAGAATGTATTTCGTGCATATCTCCATCGCATCTTCCCCCATAAATATCAAATTTGGAAAAATTGATCTGTATCGTAGACAGTATATACCCGTCAAATATGAAGGCGATCTGTGGAATTTTGCTTCGAGCATCGTGGAATTACACGTCTGACCCCAGAAACGACGGAAAGGCGCCCACAGATGGTCACGGTGCCGAAGACTACCGATTCAAACACCGCCATTATCAGTCGTTTGATAACGACGTTGGCGGAAGGAACACTAGTCGAGGCGCTCAAAATCAAAGTCAGCCTTATCTCGGTCAGTGGCTGAATGTCACGCACGAGAGACCCCCTTCCCATTCCTCAGGTACCGCAATCCGTAATGCTTCCGAAACTGGATTATAATACTCAGTGCACATGTTAAAAATAATCTCTGGAGTTACAAGAAGATCGGCAGGGCCGATCTCTTTGTGGCAATTCAACAAGGTTAGTAAACCCCTGGAACCCTACTCAGATTGACTTGTATCGGGAGCGAATTCCTCCCGATTTCCTTCTTTCTTTTTGGAAGTAATAGTTCAGAAGCACATAGTCTCATGTGTAACATTTGTACATTTATTGGCAGGGAAATGCGAGACCTGGAGGCGTGTCAGTCGCTTCTGGGGTCAGGCGCTTAATGCGTCGCTTCTGGGGTCGCACTAGTAAGATTGGCCGCCCGCACAACCTACTACATCACGTGCTCAGAACTGTCACGCTTGACCTGCTTTGGCAGGGAGAGATGTTTGCAAAACTATAGGCTCAAGAGTGAGGGCCTTCCTTACATATCCGAAACCAGAGAACTGTACCTATATAGTGTCTCTAGAGTTCTCAGGTTTCCGATTTTCCGATTTGCCTTCCTGAACAAAGTAGATAGTCATGCATTGTTCGCGATCTCTCAGGCGCTTAAGACATGTCTGAATTGGGTACTGTCCAAGAAAGGCGAAATATCATTCCCGCTGGCAGGGAACATACGGCCTTGCCTCGCAACATGCCCAAATGAAAGCTACACTAGAGTAACTCAGTCACAAATCTAGGGGCGCATGCACAGAAGAAACCAAGGGAACAACTTTCACTGCGGGCCAGACGGAGCCGAGTAGCGAAAACAAGGAGAAT